TCTTTCCAAACCCATATTCACCTGTTACAAAGGCATAAAAAAAAGTCGTCTTACAAAATAGCTTGGAGAAGATAATGTACACAGAACAAGAAAAAAGATTCAAGGCAACAAAATCCCTGGAAACAAAGAACCAGATGAGAAATAAACAGTGACATACAAATCTTGGATTTGGCTTTCTTTATCAGTTATTAGCAAATGGAGTTTATCTAACATCAAAATTATACATCATCAAGTGCAAGTACTTGGGACAATTCATCACTACGAGAAAGGCATTCCATTACAGCAATGTATAGAGATTTACAGGAATTCAGAAACAAACCTTACATAGTTGCACATATTGGAACCATCAAACTGGTCGACAAGAGTTATGGTAAAGTCAGCTGGCACATTCCATCCGTTGGGCATAATTTTCAAATCAGAAAATTCCAAACCCACAAATAGATACTTGACATCTAAAGTGCCCTTTTGATTAAAAATGATCCTCCTGCACAAAGTGCAATAGTTAAGAAGCAAGCAAGAGAAGAAAATGACTATGACCCCCCAATTAAACATTTGACAAGGGCTACTGAAGATTATTACGCTTTTACTCCCATAAAGAACTTGAGGGATAACTGATAGCTAGAGTATCAACAGAGTAGAATGGTAATCAAATTACTACCATTTGTGGCCTCCAGCCAAGAAAGTGTTCGAATAAAGTTCCCTTTCTTTCCGCGTTGAAAATTGTGAGATCCTCCATGTGAATTTCTTAGTCTCCTTCACAAAAAACAGAGGAAACTAAATAAGCGGGAAGTGCGGAAACTAAATCCCTGTTGAGTTTGCAGGGATGCTCCTGATTACATACTTGACCCTAATCAGAATTTTATAAATGAAAAAACAATGTGAAAGAATACCGAGTTTGCAGGGATGCATTTTGACCTTTCTCACAAAACCAATTGTTGCCGCCATTGCTGGAGGTGATGGTAAAAGCAAGGACCCAATTGAAGGAGGAGCCGTGACTGAGGCTGGAGCAAGACCTGTTAGAGTTAGATCTTCAGCTATCAAATTGGAGGCTCTGAGGGTTAAGACCTGAGAGATTTGAAACCAGGAAACAGTAAGAGTTCATAACAACAAGGCAAGCAGAGGCATATATAATACCTTTCAATGATGACAGTCTTTGATCAAGAGAACTGCAATTTAGAAACAACAGTCAATTTAGGTACAGCAGATGGAAGTGCATGATATATTCGGTTAGATAGCATGGTAAGGGGAAAATTGCAGCATAGGTTTAGTACCACTGCTGGTCCTACAAAGAAGGTTATTTTTACTAAACTATAGTGTGAGATTGAGTATCACAATAATAATAGTATAGTCTGAAATCAAGATACGGTGAAAGCAAACTACGGTTTCAAGAAAAACAGAAGCTTAGAGTCTAGCCATGATGCATACAAATGGTGATAGTATGGCTCACCCAATTGGAGTAGAAGAAGTCTTCCATGTGATGAAGAACCTGTGAGCTTTAATAAGATGAAAAAAACAATAGTCATTCAAAGGGTTTTGCTATTTATGCATAGCTGATGAAATTGTTATAGGCAAGTTAGGCCATTTGGAACTGAATAGAAGGAATCAGAAAGAAAAACAACAATGCACTATTGACAGAGGACCAAGAGTGGTGGAATGGCTTGTTTTAACCTGGTTAGCTGTGGAATTGGACCTCATGCACCGAACCAAATAGGGTCCTGTAAGCATAAAATAGTCATTGAAAAGGTAGAGAGGGGCTCAACATAACCGATGAGAATGAAAATCCAGGCTGAGATGAAAAGGGCAGGAAAAAAACCCAAATAATCATTTGCCTCCTTCGAAACAGACCCTGCAACAAACTAAAGCAAACAATCCAAAATCCGAATTCGCTGGCCACTGAATTGGAATTTCACTTAATAGTCAGTGGGTAAATACAAAGACTTGGCATTGAAAACTACCCTTAATAATTTTCTCCTTCAAATGTTGTAGTTGGACTTGCACAAAGGATTCTTTGTTCATGAACGATTTCTGCAGCCAATGTTTGAAAACCTGAAATAGAGTAAGAGCATGCAAACATTTCTGACTATGAGATCATCCAGAAGAAAATGAACTACATCCTAATTAACCACACTACAACACGACCTCTAAATTACTTAAATCTTTTATAAAAAAATCCTAGCAATTGGCAAACTAACTATAAAGCCAAATTAGAGAGATTACTTTCAGGGCTTCTGCAATCTGCATCTCCTAGTAATCTTAACACAATTGATCATCATACCAAAATGATCAAACTAAATGAAGAAGATGATGATTTTTTTATAGCTCGTATACTGTAACAATTGGATGGAATCTTGACTCTCACCTACTGATTCATTTCGGCCACTAATTACTCGTATCCTTATAGTCCCACACTAAGAACAACTAAGATTTCTGGCTGAACTCAAAATCAACTAATTACCTCTCCTGGCCTTGGTCAGGAGTCAGGACTTTGACAGGACCCTGCGCCTGTGATATTCGGGTCGAACAACTGCAAACAAAGGCTGCAAACGCTGGAGGACTCCTCTGCCGATATCATATGTATTCGGTAAACAGTGCGCCCGCACGTTGGATTAAGTTGGCTCCCCCAATTGGAAACCTTCAAGCAAACAATTGCGAGAAGATGAACAGGATGATAAATTAGAGAGGTGAAAAACGAACAAATCAGGGAGACAAATAGATGAATAAGTTTGACGCACATATCTCTTGCGCGATTTCGCACAAGAACTCAGAATCAGCTACCTTCCCGAACAACCAGGTGTGCATATCTTGAATCATTGGCAGAGTAGTCACGAGACTATCAAGCTGCTCCAGCTGAGGCTAGGGGTTTCGTTGCTGCCGATGAGAAATCGATGGAGAAGAACAGCTCTCGACGGTGGTCGCCAGCGGATTAGGAAAGAACGCTGGTGAATTCGTCCACTGGATTAGAAATCGGCGGTGTCCGGATCTAGGGTTAGGAATTTGTTTTTGGGAGAACAGAGTAGAGAATGACACGAGTGGGATTTTTTTGTATTAATAATTGTTGGGATTTTATGCGTGTGAATCCAAAAGCAGTTTTTTTTTACTGGGAACCTGTAATCTTAAAGCAGTTTCCAAAACCGCTGGATGGGATCCCTGTTATACTTAATCCGCATAAATGCGGCAGGGGTTATGAGAACCGCTGGCTTTAAAGCGGTGTCGTATGTCAAGTTCCTTGTAGTGATATATGTAAGTCAATCGTTTGGTGGCCAGAGGCAGATCGAAAGCCTCTTGGACGGAAGTCATGAAAACATACATCACTCTGAAACTCAATGGAGACTTGTCGAAGTATGCCTCGAGATCAAGTGCTTCCCGAACTAAATCGAGTTGCTGGGAGATGTTCAATCGTGGATCATATACTGTTTACTAATACACACTCTCAAATGAAAGCCACCACATGTTGGCTTGAAGTTTGCACAGGTCCGGACACCATGTGCTTAACGGAAACATGTGGGGGTCATCGGAATTCAAACAGAAGACCTCTCAATCACAGAAGGCTCTGATACCATGTCAAGAACCAGTTAGTTCCAATAACTCGAGTTGTTGGGAGATATTCAATCGTGAATCATATACCGTTTACTAACAATGATGAGCTTCTTTTTCTTTTTCTTATATATATTGATTATGTATTTATTAGTGATGAGCAGTTAATAGGTTGATACATGGAGTTGTACGTTGCAACTTGCTCGTTTGGAAATTAATAAACATCGGTTACTGCTGTAAGTAGATGATGATGAGCAGTTAAGACGTCAAAACCATGTTAAAAAAGTCAATGAGATTCTTGAAATTGCATTCTCCACTCGAAAGGGACACTTAAGTTGACCTTAATAAACCTTACAATGAACAAGTGACCTGAATATTGAATATTAATTAATATAAACCTAAAGCCATTTTACTATTGACTAAGAGTAATGCTAATTTGCACTACTGTCACCTAAACTATTCTTAGGTTTTGATTACAGTAGAGCACATGTTTATTTGATAGAAGAAATTCGTGAACCAATTACAAAGTTATTTTGGTTTTATGATTGATCATTATACATTGAACTTCAAATCCTGCTATAATCTAATCAGTTTCCTGGTTGAATACTTTGTAAGAAAAAACAATATTATGGAAAACAAAAAAATTATAAACTAAATAATGCCATAATGATTTTTGTTACTTCCTCAGTTGTCCTTTTATCTCTCATTCTTTATTTACACCTCTCCCTTCTTTGTCTACCCTAATTAGTAAATTATATTTATATATGTCTTCTCATTTACAATTATAAATGATTATTTAAATAATTCAGCAATGAGTTTATCACGAGTAACAATTGAACCATAAATTACTCATTTTTTAGTTCATCGTCCAGTCCGATTTGAAAAACAAACTTTTATTTACTTAATGTTACGCGTTTTAAGCTAGGTTTCACTTTTTATTCCCTTTAAAATTATGGATTGAGGTTCATCCATTAAAATTTAGGGAATAGTATCATGCTCCAAACTCCAGTTAATTTATGGTCTAAATAACAAAACTTATCATAAACCAGCTGATCCCAATAACTCGAGTTGTTGGGAGAGGCCCATGTATGGTACTTAACTACTTCCTTACATGCCCCCCTCAAACAAAAGTCAACTCATGGGCTTGAAGTTTACACGAGCCCGCCATACCATGTGCTTTGTAGACAAAAGTTAATATTAGGGGTCATGAGGACTTGAACATGTGACTCAGAGACAAACCAACTCTGATACCATGTCATAAACCATCTTGTCCCGTTAAGTTGAGTTGTTGGGAGAGACTTGTGTATGGTACTTAACCACTTCCTTACAAAACTCAACAAGCGTACGATAAGGTAAGCGTACGCCTAGCATATATACTAGTCTCAACGGGCATACGCTAGCTTTTACAATATATATACACAATATATTTTCAAACGCTATAAATAATGAACGTAAAGGAGCAGCCTCTTTCAACAAACTTATATCATGTTAAGACTATACGAGTTAAAAAGTAATTTTCTCTCTCAATTTTTTTTTTTAATTTTCTCGTTCTGTAAACAAGGATCGACTGTACAACGTAAATGAGCAGTTAAGACGTCAAAACAATGTTAAAAGACAAAGACATTTGAGTAAGAATTATCTTTTGCTAGAGGACCAAGTTGATAATTCATTATAAGTCTATATACCTTCTCCCGTTGTTGAAACTGCCCGTTGTGCAAGCTCAGAAAGGACATTGAGTTGACCATTGATAAACCAAAAAACGGAAAGTGACCTGAATATTGAATATTAAGAACCATCTCATAAACCTAAGCTATGTGTATAAGGAAAAATTTGCCAACGGACAGAAACGAGCAAGTTGGCTTACTCGAGTACAGTGAGCTCATTGTGTAATTTTCGTAAATTGACCCAATTAATGACCATTACAAGAACGCAATGACACGAATTGTGCAATTCTAAGCTATATAATTTTATTAAATAATATCCGTGAATTAAAATGAACACATCTACATCTACAAATATATTATAGCAAAGTTGTGAGTAGTTTTTAGCATTTCAAATTTTCTACAATGAGAGCGAAAGTAGGAAGGATAATTATGTCTTTATAATCATTATTGATTTTTTATTCATAAGAAAAAAATACATCAATCTCGGGATTTGAACCATGGTCTTTTCAAATGAAGACAACAACCATTACCAATTACATTAAAAAATATTTTGTATATTTTTAAATACAAAATCTAAAAATCTAAAATCTAAAAATCATATGACTTTACATCTACTGTTAGGTAGCCCATAACTCTCCCGTAAGTACTTTATTTGTTATATGATACTTACTTTCATATTTTGATCATTGTAATTTGAGTTTAATAATAAATTTAATTATGTCTATCTTATAAATAGAGGATAATTTTAAAATTGCAACCCAAATCATTGATTCGAATATTGCATATTGAATTGCAGTATTGAATGTGTAGATGTGATGTAGAATTCCTAACTTGGTATTAATTTTTAGAACTATTAAAGCAATGATATTGTTCTGCAAATTGTAAGTGACCAATTTTTTGAAATTTCTAGTTGGGTTAACCGTTAAATCCTATCTCTTGATAAAATAGCATGATTGGAAAAATGGGTGAGTTTAACAGAACACAATTTTTGAATACTAATTTTTTGAGATGATTTTAATTGTTTAAATCTTTTTATCTTATATGAAAATTGACCATATTTATCATTCATAGTTACTTAGTTTAATATGAAATAAATGCAGTACAAGACAAATCGTGAAATTCGGGCTGGAGTTTTCATGAACGCATTTATGTGGTCATGTGCATTAGCAAAATAGGTACCACAAGATAGTTTAATTTTTTTGTTGAGTGAATAAGATTGTCCTTCAACTAAATTTAGAGTATGTTGGTTGATAAATAATTTTTCCATTGCATAGAGTATGGATGAAAAATGTTATTTTCTTACTAATTTTGTTATTGTATTGTGCAGAATACTTTAAGATTTAGATATTACTATATATGCATTGTTTCTCAAGCAAAAGAAATAAATATTGACTAAAGGTTATGTTCATGAGTTTCTTATTTATGCTATGCTTTTTCAGACAAACTATTTTTCTGTTATGTCAATTTTCTTTTCAACCATAAGCAACTAAGTGATTACATCATTAAATAGACAAGTTATGAATGATTATTCATGAGTGTTATAAACAAGGTTGTTGCACCAATAACGAGCGACTAGTTGGACAAGGTCCAACGAAAGTCGAGCTAAAAAACGAGCTCTACAAAATCAAGGTTCTGATCGTTAGAGAGGTCAAAGGGATAAGAAAAGAGAGAGAAGGGAGAGGGGGAGAGACAAGGGGACGGTGGGTGGATCTTGAGATCGATGTGTTTTTTTATGTACTTTGAGTTTTTAATAGATATAAGTCACTACATTCCATTTCAGTCACTAAATTTCTATCTTATATATAAATATATTTAGAAAAGGTATAAAATGGCTCAAACAGGTTGAATCTCGATCAAACCATTAAACTTTAAACTGCTTGCTTGACCGGCTCAATGACTTAAACCGGTTTGACAACTTTGGTTATAACCATTAAGATTACAATGTTCATCATTGAAGAAAAGTTATAAGAATTACAAAAAAATAAAAAAAAATAATTTTCATGTCATCTTAATGTCATACGAAATTCAGCATTTCAAATAATTTAAAATTTAAAAACACATAATAATTCATAAATACATTATATTCAAATAACATTCCGACCCACGGGTCGAACAACAAGCTAGTAATAATTAAAATGCAATTTAGACCAAGGGGCGAAGAAGATAAATGGCTAAATTACACGTTTGGTCACTCAAATTATACAAAAATTTCATGTTTGCCACTCGAATTACTTTTCTTTCTTATTCGCCACTAACTTTACGAATCGTTTCACCGTTAGTCACCCGCCGTTACCCTCTGTTAAATTTGTCCTACGTGGCAGTCAACCATAAAGTTTGACCGTTAACTAGATGACGTGGAAATTAAAAAAATTAAATAATAAATTTATTTTTCCATCTCATCATTCCACATTGTCTATATAAATTATCATATTAATTATTTAATAGGAATTAATACATTACAATAAGGTTTGGGTGGAAAAACACTAAATCCGGCGGGATTCCATGGTTTTCTGCGCCTACTTCCCCCTTCTTCCCTTCGTCTTCCAAATCCCCCCATCTAATTGCTGGTACGTTCCTTCTCCTCCTCCTTTCCCTCTCTCTGTTTCTGCCACGGCCCACGGATTGCTCGTTCCTTTCCCAGTCTTCTTTTCGTTTCCTTTCCTCCTATTAATTTCCCCAAAGTATTTTCTCCCAATGATGAACCCAAATCGCAGAAGGCTTCACTGATTTAATCAGACTAACGAGGATTCCCCCTGTCCACTAGTGTTTGTTTATATTTTTGGACCTGATCAGTGTACGGTGTGTAGTCTGGCAGTTTGAATCAAATCCCTAGCCACTCTTCATTGCTGCTTCTTCTTCAGGGGCTATGAATTGTTGATTTTTTTTTCAATCGGAGAATGGATCCGAAGATTATCGCTCATTTGTTCAGTTTTTTTCTCGTCATGATCTATGAGCAGTGAAAAAAGCCCTTGCTCCTATTAGGGTTCACATATGGCACTGGTGACAACTGCCGAGGTCTGCGACGCCAACCCGCAGCTAATCGTGAACGGCGAGCTCAGAGCACTGGAACCCATCTTCCAGATATACGGTCGCCGCCAGGTGCTGTTCGAGGACAACGTCCTCATCCTGGAGTTCCTCGAGGAGAAAGGCAACGACAGGGTACTCGTGGTGGTCGACGATGGTGGCATACTGGGCCGCAAACCCGGTGGTTCGGGCTCAAAACAACAGCTGGTCTGGGATCGTGGTGAGGCTGCATTCGGGATGTCGACGAAATCATATAAACAAAGGAATATAAACAAAAGAATGGAATGAGGTGGAAAAAAAATTTACTTTTAATTTATTTTTAATTTCCACGTCATCTAGTTAACAGTCAAACTTTATGGTTGACTGCCACGTAGGACAACTTTAACAGAGTGTAACGGCGGGTGACTAACGGTGAAACGATTCGTAAAGTTAGTGGCAAATAAGAAAGAAAAGTAATTCGGGTGGCAAACATGAAAATTTTGTATAATTTGAGTGACCAAACATGTAATTTAGCCGAAGATAAATGAATGGAAGCATGTATGCAAAAGCTGCCACTGGCTACATTCCAAAATAACACTTCCTCGGACATCTTCACCCCTGTCACATCAAAAAAGAAAATTATAATGGATAAATAGGAACTGATCATTAAGCACTATAAATAAACAAGCCAGGGAGAGGCAGAGTTGGGAACCTAAGCATCATCTTCTTTCTAATTTCTTTCTCAATCATAATACCATTTCATATATAGACGTGTGTTTTCAACATATGGAATCTATCAATGAAGCGCCTGCTAGTGATCTAAAGCTTCCATTCATTGACTTCTCATCAGAGCCTGATCTGAAACAAGGCACACACTATTGGGATTCCTTGAAATCCCAAGTTCGGGAAGCACTAGAAGACTATGGCTGCTTTGAGGCTTCCTTCGACAGGGTTCCTAGTCGGCTTCGAACTGATGTTTTCGGTTCACTTGAAGATCTCTTTGACCTGCCTTTGCCCACAAAACAAGGAAGTACTCTTTCTCCGAGGCATATCTCCGAAGTTACTTCGGGCGTCATCCAGGGAACCCCTTCCTTGAGAGCTTTGGGCTAAACCATCCTGATATGCTTGACGTGGTCGAGAACTTCTCCAGTAGATTATGGCCTCAAGGAGGAAACACAAGTTTCAGGTGATGTATATAATTTTCGTGACCACTCATCTTAGTACTACTCTCGTTCAAGAACGTTTAATTTCGTAGTCCTAATGATTTTAATTGCCCCGTTTAAAATTTCTACACCTATATATAATTACACTATGGAGTTCTTTTCAGTGTCACATAGCTAGAGACTTGTGTACATTATTATGAACTATCGGATGTCATCTCATATCATGTCAATAACTAATAAAAGTAGTTTAATAATTTTGATGCTTGCAGTAAAAACATTCACTTATTGGCTAAGAAGGTGTGTGAACTAGATCAAATTGTGAGAAGAATGATACTTGAAAGTTTTGGCCTTGAGAAATATGTGGATGAACACATGAGTTTTACAAATTACCATTTGAGGGTCATGAAATACGAAGTAATAGCAGCTTCTTCCGAAGCTGCACTAGATCCCAAACCTGTGTTGAAAGTCCATACTGATAAAAGTATGATTACCACACTCGGCCAAAATGAGGTTGATGGATTGGAGCTTCAAACCAAGAAAGGTGAATGGGTTAAATTCAAACCGACTTCTCGTGGCACTTTTGTTGTCTTGGTTGGCGATTCTCTCCATGTAAGTAACTTCCCTATGCCCTGGTTCTTTAATTTTATTTGATATGACGAGTTAGCTAGGACACATGCATTCAGTATATCCTCGAGAAAAGCTAACATACTCATAAAGTATGTGATTGAGGACGTATTTCAATGTATTTGAATGAATTATACTTTTTTATCAAATTAATTTTAGGATTGTTGGGTTTAGCGACTCAGGCTCAAAATTTACCCATTAGATATAAAGATATATTCTCATATTGCAAAGGTAGGCAATTCATGACCCATATATCCGTCTATATGAGTGGTGTCTGTGATAGCATTATAATTATAACTTTAGTCCTTCAACATCAAGTGAGTCAATATAGCTTATCTAAACACGAAAATTTATGTTTCATAGGACAATTTGCAATTAGATAGTTCAAAAGAAATTCGTTTTATTATTTTAAAAAATATTTGCACCACATCTTAGTTCTGGAACAGGAATTTCGACATTGATGGGACAGTTCTATAAAAATTTAATGTGAGTTTTAAGATAGTGACAACAATCAAACTAAGTTATAACCTATATAATTTGTGAATTTCATATTTTCTGTAGGCATGGCTGAATGGTAGGGTTCATAGTCCCGACCACAGGGTATGGTTGTGTGAAAATGATAAACTGAGATATTCCTTCGCGCTCTTCGCAGTTCCAAAAGCAGAGAACACTATAAGAGCGCCAGCAGAGTTGATTGACGAACAACACCCCTTGTTGTTCAAACCCTTTACCCACAAGCAGCTTCTTGCCTCGACTTTTAGCGAAGCTGGTCTGAAAGAGGCTTCTCCATTACGTGCATTTTATGGGCTCTGAAAACATTTGTATATTGCAACAGCTACCATGGGTCGGTAAGGGTTGGTTGTAGGAGGCTACGGTGTTCTCCGCCTTCCTCTGCTAGGGTTTCAGCTCCGTTTCTTTGCTTCATCGGCCATGGTTCTGGAGGTGGGGTAGGTAGATGCATCCAGAAGCTCCAGCGGTTGAGAAGCATATGCAGTTAGGGTTTGAGTTGTGATCTCTTGTTTGGACTCCTTGATTTGGGTCCTATTTGGTATTCAATCGGGTTTGGGGCTTTGGGATTGAAGTTATTTCTTATCTATGTTGTATTGCGTGTTGAGCTTTTCTTTTGGGTATGGCCCATTTGCAATCTAACTAACCACTTTCAAAAAAAAAAAAGTACCATGCACAAAAACTGTTTGTCTTTGTTGGGGTGATCAAGGTGTAATAAGACTAAGAGGTATGTTGTGGTACCTTTGTGTGTACTTCATAGACTGAAATTATTGACTACTAACAACTAACCCCACAAACCTTGAGAAACAACTATAAGCCTATAACCACTAACAACTAGTCTAACCCTCTAAACTACCACCTTACGTGACCTCTATGACAGCCAAAACTCTCAATACTCATATGACTAGACCCAACTCAATTGGCTAACCCAAAATGATTAGATGACAAATGGATTGGATTCGTGAATTGACCGAGTATATCAAAATAATTCTAAAAGATATATCAGTGGGGGAACCAACATTCGAAAGTACTTGTGTCATCTTCTCAGGATATAAAGTTTAAATATTTATTTAATAATATAATTAAAAAATATCCAAATAATTCATTTGTAGAGAATTAAGGAATAACTACTACCACAATCAACATTGTTTTAAATAATTTATTTTGTTGAAATCAATAATAAATGTCACGTCTTCCTTACTTATATATACTTTTTAAAGAGATTTATTATGTATTGATCAAATTAATAATATTTCGCGCATAATTGAAATCTATTTATGCAACAAAAACATATGTATACTATATATATCTTTTGATTTCTTATTAAAAATTAAAAAGAACATATTGAACATCATGGCAAAACACCGAGTTAAAAATTGTGGAAGAAGCCATCTAAAGTTTTTTTTTTTTAATGAAAAGCCTGGTTACCCACACTTTACGTAACATATGAAAAGCCTAGTTACCCACACTTCCGTAATGATTTCACACTTTACGTAACATATGAGTAATATGCGTTACATAAAATGGCATTTCATTACGTAAGACTTTCGTAATGACATTTTACAACTGTTACTAGAGGTGGCAATTTCAATTCAATCCACCAATCCAATCCATCAATCAATTAAAAATATCCACCTAATCCAATCAATTTAAATCCAATCCATTTGATCCAAATCCAATTGGATTGGTGGATTCATGGATTGGATCCATGGATCATTGACAAATTACGGTTTAGTACCTATAATTTTTATTTTATACATTTTGGCACCTAAAATTTAATTTTTATACGAAAATATCATTGGAAAAATTACATTTTGGTACCTAAATTTTTTCATTGTGACATTTTAGTACCTAAACTTTTTACATTTTACATATTGGTCCTTGGTTGAGGATGTCATTTGGATTCATGGATAATCCACCAATCCACTTGATCCAATCCATTAGATCAAATTCATTTGATCCATGGATCAACCAATCCAATACACCAATCCAATCCATTTGCCACCTCTAACTGTTACGTAAAATACAGATCCATTATGTAAAGGTTACATAATGAGTTATTCTATACGTAACAGTTACATTGAAAGTGTTACGTAAGACTTCCGTAATGACTTAGCACTTTACGTAAGACGACATTAATACTCATTACGTAACAAAGACTTTCTATAACGTAAGGCTTCCGTAATGACATTGTACAACTGTTACGTAAAATAAACATTTGTTACGTAAAGGTTAGGGAATGATAGTTGTTTCTTACGTAACAATTAAATCGAAAGTGTTACGTAAGACTTTCGTAATGACTTAGCACTTTATGTAATGCGAGGTTAATACTCATTACGTAAAACGACCTTCCATTACGTAAAGGTTACGGACGATAGTTAATTCTTACGTAACAGTTAAATCAACAGCGTTACATAAGGCTTCCGTAATGAATTTACACTTTACGTAATGCACTGTTAGTATTCATTACGTAAAATAAGTGTCCATTACGTAAGGCTTCCGTAATGATGTTTTACAACTATTACGTAAGATTACCATAAGTTACGTAACCATTACGTAATGTCTATTGTATTTTACGTAATGCGACATGTAAAACCCGCTATAGCAGGTAAAAAATTCAAGTTACCTTACTTCAAGTTACCGTAGGAAATCCCATCCAATTTATAGTTTTGGTAGTCTAAATTGGAAATCCAAAAGAAAATGATTACCCAATTATAATGCAACTTGTTTCTTATTTTTTATATGAAACAAACAAAAAAGTGAATTAAAGTGTATAATTGGGTTGAAGATAGTTAATGAAATGTTTGATTGTTTTTTATATAATCATCTGGATCCAAGATCCAGTTAGACTCATTTGGATTAGACCCAAATAAAACACAAGAACCAATTCAAACTCAACCCTCACTGAAAACCATATAAACTGCATATGGATCCATATGAGTCATGTCAATTGAATCAAATTACTCAATGACTGATCCATTGTCATGTAACAGAGTGAACCTCAAACCTTAATTAGTTCTCTAAACTCTGTACCACAAGATCAACATAATAAAAAACAGTAACAGACAATTCTGACTCTTCGAACTACATCGAAATACATCATGCAGTCCCTAAAATTGGGTCGAACATATGTATGTATGCAAATTGCAAGTCTTACGATACGATTTGACTCATCAACCACAAAAACGGTTCGATGTGGTTTGGAGTAGTTTGACAGCACCAATGAAGTCCACCCCTATTTCTATCTCACCCCGTGTAGTAAAAGGTTGTTTTGTCGTCTGAAGCACCTCCTCTAGAGGGTTTAGGATAGGGTCAGTAACCATTGGTTACTCACCTATGAGTAACTAAATCTGGACCTTTAGATCTAAGTGGGCCCAGAAAATTCAGATCTAAGGGTTGTCAATTTAAGGCATTTTATTTTTCCTAATTTTTTTAATTGGCTCTTATCTTCTTCGTTCTAACTCGAATTTTAATTTCTATTGCACAGATGGAACGAGTTCATTGTGCTCTACAAAATGATATCAATTTTCAATATATTTTGAGAATTTTTTTTATCAACTACATACCATATGGTAACTTCTTCATTTTTAAGTCGTTTTTTGAAAACACTTGCTCAGAAGGATCGAGTTCATCATGATTTATTGGATCTATAAATTTCTAGGTGAAAAATATACTGGATAAAAAATTATCATACTTTACCACTATGGTATGTGGGTGGTAACTTGTGGTAAATAATGATGAAAGTCGTAAATAACAGTTAGTATACTCCTACTATCATGTATTTAACCTTCTTACCATATTGGTATGTTCATACCATCATGGTGCTATTTAATACCATATGGTAACGACTGGTAAAAAATTATTCAATTTATTTTTGTACTAAAAATATATCAAAGTGGATATCATTTTAAAGAGCACATTTAATCTGATTTATCTGTGCAAAAAAATTAAATTTCGACTTAAAACGAGGGAGAAATCGTCCGCTAAAGATTAAAAAGGAAAAATAAAAGACCTTACAGGAGAGAGAAGATGCTAATGTCATGCTGATGTGGACAGGTTACTCATAGTTACTGACCATTGAGTTACTGACTTGATCCGTTCCCCTCTAGAAAATAGAATCAACGACTTAGCCATTTAACTAAACCAAAGAGCTTAGTCGTCACCTAATCTGAATTATCCATCTACAAGTATAGTCACAAGCCGATGGAATAAATTCAAAGTCGTTGTCATGTCACGCTCACAAACCTCATAAGATTAATATATACATCAAGTAAAATTAACGAACGTAACACACATATGTGATTGTGATTAGATCATTAGAACAAATCCAACCACAGGTACAAGCCAAGAATCAGAGGAGTAGGAATCTAATTATGTCCGTTAATTAAGATACCTCAAAATCATTCATGGGTAGGGTGAACAATTTGTCTTCTTATACTCCTCGACGCAGACAATGATATGAAACTAATTAATTAATAATATAATTAGTATTGACGTACATTCAAATTCTACATTTTTTATATAATTAAATTTTTTACAAACATTAGTTTTGGCGCACATTCAGTTTGTAATTATGAAAATATTAAGAAACATACCAAATTAAAGCTCATAATTATTTATTATTTTATCATTTACTTATCTATTTTGAATATGACCGAGTAGAAACTGAATTTTTATTTTTATAATAATTATATTCTTATATATAAAGTTGAAGGCAAGTTACTGTTGCCTAAACTACTACATTTTGATACTCTAAATTTAATTAAATTACAATTTAGTCACTATAATGTACATTTTATATTTTGATGCCTCAAATTTAATTTTAACTTAATCTTAATGTAAAATCATTGAACAATTATGTTTTGGTATCTAAATATATATTTAATTAAATTACAACTTAGTCACTATAATGTACATTTTACATTTTGATACCTCAAATTTAATTTTAATTTAATCTTAATGTAAAATCATTGAACAATTATGTTTTGGTATCTAAATTTTATATATAAAATCATTGAACATATGACAAACTCACACCATCCATTTCAAATAAGATTTGTCCCGTGGACACATGAGCAATCCAACCCGTACGATTTCCTTTTACTCTTCCCATTCTTACTTCTGTAGCTTTCCCTGTAATAGGGAGATCCGCGAGAGCCCTTGCCCATATCTTACCATTTCTTCTGAATTGTCCGCTAAAGGAACGAAGTCACTCGGCCAAAGGTTTATCATATGTTCAACCGAGGGGAGAAGGGGAGTTGAAGGCAAGTTACCGTTGCCTAAACTATTACATTTTGATACCCCAAATTTTATTAAATTACAACTTAGTCACTATAATAGAATGCACATTTTACATTTTGATACCCCAAATTTAATTTTAATGTAAAATTATTGAACAATTATGTTTTAGTATCTAAATTTTATAAAAATTTTGTGCGTACTTTTTTTTATATTTTTACACATATTGGTCCAATGTTTAGATTTCACTTAAATACATGAATCCAATCCACCATAACATAAAAGTATAAATTTAGTTTGTACCATACAAGATGTTGTATCACTCAAATGTAGGAGAAGATTTGACCATTTTATATTTGCTCATTACGCGAAATATTAAAAAATAAAATAAAAGTGAGACGATTCTAAAATATTGCAAGAGCAAATTTATAAACTTATTTAGTACATTTACGGGGTACTACTTCTACTAACTACATGTAACAAAATATGCGACATCTATATAAGCAAGTGTCAATAAAATGCTACGGTGAAAATGGTTGACTATTGCATTGACGGCCAACTAAAAGAATTGGTCAAAACATTTCCATCATCTACTTCCCCTTCGTTTCATTTTTCACTCGCCTTCCATAATCATTTCTTTATTTCTTTATTTGCCTTCTTCGTCTAACCGTAATTAGTATACTATTTTTTTGTATTCTAATCACAAATATGAACAGGTCCATACACGACTAACCAACAATCTAGAGAATTAATAATTGAACCATGAACCACTAACATTTTCAGCTCAATGTTGAGACCAATTAAAAACAAATATATATGGCTATTACTTATTAGAAAGTCGTCATTTTCCACTATAGGATTTGAAGGCATGAAATTTTAAGTGAGTTCTAGTTTGTATTCCTTTTGCTTCTCTCTAGAGGTTTTCTTTTTCACTCGGGCTAGAATTTTTAACAATTATACATGGAATTTTCAACAATTATACATATCAAATATATTTTTTTCTATTTTCTATTAAAAAGTAAATAATTATCATCTTAAATACATTACCATAAAAGGAATTAAGCCTCAACTATGCAAATTGCAGTTGGGTACCTAACTTAACAGATCTTTAGATTTATAACCTTTTTTTTTTGGCATATAAGTCCTCAAAATATTTATGAAATATTACATTTTAATACCTAATTTTTTTTGTTTTACATCTTAGTACCAGAACTTTTGAAGTTCTATAAATAGGTATAATATTTGTATTTGTAATTAAAACACCCTCGAATATATGGGTATCCATACTCATCATACACATCTTTAGATTATGAAAGTAAATATCCATACCCTACCCAAACCCATCTACAAACTTCCAAACTCATATATACGTCACGCATACCCTACCCATAATCAATGAGTCTACTTGGATTTCGGTAAATATCATTTATTAGCCAAAAATTTTAAATTGGATGTTGACCACCATATATCTATTCTCTGTGAATATCATATTGTCAAGTCAATATTATTACTAACAAAACTGCTAACAAAAAATTAATTTTAGGCTAAGAATACTAACAAAACACCCATAACGGGCCACATAATACATGCACATAGTCCATCTCCGCCCGCGACAAGTGGCGACATCACCACCTAGTTATATATTAATTTTCCTTATACTTACAGTACCCCATTCAATCGCATAATCAATTTTTTCTCCTAATTCATCAACCCACTTCGTATTTTGTCATTAGTAGAATACAGTATTTCCCCCTATATTATATGAATCCAATAAAGGTGAGAACTTTATTCGATCGATCATTTGTTCATGTAATTGACCAAAGTTACTGTCACGTACCAACTGCTGATGAACTATGCACATACGTAGAAACCCCAAAAGATTAATAATATTTTAGATATATAAAGTTGTAAGTAGTGGTTTATAATCTTAGTGCACACCTCATATCCCCTTTGCTCCTTCGTCGATAGAAAAAGAATACAGAATTGTCTCCTCCAACTAGGAACAATTACCTAATTAAAGCGAGTAATTAGCAGAAGTTAGTCGACAAGGACTTGAGCTAGTGGTACTATTGTTGGTCTTCAACTTGAAGGTATATGTTCGAGTCTCTTAAATACCACCTAATCTAGCATATATATATATATATATATATATATATATATATATATGGTGGCTACTTCGGTGCACTCACTTTTTTGGGTGTACTCAGTGCACCCAACTCTAAAAGCATCCAAAATACTTCAAATTTTGAACTTTAATTAGTACTCTCAATATAATATGATGATATGACATAGAATCATAACAAATCAATCCATTACCCTAACCCCTTAACCTTCAATTTTGAATCCCAACCCAAAATCCCAAATTGTAAACCTAAACCCTAACCCTAAATCCCTAAACCCTAAATCATTCAAATTAAAGTAAATTTTGAATGAATTTTTTTCAAATTCATGTGCTTCTTGTTCATAATATCATAAGCAACAATTGATACCGTTTTGACATGAATCGCATGGTTAGAATGACAATTATGAGGCGGGTGCACTGAGTGCACCCGAAAAAGTGGGTGCACCGAATACGTCACCATATATATATATATATATATATATATATATATATATATATATATATATATATATTTTTTCCAGAAATTAACTTAATTATATTGGTTAAGAGACTAATTAAAAGAAAAATATTAATCCTCTCCTCGCATAATGAAATATCTTAGCGACACAAAAAGGAGAAGCAAAACACTACAAATACATACAAGCCTCCCAAGAAGCAGCAGCTCATCATTTCCTTATTTACACCCAAAAAAAGCGTCCTTCCTTGTCAATAGTTTATCTTCTTCTTAATTTGCTCAGTCTTATATTATATTATGGGCTCCATTGATGAAGCGCCTACTCATCAAAAGCTTCCATTCATCGATTTCTCATCAAAGCCTCTGCTGGAGCTGAAACCAGGCAGTGCCTATTGGGATTCTCTGAAATCCCAAGTTCGAGAAGCTCTTGAAGAGTATGGCAGCTTTGAGGCATCCTTCAAACCTGCAGTGGATATCCCAACTGCTGGGATTCAAAGTGACAATATTTTCAGGTCAGTGAAAGAGCTCTTCGACTTGGATTTGGCCACAAAACAGCGCCGGAGTTATGGTGTTGGCGATGCATCTTTCACGGGTTACATTGGGCAACATCCTGGCTATTCATCATCCTTTGAAAGCTTTGGAATAAATAACCCCAACGAGGCTGGCGAGGTGGAGAGCTTCACCAATGCCTTGTGGGACCAAGGAAACCCTAGTTTCAGGTGATTTATTAGACTAGCGTACGTCAGACATACATTGATCATTGAATTTTTTTTTTTTTTATCCGAATCATATATAACTAACATCATCATGGACATATATATATTTTTGGCAGCAAAAACGTCCAATCCTGGTCAGAGAAGGTCGCAAAATTGGATGAAATTGTAAGGAGGATGATAGTGGAGAGTTTTGAGCTTGAGAAATATATGGATGAACACATGAGCTCCATAAGGTACCAACTGAGAGTGAATAAGTACGCAGCTAATTCCCAACCCCATGGACCAGAAATTGGGCAGTTAAAAGCCCACACTGATAAGAGCTTGATTACCATACTGTGCCAAAATGAAGTCGACGGACTGCAAATTCAAACTAAGAAAGGAGATTGGGTGAAATTCCAACCGTCTCATGCCTCCTTCGTCATCCTTGTTGCTGACTCTCTATATGTAAGTAATTGCAAGCTTAAATATGTTTTATATCAAAGTCTTGTACGTAATAACTGAGACTAAGTAGTCTCGTATTCGAATCTTCACGACTAGTTTATCGGTGTTTGTGTGACAGGCTTGGTTGAACGGCCGGGTGCATTGCCCCTCTCACAGAGTTATGGGCGTGTATGGAAATAAGCCCAGATATTCCATTGGGCTTTTCTCACTCACAAAGACAGGGTACGTTATCAAAGCGCCAGAAGAGTTGATTGACCAGCATCACCCCTTGTTGTTCAAGCCTTTTGAGTTCAAGGAGTATATGACCTTGGCTTATAGCACAGCAGGTAAGAAAGAGGCTTCTCCGTTACATTTGAGAAAATTCTACGGGCTTTAGAAGTTTGTAAGTACGAAGTGAACTTCCCCTCTCTACTTGTGTTACAAGATGATCCAAATGGTTGGGAGGTGGCTTCGAGCATTTAAAATTCTTTTAGACGTCCACTTACAAGTTACAACAATGGGCGAGGAATGAGGATTGGGGCTGGTGGATGGTTTGTTTGTCTTGTTTCTTTGTTTTTTTCTCCATGTATAGGTGTTATTTTTGGACCCTTGTTTGTCAAGTGCATTTCAGTTGTTTTTATTTCTCTTTTAGTCCTAGTTGTTTGTCACCGGTCTGGGGAGTTCTCAGGATCATGTATTTTCTCTTTGAGTTTTGGCGATGTTGCTTAGCCAAACCTTTTTCACTTTTTTTTCTTCTTGCTTGTATCGATATAGGTTTTCGTGTTGTTGTACTTTTTCTTCTTTTTCCGATAATAAAGTTCATCATAAAAAACTGTCTTCGATCGGGTGAAAATGTAATAAAGGAGGTGTGTTTGTGTGTATTAATTGTGTGCGATGATGATCCACAAAAGCATAGTTAGTAAATACTCCGTTTAATACACGTATATGTACCCGTATGTATTTTATCCGTTTAAAACTTCCATGTCCGTATTATTGTCAAGCCATTTCATTTTCCCTCGTTTATTACGTATAAAACCCGTATAACAAGTTTAATATCCATATTTAATGAATTAAATTATTAATTTTACTATTATTTATATATTTATTTATTTTTAAAACAATTAATTTTATATATTTATGAATATTAACGTACTATTAAAAGTAACATTAGTTTAGAGTCGAAGTAAAATACCCATACGTATTTTATACGTAACTTCCCCGTACCGTATTTTACTAATTATACCCAAAAGTGCGTTGTATGGGGTGAATTTCAAACCCCCAACAGTTGGTCAAAGTAACTCATAAAAAGGAAACAGATCGAGACGAATAAAAAATATACAAAAGAGAGAAGAATGAAAAAAAGCCTAGATGGAGACTCAAAAACAATACATCTGCTAAACTGGAACTGTTATACCACGGTAGAGGTGGCTGTAAATTTTCACTGCCAAGAGAGACTCTCTACCTTTGAAAACTTAAAATGCAACATTAAAGGCAATCCAAGCATAAGACAATTAATGAGAAAGTTGTAAGTGGGTTTAGCAAGTTTAGCAACACTAAGAGTTCAGCCGCGATTCAATAACATGATTCACTTGGTTGATTAATTAAACAATCATGACATCCATGTTGGGAGTTTTGCAATATATATGGATGATATTGCATGGAGTTCTTGCAACTTAATTTCTTTTCCTTTCTTTCTTTCGTGAGCTAGCTGTTGCAACTTGTCATCATGATCAGCTCATTTTGGAGATAAATTAGATCCACTATAAGTAGTAGATCAACCGTTCTTTGTACATAGCACCTAATATTTTCCCCTTTAATTTGGGGTTGTCTAATTAAAAATAAATATAATTGATCAATGAGAGCACTTCTACTATGCTATATAGTATTTGTGCTTTAATGTACAACTTAAAATTGTACCATAACATTAAATGTATAAGTTTAGATTGTACCATAAAGCAATTTGTACCATTATGTTATGGCAACTTTGAAGTTGTACCGTCACATAAAGGTACAAGTTCTAGTTGTACCATGAAAAAATTTGTACAAAAAGTATAGGTACAATCTGAGGTTGTACCATAACGTAAATATACAATTTTAAATTGTATCATAAAAGCAAAATCCTATAGTACCAATACTATATAACATTGTAAAATTTTTCCCACCATGAAAGAAAAAGAAGTAAATGGAGCAGTTAAGACGTCAAATCCATGTGAAAGAACAAGGAAACTTAATCAGAATTAATAATTTGTAGAGGGCCAAGTTGGCCATTTAATGAACCGAACGGCAAGTAATTGGGGATTTGGGGATAAATTGTCTCCTCATAAAATAAAAGTAATTGAGGATAAATTGTTAACTGGAAAAAATGGTAACTAAATGGGTATTCTCTTCTCTGTTTTTTTCAATAAATGGATGTAAAGAGGATCATAGTTTTGACGGTCACACTTGGAAATTGCGATAGTTATTGTGAGATTGTTACTATATTTGTATTGTTTATCATTTATTTTTTTAGCAGACACAATATATAGATGATTGTTTTTTTTTATATGACAGAAATTATCATTTAAAATGAATGATTGTTCAATCTCAGCTTTTAGTTGACATTGTTAAGATACTTGAGTTGAGATTATTTTATTTCGGCTTTTACCTTATGTGACATACGCAACCACACGTACCAAACGATGTATTTTACGATGCATCAAATTCACCAATGCATATATAATGTTTATATGTATTCACAACAATAGACTTATTTAACAATCGCAACTTCCAATCGACCTCTAAAAAGTAAAAAACCAATTTAAATTTGGGGGGGGAAATTGAAATTTGGCATGTCTTGCACAAAAGTTTTTTTTTTTTTTGGGAAATTCGCATAAAATCTATTAATCCATTATAGGATTGGTTACAGGAAAACAATGTAACTAAAGTTTAAAGAGTGACCTCGACTTACTAAACAATCAACACACTTGTTACGCTCTCTGTAGATATGCAAAATTTCTATTCTCCATTCTCGCTCTATACAATTTCGAAATCTTTTAATAAAAGAAACATGAGGGTGATCAGCATCTCAGTCTCCGTAGAAGCTGGACCGCGCACAGTGAATCAAGCTCAATGCGAACAAATTTGTGCCTAGCATGTCACGCCAAATCAAAACCCTTTACAACTCCTCTTAACTCTAGCTTGATTTTTGAACAAACTCTCGGGTTCAATGCAAGCAAGGTTTAACAGTGTCTTGTGTGATCTCTCGAATTATAGTGTAATTATAAAAATATTAAAAAGAAATCAATATACTTCAACTAAGAGCTAAGTTTCATCCATAAAGATCTACGGGTTATTAGGATTATTCTCTTTTTTTTTGTCAGAAACGTCCATAATTTTGGACGTATATATAAAATGTTAATTATTACCAATTAGTGGCAGAGCCACATTGAGAATGGTTTCAAGTCTATTTAGAAATAGATCTAAAATTTTGAAGTCTTTGAAAATAGAGTAATTGGCGGCCGTTGAGAGTCGATCCATGCAAGTGGATATATGGAAGGATGATGGATGGAAGCATGCCTGCTCCAACTGCTACAGCAATGCAAAAACCAAAAATATTTGCTTAATTAACACCAAGTCCTAGCTTTTAATAATATTTTATGTGCTCAATAATTGTACTGATTATTGAACAATATTTCTAAATCGATCTATTTGTTTAACTTCGACTATTTTTCCATCTTATAATATATACCCATCTAGCTATAAATACATAAGCCAGGGAAGCAAGAAAAAGCATCTTCCTTCTAATTTCTTTCTCAAATTAGCATTAATACCATTTCAAGATAATACTGCTAGCAGATCTTGCTAGACCTAATCAAGTATTATATAATAGGGCTGGGAAACAGTCCGGTTTGGTTTAGACCGGACCGGATTGACCCGGTTTTTTTAAACCGGATTGGACATAACCATAACTGAAGACGGGATTGGATTGGTACAGGGTTTTAACCAAACCGGATTGGATGCAATACGGTTTGGTCCAGTTTTGACCGGAAAACCGTTTTCAACCCAAAAAACAAGAAATGGTCCCTATATCCCCAAACGCCAGCGTTTCATTTTATGGTTAATTAAAAGAAGAGGAAAAAAATGGCAGGTCAGTGGGTCACAGAAAGTCCCCATCTTCCCTCTATCAGAGCCTACCTTTTCTCGATTAAAACACCATCCCCATCTTCCCTCTCTCTTCTGGCTCCATCTTCCATCTTCATCTTCCATCTCAATCTCTCATGAGATCTCTCATTACAGTCTACAATCCTGCTTACAAAACAAAAATCATTCACAGTCCTTCCTACAAAAAAAAAGATCATTCACAATCCTAGATCTACGAGGCGATCTCGCATCAGAAAGAGGAAGATCTATCCGTCATCGGTGGTGATACAAGGGACGCGACGAATGACAGTGATGAAGTGTTGGCGATGGAGGCATGCACTGTGGGCGAAGATCCAAACGTCGACGACGGCAAAGTTGGATCAGCAGAGTGGGAGAGACTCGACTTGAGAGCTTGGCTAAGTTGTCGCCTGCTCGCCGCCTCCAAAATCGACCAGTGTCGCTGCGTTGTGAGCATATCACCATCGACGTCTCCACCGTGATCGTTGGCCATAGATAGATGCCGCCAAAGGGAGAGTTGAGGGTTGATGGCGAGTTGGAGATTGGGGTTTGTTTCACGAGGAAGAAGAGAGAGTCGGCGGAGTGTGGAATATTGGAGAAAAGAAAACGAGGAAGAAGAGGAAGCGGCGGAGTGTGGGCGGCTGTGTGGAAGAGAGATGCAATTGGGAGGTTGAGGGTTTGAATGAGCTGGGTTTGGCTTGGCTTTGAATTTTTGCAAGTTGGGCTTTGGGTTTCAACGTTTTAGGATTGGGCTGGGCAGAAAGCAAGGCTATAATGGGCAGGTCCGGTTTTCCGGTTTTTCCCGGTTTTAACCGGATCATATCTGGTGCGGTTTTTCCCCAAACACTGAGAACCGGAATCCGGATTGGACCGGGTTGTATCCGGTTTCCGGTCAAAACCGGAACGGTTTAAACTGGGCAGTTTCCGGTTTGACCGGAAAATTGTAACCGGATTTCCAGCCCTATTATATAATATGGGTTCTATCAATGAAGCTCCTATTGATCTAAAGCTTCCCTTCATCGACTTCTCAAACCCTCATCTGAAACCAGGCACTCCCCATTGGGATTCCTTGAAATCCCAAGTTCGAGAAGCACTTGAAAACTATGGTTGCTTCGAAGCTTCCTTCGACAGGGTTCCTAGCAAGCTTCGAAGCGATGTTTTCGATTCATTGGAGGAGCTTTTCGATCTGCCTTTGGCGACCAAACAAAGAAGTAGTGTTGTTCCAAACGCATTTCATCAAGGTTACTTGGGGCAGCATCCTTTGTATCCGTTCTTTGAGAGCTTTGGGTTAGAGGATCCTACCTTGCTTGAAGTGATCCAGAACTTCTCCAACACATTGTGGCCCCAAGGAGGAAACCCAAGTTTCAGGTAGTGTCACACACAGTTTGCAAGTTGTTATATGAACTCATCTCTGATACCACGTCAATAAGAAGCACTTCATCATTCTAATGTCTGCAGCAAAAACATTCACTCCTTGTCTGAAATGGTCTCTGAATTGGACCTAACGGTGATGACAATGGTACTAGAGAGTTTTGGGCTTGAGAAATATATGGACGAACACATGAGCTTCGCAAGTTATCATTTGAGGGTCATGAAATACGAAGCAGTTGATTCCCAAGCCACCTTAGATCCAAAACTTGTGTTGAGAGTCCACACCGATAAAGGTCTGATCACCATACTGTGCCAGAATGAGGTCGAGGGACTGGAGTTTGAAACCAAGAAAGGCGAGTGGGTTAAATACACGCCGACCTCTCCTAGCTCTTTCGTCGTCTTGGCTGGTGATTCTCTTCATGTAAGTCCCCTCCCCTCGATCTCCTGGCTAAAGTCAATCATTTCTCATTTAAGACGATAATCTGGTAAAATTATGATTATTGATTTGTGATTTCATTTAATCATGAAAGACATGGCTGAACGGTAGGGTTCACTATCCCTATCATAGGGTAAGGTTGTGTGGAAACGATAAGCCGAGGTATTCGTTTGGGCTTTTCACAACCCCGAAGGACGAAAGCACTGTGAAAGCTCCAGAAGAACTGATTGACGAACAACATCCGTTATTGTTCAAGCCCTTTGTTTATAAGCAGTATCTTGACGTGGCTTTTACCCAAACTGGCCGTAAAGAGGCTGCTCCTTTACGTGCATTTTATGGCCTCTGAAAATATATGCCATGCATATGCACAAATCCTGTACGTGTCTTTAATTTGTTCGGCTCAAGATGTAATAAGAGGTATATATGGCCGGTGGTGTGTTAATTACCTTATGTCTTTGTAATCACGATTATATATGTTTATAGTTCCCATGGGTAATTGGATGTAATGGAACGTCAAATGACCTTAGCTATAAGAAAAATTATTAGAATTATTAAGTCCCAAGTTCAAAAAAATCGGAATCACTGTTCATTAAGAAATTTTCGGAGATTACTGTTCACATTCACAAGGGATTCTAAGATTCTCCAGTGGGTAGTTTCACATGAGCCCATGTTTATTTTAGTTGGGCCGGCCCAGCATAGCGGTTGATATGCTTTTCAGTTCCTTTAGGGCCCGTTTAGTATCATTTTGTTGTTGTTGTGGTTGCAGTGGTGTTTTGTAAACAGATGTACAACCACAACAGGAAAAAAACAGAAAACAAAAACCTGTTTAGTTGATAAATCTGACAAATCATGAAAACTGAAAACAAGAAACAAAAACGCGTTTAGCTACTACTATAAGAACTAAAAACCAGGAAAAAGAGATATGTCCTCAATATTAAGCAAAGTCTCACAAAATTCAATTTGTCTAACATCTTTCATGTTCCTTACATAAAAAATAATACTAAACATGATTATCACTCCATAACTGGTTAGCAATGGCATCACGCTTCTCGGTCATCTCACGTGTTGCTGCATAGCTGACGTTGAACTCAGTGAGTGGTAGTTCAACCCCAGAAGTCGAACCTTCTTCATCTCCACACAATCAACATCACCATTTTCAACAATTTTCTCCATAACTGAGGTAAACCACAAAACAAAGAACATAGCAATCAATCCAAATTCACAAAAAACATAGCAATCAATCCAAATTCACAAACAACTAATCTAGCAATCACTATATACATACCATAATTCAAGAACATATTCAGAAGCAACAATATTAACATAATAATACATTTAAGGACGGGTCTGTTTTACCTGCTGCGGGGAGATGGTCGGCGGCCGGCGGAATGGCGGAGGAGGCAGGGCGGCGGCGACTGTTGCACGGGCAGCGGCGGGCGGAGGCGAGGCGGCTGGGCGGCGCTGGGCTGGCGGAGGCGAGGCGGCTGGGCGGCGCTGGGCTGGCGGAGGCAGGCGGCTGGGCGGCGCTGGGCGGGCGGAGGCAGGGCGGCCGGCTGTGGCGAGGCGCCGCTGGCCGGAGGTGGGGGGTCGCGCGACCTGCGCCTGCGAGAAGAAAGGTTGGGGCGGAAGAGTTTGGTTGGGGACTGCGAGAAGAAGATGGAAAATGGGGGCGGCTGAAGTAGGGTTTTGGGGGTGATGGGTTAAAAAAAAAAAAAAAAAATTTGCTTCTGTGGGGATTCGAAAAGTGGTCTGTTTTAATGAAATCAAGACCACAACCAGTAGGAAATCCGTGTGCAACATGTTTAAGAATCAGATCCAAAGCTATAAATTGTTGTTTCTCATATTTGGGCCTTGTTGTGCAACTCTGATTCACAACAAAAAATAAAAACCCAACTAAACACGATTTTTTTTCTTGGTTTTCCAAATTTCGTAAAACACAACAGGAAACAAAAACAAGCAACAATACTAAACGGACCCTTAGGTGAATGAGCTCACATAAAACTGCCCACGACTGATTTGCATCAGGGTTTCGATTGCCCATCTCTCCCACCCGCTCAACACACAAACGGCGGGCGACGACGGAGGAGATTCAGCCTCCTCACGTCCCACTCTCCCGTTCGTCCTCAACTTCTCCTTGCCCCAACGTTTCATCAACCCAGGTTGAGGTCTGATAGATTTAAAAGGAAATTGGGGGTTTACTATTTCCCATCGGCTCACAGCAGGAGACGACGACGCTAAGACGGGCGGAGAAAACCAGTTCCACTTCTACGGTGGGAAACCACGGCAACTTACGGTGGCACCATTGGCTGCATTTCGGTGAGTCAACAACTTGAATTTGAATCGATTAAACCTTTTTTTTTTAATCAAATACTATTCTCCAGTAAATGCTCCTTTGTGATTCATCGCGAATAGTTGAAGAAGAAACCTGTTGTTTCCTTCTTCCCTTTCGTTGTCCTGTATGCTGTGATTCCGTTTTCCAATTGTTTCTTGCCGGTATTCAGTTGCAGAGCTGACTGGAACTGGATAGAGTCTTCAATTGGAGAGCTGATTGGTGAATCAATGAAAAACCTTGACCATATCTTATTCTAATGTCCAGTTCCTCCTTTTGATCAACATTAATGGTCATTTACGCATTTGAACTATGAAAAACCTTGACCATATCTTATTCTATGGCCAGTTCCTCCTTTTGATCAACATTAATGGTCATTTAGGCATTTGAACTTGGGCTAAATGATTCTGTAGAGAGTCGGACTCTGGGGTTTCTGGATTCCTTTCCATGGTCATGCAGAGGATTAATGTAGCGTGGTGGATGGGATGGAAGTAGTAGTATCCTTGCAAAAATATGAAAAATATTCTAACAGTACATCTCTTTTTTGTATAAACATTATTTTTTTCATGGTGCATAAATAATTGGAAGGGGGAAGTTGCAAAAAATTTATAATGATCAATTTTAAATGTTTGATTGTTTCCGTCTTTGTGATAATTAATATCATTCCCCAAGTTACAAGGTGTTCGATCGATCTGTCCCAAGCCTACTGAGTTGTCTCCCAAAAGAACTAACTATCTTAGTCCTTTTGTGATTTGGTTCTCATTAGAAACTAGCTTACTGCTAAGAAGATTAGCTTATTCAACTTTTATTGCTTAGATCACTGACTAGCATTCCCCTTATGTTAACAGGGTTTTGTTTATGGAAGGAAGAATACAAATAGGTATCGTATCAGCCTACCATTAGCCTAGGATGTTGTTTTTCTCTGCTATTTTCAGTTTCTGGCTTTGGTTTCAAAACCATGGACCTCCATGTTCTCTTGGAAAAGTGGCAAGTTTGGTTTTAGTCAGACTAACCAGTACCATCTCTTTTAACTTGTCCCATTTTAGCAGCAAGTGGGGTTGTATCGTAGACTGTTAATTCAATTCCTTACTTCCCATATCATTCTTATCATAGAAGGGGTTAATCAAATGTCTTTGAGCTGAGAAAAGTCGAATCAAATGAAATGAAAGGATGTTATGTATGTCAAGGGCATGGGATCCAAATATTATCCAGGGTAATTCTTGAGTGGAAACTCATATGGTTAGAATTTTTGTTTTCTGTCTGTTGTTGGAAGTTGGAACAAAGTACTGTTTGCTGCTGCTGCTTTATTAATCTTGCTTTCAAGGGAAAAATTGGAAATGTTTTGAAAAATATATTGTACGCCTGCTATTGCACCAGAATTTTGTTTGGTTTAGGGGTCTGAAATTGATTTTGGTTATGATTACAACATCATGAAATGCTTTTTCTAGGCGTTGAAAAACTTGGAGATGGCAACAAAGGTGTATTGGAGTACCAAGGAGCGATTACCTTTCAAAGTGAGTTCTTGCAGCAACTATCTGCCATTTGTAAGTATTAAAGTCCACTAGAATGAGTGATTTGATTTTCTTGCTTAAGTTGTTTATGGATTTAGAAAATCAATGCAATTCGGAGGACTACCATTCTCCGTATCAATTTGTGGGGACATATTTCAACTTAATGGGCCTGAAGGATTATAAAGACTCATAGTGTGTAGTTAGGCAACCTCAGCTGGGTATGGGGAGCATTTGAAGGATTCAGTGACGGATATAAGGCTCTACTTCTCCAAATTGTGACAAAAACCACTTAAATGTACACAGCTAAGCTAGCTACTGTCTGGAGTCTTTTTCTATCTACACACCCATCCTAACGTATATTTTGCAGATAAACTATCTTACTTTTACCTTGCTATATCTTAGAAAGTGTGGACACAACTTCTATTGTCTGGGAATAAGTCAGTTTAAGCTTAAACCTTTTTTGGTGCATAACTAAGTCAGCTAGAACATCCTTCTCCCTTACATGTTGCTGAACCAAGTTAAGGGTGTTGCATGTCGAATGAACTGAACCAATTAAATGCAACTTACATATGTGCATTGATTATGTTGTAACCATTGTATGAGGTCGACCGAAAAGTGCATGTCACCGTGACATGCATGTCACCGTAGCAAAATCCTAAAAGTTGTTCTCAGCACACTTTGTTTTCTACTTTCTCTGAAGCGTATTGCATTTTCAGTATTATTCTCCTTTTCAGTTATGCCGGATTGTGAAGTTGCAAAAAAATACATCTTCATAGTTATGTGGCTCAAGTTATTTTTTAATAAGATAACGGAAACTCCCCAATGTTAGGCCAATTTTATTTACAGTTATGAGTTCATTTTAAATTCAGTTCATATTGTTCACCTCTTATATTTGTCATATACCATACCACTTAAAATTAATAATTCTATTAACTAAGTAATGTGTATTCCAAAACAATGATGAGATTTAATAACCCATAAATACTTTGCAAATTTTGAACACTCGCGGTATGTTAAATATTTTGGAAGCCTCTGTTTTGCAAATGCCTAAATAGTTTTTGAAGGACTATGTTATTTTTTTTGGTTTCCACGCTTATTTGCAACCTGACTCTAACTTACCTCACTTTCCAACTTAGAATTCTATAGCATTATTGTTCTAGACATTTTTTCCCCCATTGAATTGTACTGGACATTTCCCTTTTACAGAAAGAAGGTTTATTGTAGGCAACCAAATCAACTTATGTGCATCTTCAAATTCAACTGGAGATCAATCTTCTATACTATTAGCCTCATCGTAAAAACAACTCAATATACTATTGTGAAGCATGGACCATTCCAAAAATCATCACTTAAAGATTGTGGTAAACTAACATATATAGAAAAGCTAATTATCGCCGCGAAGCGCGGGTCAAGTAACTAGTGAGCTATAATAAAGATAATTTATATGTGCCCTTATAACGAAGACTTTGGTCCAAAACTTTATGTAATATATATGAGAAGATTGTATGTATTCATTTAACTGCTCACAAAAAAATAAAGTTAATACGATTCTATCATAAGTTTATTGCTGAATTCTGTCATGAGTCTGTCGATCATAGTTGCCTAATGTAGAGAATCACTAATTAATTTCCCCTACGATCAAAATATATGCATACGCACTAGTTCAAAATCATCCCATTTCCCATCAGGGCATGTGACACACTTGTTTACCTCATCGGCTCATCCCACCTCCATCCACTTTGATTCCTCATGAATGTGACAGCCTGCCAGTTTTTTTAACTTCTTAATCCGTCCTTCAATATGGGGTCTTCCCCTAACGCCACAGTCTAGTACCTTCTGTTCCAACATCTTTTCGAGTGCTGCATATCCGCCATTTTTGCAGTTGCCATTCACAATGAGTCCCTTCTCCACCAGCTCCAAAATGCATTTGACCAAAGGCCTGTCAAGCTTCTCGGGCCAAAATGAGTACTTTTTGGAGGTTGCTCCATCCTTATCTCCACCAGCATGCCTCTTTCTCCCCATCCTGCAAGACAACCAGGTGATTTGGTATAAAGATAATGCAGAACTAGACCTAAGATAATGTATCATCCCATCCAAAAAATAACAAAAAAGCAAAAACCCATTATCCCAATCCTCGTTCATAGCTGTTGAACAAACAAAATAACAAAAACCAAAATGATAAGAAGTACCCTACAACAACCTACACTAAAACATAGCTTCGGGCAGACCTCTTGATTTTACAGTGGTTCCATTTCCACCCCAAGTTCAACACAGATCAATCATGTCAATCCCAGTACTTGACACAAAAGAGCCATGAGAAACTCCTTCTACCTAAACCCCCAAATCATCATATTAAACGAGTTTGTACTAAAGTAAGTACATAGACTCCTAAGTTACTAGAAACCATTCTTCCAATCGTAGACATTGTCCCTAATTTATTATATTAACATATCTAAAGATTCAATCGAAATAAAGCTGTGGGTGGACATCTTTGAATAGTTAAAACAAAGAACTATCAAGCATCCTAGTCAAGGATTCACATGGAAGGAATAAATGCACTATCAGCAGGTTCAGCATACATGAAGGACCAATATAGGAAAATGAAGAATTGACTATTGTATCGATAGGATTTAGTACTGTCATGCGGTGATTCATAAATAAAAAAGCAAACAGAAGAAGTATACAAGATTGGTAAGAACTCATAAAAGCTCACCGGCAATTCCCTCCCTAACCCCTAACCCCTCGACAACACAATCGGCAAAGCCTAGAAATCGCAACCAGATTCCATAAGGATAAGGTGACGAACCTGGTATCTTGTCGCTGCAAACGGGTTTGTTGAAGAAGCTCGCTCTCCCTCGCTTCCGTCGCCGCCAATAGCCGCCGAGCGTCCTCCTCAGGCCGAGATCGCCAACTTCTTTCTATCGCGACGACCAGTGGCATAGCCAGGATTTTACGCAAGGAGGTGCAATTTTCTTAATTAAAATAAATATATCTTATGAGAAATCATTAATCCTGTGTAGTGACTCATAACGTTTTTCCACTACATATATAAATTTTGAAATATATGTTCTTCATATAAACTACCAAATTGTGAATATATCCTACCAAATTATTCATGATTTTCCTTATCATTCGATCCATGGGGAGTTACGTTAAAGTCACTGTAGTGATTATGGATAGCGGAGTAACATCGATTGGAATGAGATGGTAGAGTGAACGACTTAGTAACCACGTTTGAGTTGATAGTTAGATATTGGACGCATAGTGGTGTTGTGGGAGGTTAGGAGTCCCCACAATTTAGAGTTAACAATTATCTATAAAATATTAGAGATTTAAAAATTGAGTTAATCACATATGAATTTTATTTTAGTCGTGTACAAACGATGATATCGTTTATATAATTGAAGATAATTTACGTCTCTTTTTCTTCACTAGACTCTTTACATTGTGCATAGGCGACGACAACTTAGTTTTGCGGCTTATGAACTCTGTGCTTGCTGTTTACTGATTATTTTAATTTAGTTTGATGGTGGAAATAATTAAGTACAAGAAATAACCTTCTATATTCAAGGTCCATTGCAAACAACCTACTATATAATAAAAGAGAAATATCTAATCCAAGGGTGTGCAGGGACACCCCCTCCCTACACATCATGAACTTGCTTGTGAGTGAGGAAGAGACTCCATCCGGTGAAGAAATCGGAGATGATTGCAGGAGCATGGTGCTGCTATCGTTGTTGAACAGAGTAGCAGCAGGTGCCGGGAAGGGTGAACGGGGAGAAAGGGCCGACGGGATGAATGGTCGAGATGGAACGTTTTTATTTTTTGTTCGTTGTTTTTTATTTTAATTATTTTATTAAATAAATATAAATTCAAATTCCACGTCATGTGCCACATTAATGTTGACTATACTTTCTGTTAAAAATTAACGATAAAAACAAGTCAACTTTAACAGAAAAATAGCTCAAGACATAAATGAAATATTTGATACAATAGGACACAATAGCATTTTTGTGATAGTTCGATTGTTGTAGTGGTATTAGCCCTAATTAATTTCGTACGATCTTTTTTGTTTACTATTTCTATATATTGCCTCTTTGGGCATATATTGAGCCATATAGGCATATACAGGAGGAAGGAGCAATCAAATGCGGTTTAATTTATCATTTCATTAAATATTATTGTAAAATATTAGGTGACAAAACATTTTTTTCTGAAGATGATATCATTTCATTAAATAAACCAAGGCAAAGAATAAAGAGTACAAGATTCCATGCCAAATGAAACAAAATCCAAATGCACAGGGGCAAAGAATAAAGAGTACAAAATTCCACGCCAAATGAAACAAAATCCAAATGCACAGGAGAAAAGGAAACTTAAGACAGATAACAGTAGCTAGCATGTAAGCACCAGCACTGTCTATTGACAGATTTAAGGTCAAACTTTCCAAAACATAATTTTGAAGAATCCTTTCATTAAAATCTTAAATTTGATAATTAAGTTATAAAATTATAAGGACTAAATTAAATTGGATAATTAAGTTGAATTTTTTAGTGGATTGCTTTCAGATTCGTCACATTTAGACTTTTACTATATAACCCAAAAAACGAGAGGATTCCTAGCAACGAAAAAATGAGAGGTTTTTTTATTTTTACTTTTTCATATATAACCCAAAACTAATCACAGAGAGGGCGTGAGAACAATATTAAACTCAATATGTGGAGAGTGACCTAAGAATATTTTTTTATATGTCATTTCTTTATATGTATTATCAGGTAGAAGATATCTAGTAATATTGAAGTTCGCATATATATTGCATATTTGACGTGTGTATCTTGCCGGGAAATGAATATTGTTGCTTCTCAATTAAAGAATAAATTATTAGGAAGAAGTAAAAAATAAAATAATAAATATTAGCAACCTCCTACAATTGAACCTGGATCTTGAAGAACCGAGGAAAATTAATTGTCCTCATCGAATACGTTCATTGTTTTTTTTTCCACCTTCTTTTTGCTAAATTTACAACAATTCTAAACGTATAATAGACAAATTATAGCCTAAACAAAATATTGGCAGAGCGGGGGTAATTATTTAATACTCTTCCTCATCCAACAACTATCAAAGTGTTTTTTTTATTAACCAGAAAGTGATCGCGCTTTGCCGCGAGGTGGTCTATTGGATTGTTATGGTTTTTTATGGATATTTGATTCATTTATATAGTGGTGTATTTATGATGGTAATTTTTGTTTTAGGATGATTTATTTAGGGATGACTTTTTATTTGATATGTATAAATATAGTAGGGAATTTTTGTATAATTGTAGAAGATTCTAATTCGAGTGGGAAGGAAAAGCGGTAAGGAGAAGCAAAGTAAATAAAAATTGAAACTCTTTTAAAAATTGCACGCCTTCAAATCCCACAGAGAGAAATAGGGATGAAAACGACACTATACTAATAAATAAAAAAACCAAAGAGTGACTTAATATTGGTAGATGAAGAAGCCAAATGTGGAAATAAAGAAAGGAAGATGATGGGCAATTCAAAAATGAAATGGAGATGTATAAAAAATTGTTATAGTAATTAATTAGCTTTTCACGTTTTTTTCTCCCATAATATTTGTTTTAGTAGTTAATTTATATGGGAAACAACACTGAACTAGTGAACCATTTAAATCATAGAGATATTAGAAATTCCAAAGAGTGACTTCGACTAGCTAAATAATTAATGCATTTTATATAGATATGAGAAATTTCTATTAATGTCCTTTCTCGTTCTTTAAGATTTCAAAATCTTTTATTATATAAGATAAAAGCTGGATCCCGCACAGTGAATCAAGTTAAACAAGAAAAAATTTGTGCCTTGCATGCCACGTCAACTAAAAACCCTCTACATCACCTCTAAATTCTATCTTGATAATCGAACGAATTCTCATATTGAATGCACACTGTTAAAACTTAAAACAGTGTCTTGTGTGATCTCCATCGAGTGAGTGTAATACTACAATTAAGAGCTAAGATTCATCCATAAAGATCAAGAAGTTTTTTTTTTCACATTGAGAATGATTTCAATTTTATTTAGAACTACAAGTAAAATTCGCAACGATGTTTAAAAATAGAATAATTTGCGGGCCGTTGAGTTAATCGATCCATACACTGAATCACTGACTGATACAAGTGGATGCATACGCATGCACCAACAGGCAACAGCTACAGCAATGCAAACCCCAAAAATAGTAGTACTGGAAATTAACAAGACTAATTATATGCTTAGCGACACCACCGACCATCTCGTAGCTTTTAATAATAACTAGTTTTTTGGCTCGCGCTTCGCTGCGGTAAGAAACTAATTATATTTAAAATTTATTTTATTTATTTTAAGGTTAAATGAAATTAAATAATTCACATGTGTAAAATACCTTCATAAAAATTACGTAGTGTATTAATCATTACGGAATACTTACCTCTCATATGTTTATTTAATTGATACCAAAGAAATAATTATCTATCCATAAGATTTATGTAATGTATTTTAATTCACGTCATTATCATAGAACAGTGTTACGTAAATATTTTATAATGTCTGATCTAATAAAAAATCAAATAAAAACAAATTTGATCAAACTATTATGTAAAAGTTAACTTCCCTTATAGAACATTTGTGTAATGCAAATTGATAAGATGATGAATAGTGTAGTCAATAATAAATAGATTTTACTTAATTCTAAAATAATTAAGTTATAAAAAGTATCACATTTGTTTAAAATGTTATGTAAACAATCACTTACCTTAAACCTGTGTGTTATGCGAATTGATGGTCAAAAGTTTATTAATAATAAGAGAATATTTGTTCAAATTTGTTCAAACTTATATTACGAAAGGCACCTTGAGACTGAAGTCATATGTTTGTTTAATGAACTTGAAGGGATTGGTTTATTGGTATGGTGGAGATAATAACATGGATTCAAACCTTGAGTCAAACGACCAACAACAAAAAAAATATGTTATTACTGTAAAAAAATATGTTATTAATTGTACATAAGAAATCACTATCCCAACATAAGTTTTATGTGTTTTTAATTAATATGAAAGACTTAAGTAATGTATTTGCCGTTAATACATAAGAAATAACTAACTCCATAATTTCTAAATAATATATTTGCAACTTATCTTCTTAATATATAGTCTAACAATAATTGATTGTACATAACTTTTGTGTATTACAAAAAAAAATTAGATGGCCAACAGTTTTGTTAATGATAAACGTATTTTTTCAAAATGCGGCTATGCCTGTGTATTTTTTAAAATTTGATATTATTGTCACAAAGTGCATTCTTATAGATATCCATGTGTATTTGGCAAACAAAGTATTTTAAACATGAAAATTAATCTGAATTCGGCTTAACGTCAAATTGGTGGGTGCAACAAAGGAATTAAGTTATGAACAATATCACATTTGATTGAACTACCATATAAAAAATAATAGACGCACGCAAATTTTGTGTAATGCAAAAAGATGAGAGATCAAAGGTTTAGTTAAACAAATGTTATATTTCAAAATGTATTTATATCTATATATTTTACAAAATTTGGCTATATTGTCACAAAATGCATCCTATAATTATTGGGTGTATTTTGCCAATATTCTAAATTCAGATTAATGTTTAATTGGTTGGGCAAAGTAACTTCCAGTCTTCGCTCCTTGATTTCTTCTTATAAAAGAGACAAAAAAAAAAAAAAGGTTTGACAACTTTCCCTCTGCCATAGCTAGGATCTCGGCCTAAGGTTGATCAGCCGCCAGGGGGCTCCACGGGGAACTAATCTACAAACAACCACATAATATACAATTCCTTAATGAACAGTATTTTCACTTATTAATTGGGTTTTGCGTATTTTTCGTAAGGAACAGTAGAAAGCTTGCGGTAACTTGGGCTTTAATAGTTCTAATAATTTATGAGCTCAATAATTGAACTACAAATTTCTAAATCGATCTTCTTCTTTTTTTTTTTTTTTTTTTGTAAGATATCTACATTTGTTTAATTTTGACTATTTTTATGTCTTAATAGTAATACCCATGTAGCTATAAATACACAAGCCAGGGAAGCAGCTGGAGGAACTATCCAAGGCAGCAATTAATTAAGCATCTTCTTTCTAATTTGTTGATACAATCATCATATCATATAGGTATGGGTTCTATCATTGTAGCCCCTAGTGATCTAAAGGTTCCCTTCATCAACCTCTCAAAGCAGCCTCATGATCTGAAACCAGGCACTCCCCATTGGGATTCCTTGAAATCCCAAGTTCGAGAAGCATTCGAAAACTATGGCTGCTTCGAAGCTTCCTTCGACAAGGCGTCTAGGGAGCTTCGAAGCGATGTTTTCGATTCAGTGGAGGAGCTTTTCGATCTGCCTTTGCCAACCAAACAAAGGGCTGTCGTTCCCGATACATTTCACAAAGGTTACATGGGGCAGCATCCTATATATCCATTCTATGAGAGCTTTGGGCTAGACGATCCTACCTTGCTTGAATCCGTCCAGAACTTCTCCAACACATTGTGGTCCGAAGGAGGAAATCCCGGTTTCAGGTAATGTTATTAGTTACATGCACTAATATAATTTGTAAGTTGTTATATATATATATGAACTCGATCGATCATGTCGATGACCCAATAAACATTCATATGTTGTTATTCTTATGCTTGCAGCAAAAACATTCACTCCTTGTCGGAGATGATCTCTGAATTGGATCAAACGGTGAGGAGAATGATACTGGAGAGCTATGGTCTCGAAAAATATATGGAGGAGCACATGAGTTTCACAAGTTACCATTTGAGGGTCATGAAATACGAAGTAGCTGATGACTCGAAATCGAAAGAAACCCTTGATCCAAAACTTGTGCTTAGAGTGCACACGGATAAAGGCTTGATCACCTTACTGTGCCAGAATGAGGTTGGGGGGCTGGAGTTTCAAACCAAGGAAGGTGAGTGGGTTAGTTACCAGCCGACCTCTCCTAGCTCTTTCATCGTCTTGGCTGGTGATGCTCTTCATGTAAGTCGATCGCTCGCTTCCTTGATCTCATGGCTAATTAATTAAGTCGTCGTCGTCGGTTCTAGTAAAAATTATCATCTTTGATCTGTACGTTGACTTCATTTTTCTGACGGCAGGCATGGCTGAACGGTAGGGTTCACTATCCCTATCATAGAGTAAGGCTGTGTGGAAACGATAAGCCGAGGTACTCGTTTGGCCTCTTCACAACCCCAAAGGCAGAGAACACTGTGAAAGCCCCACAAGAACTGATCGACGAACAACACCCCTTACTGTTCAAGCCCTTTGTTTATAAGCAGTATCTTGACGTGGCTTATACCCAAGCTGGTCGTAAAGAGAATGCTCCTTTACGTGCATTTTATGGCCTCTGAAAATATAAAATGTTGCAAGTAAAGCAGCTAGCTAGGTAGGGATATATAAATATGTCCCCCTAGCTAGCTTGGCTTCAACTGCCATGCATATCCACAAAACCTGTTCGGGTCAAGATGTAATAAGATGGTCGGTGTGTTACCTAATGTCGTCTTTGTAATCCTGATCATTATGTCTATAATTCCCAAGGGTACGTAATTGGATGCAATGAAATGCAGAATGAACTTAATTACACTGCCAACAAACAGAATTTGGGCTAGGAAAATAAACGACACATGCCTGCCCTTAATTAGTGCCAAATTTCTATGTTGTATCGATAAGATCGTATTCATGCAACTGCATGCGTACTACAGATCATCAAGTTAATATAAATTATCAATTTCAATCATAAGTACTCTTATCATACCTACCTAATGTAAAGAATGACTAATTAATTTCCCCTACGTACGTAATCTCCTTTGTTTACTATTTCTATATAGATTGCCTCTTCGGGCATATATTCAGCCAAATACAGGAGGACGGATCAATCAAATGCTGTTTATATCAAAACTAGCTTCGTACCCGGCCAGTTGGCCGGGCGTGTTTGATTTCCGATACTTTTTATATTAGGAATCGATAAACAATTACAATATATTATGAATTTGAGTGTCTAAATTATAACCGAAAAATCTAATTTATATGATCTAAATTTATAAACTTATGAAATTCAAAAAAATTAATATATGATTTTAGAATAATTAATTTAAGTTAACCTTTTTTAATCTTGCAATATTTTGTATTTACCAAAAGTCAAAATTACTTGATCTCCTATTATTGATACATCAAATTAAAAGCCAAACCTAGTGAGCAAGCTTATTCGATAACATTGAGTGATGTTCGACTTATCGCCAATTATAATTTTTAACTCTGGCACAGACATTAATACTGATGATAATACACAAAGTTTAGATAAGTTACCGATTCATAAATACCCACTTTCTCCACTTGAACAGAAAGTACATTACGTCTTTCAACATAGAACAGTTAAGTGTATATCAAATTAAGGAACATAAAACATTTAAGCGTATAGCAAATTAAGGAACATTATATGAGATTGAAGAAAAAACAATGTAACCTACAACGGTGGCAGAAGGCAACAATGAGTTTACAATTAAGGTACAACAAAAACATAAGACATAAGGCATGAAGACACAAACACTTAAATGAAGGAATGTGCTACCATAAAAATTGAATTTCACAGCGGAGAGAGAGGGCGGCAGGGAAATCAACATTGCTTTCTCAATAAGAACGGAAAACCCCAAGTCAAATCCCAGTGGAAGGAACATAAAAAAGATCAAATGCAGCGACTGGAAGGGAAAAAGCAAATGGAAGAAGCATTGGGGGAGAATTACATATGGAAACGAAACCCTTCATAACATGATTAATATGGCCGCTGGAACACCGGTTGGAGCATTTGGCGGGAAGAAGACTGGAAATCGTCGCCACGTCGGAGGCATATGGCGATGGTGGATGGGTAGGAGGCAGAGGGTTGGATGCCCGAAAGTTTGCGAAGGGGTTTTTATGGGCCGATGAGGAGAAAGAACCGTTGGGATGACGGTTGGAGGAAGGAATAATAGAGTGGCTGACGTGGATAGCGTGTATGTAGAGAAAGGATTACGTGGCATGGGCAAAAATTAGAAAGTCCTTTAATATTTTTATAGATTATATTACTCATGCAAGTTGGTACCAAATCCATTCATATATATATATATATATATATAACCTGTTATTGCAGTCACATGCAAACCCCCCAAAAAAAAAATTAATAATGCATCTGATCAGCCAGCAAAAGGAATCAAAATAGGCTCTTATATATATGAAGCTCCCAGCTGTTCAAAGCTTCCATTCATAGATTTCTCAAAGCCTAGCTTGGGTTGGGACGATTCCCTGAAACCTCGAGTTTGAGGAGCGTAGACATTCAACGAAGCGATTCATGATGGTGAGATCCGAAGTGATAGTTTTGGTTCGGCGGGAGCACAACAGATTTATGCTGGTTTTAACAAAATATTTGAGAAACGTTATAATACCAAATGAATGTACATATATATAATTTTTCTTAAAATCATTTATATGTAATCTACATCTATAATTAAATAAAACTAGATAATTGGCCCGAGCGTTGCGTCGGGAACTTAGTATAATTTCATTTTTGGTATATTTTTGCATTTTTGGGATTTTTTTGGGTATGTTGTGATATTTTATTTTGTAAGTAAATATCTTTATACTTATGGTCTAAATCATTTAAGCACCAAATTATTTAAGAGAATGAAGTATGCAAAAATTTTGTTTGTTGTAATACATATGTGAAATTTAGGAAAATGACCTTTGAATAATAGAATGAATGACTTAATTGCTTTTGTTGATACTTTTGATATATTTGAGTACACTTATAATTGTACATACAATCTCAAATGCTTACTCTATAAAAGTGGGTTTCCGAGTGTCTTTTTCCGTTTCTCTCAAACATTTCAAATTTGAATGAATTGAATCAAATAATTTTTTTGCAAATATGACACAACTTTCAAATACAACGAAACAAACACATTTTATATGGGTTCTTAGATTAACATTTATCTTCGTATCTAAATTGTAAGAAGAGGAGCTCCAAGACTATGCTCATAAGCATCATTGATTTCATTTACAAAAAAAAAACCTTTATGATATAGTTTGAATTATAGTACATTTAATATTATGGTACAAATTCAATTTATACCTATATCTTTTCATACAACTTTTATTATGATACAAACTAAATATTTACCATAACTTTTAATACAAATTCATATTTATATCAATACCTTTTCATACATACAAATTACTTTATATTACTTACTCCCTTTAACATTACCAATGGAATGAACTCATAGATAACGAAGCGAAGTAAAGTTTGTTTTTCAACTCGCATATAGAACAAAGAACTTGTATCGCCATGATTTTGGGGTGAAGCCACAAAGATAGAGGACAAAGGCAGGTGACATGATGCATGAATCTCCCTATTTGATAAATCTAAGCATGAGACGCGTGTAACTCATGCACAAATGACAATAAAAAAATAATTGATGTCCACTTAATACACCAAACCTTTGTAATCTCTATTGCATATCTTCTGCTGGCATTAGAACCACACCAGATTCATTTATCTTTCATCTTGCCAACCCCAGTTTCCATCTCGAAAGTTCCATCTTGCACTGCTATCTCATTATTGACTGATTCTGTTTCTACCTTCTTTTGTTATAAAATGGGTTAGCATGCTATTTTCAAAACTCTAAGGGGCTACCTTTTCTTCTTTAATTTGCATGTTGGAATCCAGAGCGTCACGGAAAAATTTCCAGGAAATTAAATTAGCTGTGATATGTAGTCTGGCTATATATGCAACCTATTTTTGTGAAGTAGTTTTGGAACGACAGAGCAGCCAGTGGATTCTTCGATCCGATCAATCATAGCTTGGCTTCTCCACCAGCCATCTCCGATCCCAGCTTGGCTAGCCGTCAGAGAGTCGACGGAGGGGAGAAAAGGAGAGGGGAAAACGGAATAGAGGAAAAGTACGAAATAAAAAATAAAAAATAAGTGTAGGTAACTTACTGTAGACCCGCCCGCATTTTAGTAGACCCCTTAAGTACTACTTGCGAATTAATATATCTAATAATAATAATAATATCTAATATCACATTAGAAACCGCAAATCATTAATACAAACCCGCAAATCATCAATACAAACCTAGATGATCCCGATTTGAATGGTTTGGTCGACGCCTTCGCCAGGACATTTTGGGACCAAGGAAAAACCCGAGCTTCGGGTGATGTATACATAACATGAGGGATTAAAATATATTTTAAATATATAAAATTAGTTGAGATATTTTCAAAGAAGGAAAAATCTAGAACAGAAAAGAGAGGGAAGGTTGAAAGAGAAGAAGATGGGAGAATGAAGAATGGTCTAGAGAAAGATTAAAATAATAATTGGTGGGAGATTTTTTGTGGTGTATGTCGGTTGCTAGCTAGTATAAATAGGGGTCTTGCTCATTGTGGTAGGGTGTGGAGTGAAGTGAGAAAAGAAAAGAAAGAAAAGGAAGAGGGAGTGACGTGAGTGGAAGAGAGGAGTGTGGTGAGTTGTGAGAGAGAAATTATAGTGTGGTGAGGTTAGGGCTGTCACCCGGTCGGTTTCGGTTCAACCGAAAACCGAAATCTCGATTTTCGGTTAAACCGAGACCTGACCTGTGACCACCGGCCACCGACCGACCCTGTCGCCTCGGTTATTCGAAAACCGACCGAGCGGTTTCGGTTAAGGCCCGGTTAAACCGCCTACACCGAAAAAAGGGAAGGCCGGTTCGGTCTGCTGGTCTAACCGACCGAAAACTGGAATAAACCGATTGGAAACCGAAATAAACCGACCGCCAGAACCTAAAAACCGACCGCCAAGACCGAAAACCGACCGGACAGCAAGGGAAAAAACCTAAAATGGCCTAAAATTAAAATCTCAAACCTACATTTCAATTCGTTTTGCACCGAAAATACATCTAAATTAGCAATTTAATGTCTCATATTCATTAATTCAGCAACATAAACTCCACAAATCACAATAAGTCCACTAGATAACAACAAATCAACAACACATCATAAACAATCTATCATCACTTATCACCGGCCTTAGAAGAACCAACATCTGCATAACCCTGTTCCTTCAATACGTCCCTCAAGTCATGACCATAATCGTCATATCCATTTTTCTCATACTCTTCCTCCGGTGCATCTTCTTCACCCTCCTGCTCATTCTCCACTGGAATGTTGAGGCTTGCATCTGTATTGCCAACATTGCCAGTATTCGTTGCACTTTCCATTCTAGTTTGGAAAGTGACATTAACTGAGTAAGAAAAAAAAAGGAAAACAAAGTGTTAGTACTTTCCAAAGTGTTAGTACATTGAATCAGGTGAAAAGAAGACAAAAAACTGAACAATAAGAGAGTTTGAGAAACTCACTACTTTCCAAAGTCAAATTCTCTTCATCATCTTCCTTGTCGTCGATCTCCCTGGATCCGGGATACCTTATCCAATCCTCGGCACAAATCAATGCCTCCACCATTAGGTCGCTCAAAGAGGACCTGAATGGACTGAGAATCCGCCCGCCACAACTGAATGTTGCCTCTGAGGCAACAGAAGAGATAGGAACAGCTAGGACATCCTTAGCCATCTCAGCAACAATCGGATAGATTCCAGAGTGTCGAGACCACCAATCCAAAATGTCAAACTTTGCATCATCACTTTCTTCATTGATACCATCGATTTGACATTTCAAATAGATGTCAAGCTCAGCCAGAGCTACCTCCTGTTTCCAGCAGAAGTGCTTCCCTTTTTCTCTTTCTAAGCCTCTCCTCCAATAACTTAATCCGATCACCAGCACCATCAACAATACCCTCATCAACAATGTTATCATCAGTGGTAGCCTGAGATGCTAACTCTGATCCATACTTCCTCTTATAAATCTCAAACATCTGTCGCATCTCCCTTTTAATCTTATCCTGAATTTCCCCTCCTTTGATACTTCCATAAATCATTATCAACACTTCAGACACAAGATCAAGTTTACTTCTAGGATCAAGCACACATGCTATATAGGTTAAATTATTCACCCGATGATTCTCCTCATTCATGATAGGTGTGTCAAACCAATACTTTCGTACCTTTTCTTCAACCTTTTCTGCCATCCTTTTGAGCTCTTCACGCAGATCATTCTTCAATTCTTGAATGATGTCATAAATTGGAACAAGTTTCTTGAAGAAAAGATGGATAGTCACATATTTAGTTCCTGTACAAATGAGAATAGAATACAGGAAATTAGACTTAAACAAACCAAAATTGTCAAATGTTCAAAATAAAATAAACAAATTGTCAAATTTCACTTACCTGAGACTAGGAGGGTAAAGTCATTAAAGACCTTCAGATACTTCATCAACTTTCTAATCAGACTCCAATCATGTTCAGTTGGAAGACCACCTCTTGCGTCAATATAATCCCTGAAGGAATGGTCATGTATACTTGTATACAAAGTGGTAAACACTCCACCAAACCTTTCTGCTGCTTCTAACATGATATAGGTGGAGTTCCACCTGGTCGGTACATCCAAACACACCAATTTGGTAGAATCCAACTCCAGAAATTGCATAGCAGTCTTGAACCTTGCCAACCTAGCTGGCGATGACCTCACCCATTTCACACAGTCCCGAATTCTATCCACAGCTCCTCCGATTACTTTCAATCCATCCTGCACTACCAGATTAATGATGTGTGCGACACATCGAAACTGCAGATACTTCCCATCCATCAAATCACACCTCCACACCTTTAATTTCCTTCTCATGCAATCACTCACAATATCATTTGTAGATGCATTGTCCATGGTCATGCAGAACAAATTCTTCACCTTCCATTCTTCAAGAATTTCTGCAAGCTTCTCTGCAATATCATTTCCTGTATGACTTGTGATCGGAACAAAAGAGATCACCTTCTTCTGCAACTTCCAATCACCTCCAACAAAGTGAGCAGTCACACACATGAAATTTTTGTTGTTGTCAGAAGTCCACGTGTCTGTGGTGATTGAAACTCTGCCTTTGCTCTTTGATTCAAAAAACTCTATCAAATTCATCTTTTTCTCCAAGAATATATGAAAGCAATCATCTCTTATACCTCTCCTCCCAGGTATCTTAAACAGTGGCTGAACCGTATGCATAAACTGCTTAAACCCGTCTCTTTCCACAAAGCGAAAAGACAACTCATCCATTATAATCATCATGGCTAATGCATATCTTGCTTTTGCTTGATCAAATTTCCATAAAGCACTTACTTTACTACCATCTGCGGCCTGCAAGTTCAGAACAGTCTGATCCTTGGATGCTGCAACCTTAGCCAAACATTTGAGCCGATGGGTATTCATTGCAGAAGTGTCGTTCTTGGATGGATGTGCTTTGATCTTAGTGTGACAATGCTTGCACTCTCCAAACGGATATTCATCCACCGCCACCCTCGTAAAGTCCTTCCAGCAATCAGCTGTACCTACTGTCTCCAACCATTTCCCTAAATTGAAGGGATCTAAAGAAGCTTTATTTGGAGCCGGATTAACCGTTTCTGCTGAAGGAGGCTCAGTAGCAGGTGTACTTCCACTACCGGCATGGGCGGGAGTCGATGCAATTGATGCCGATGCCGACGGTTCAGAAAACTGAACAAGCCGACTCCCTGTACGTCCACCACGACCCCGATTCTGAGTAGGAGGGGCTGAGGCACCCGCACCACCACGACCTCGAGGGGCCGGAGGTCTCCCACCACGAGAAGCAGTCTCAGCGGATGGTGCACCTCGTCCGCCACGTCCACCACGTGGAGCCGGAGGTCTCGCCCTACATCAAATTATCATCATCAATCATCATCAGCAACTAACAATCATCATTCGACATTCATAATCAATCGCCCTAAATTCATTAATCATCATCAATCATCATCAGCAACTAACAATCAACAAGAACCGAATCCATTAAATCAATAAATAATGATAAAAGAAAGAAAGCAGAGGGATGCCGAGCTGAAGGAGGGAATTATCTGTTTGAAGCAAAGCCAATTTGTAAGCTTTAGCATTCAATGAAGTTTGCTATAGAAAAACACAAATTCGGATCACAAATGGAAGTAACCAAACAGAGGAAGCAGTTCTGATTTCTGAAGTTCATCTATGGTGGCCAAGCTTCAGTTTCCCAACGAATTTGTAATATCCACTTCACCAAAATTCATCATCATCATATGTTCAAAATCATCACCAATCCACCAAAATCATCATTCAACATCCATAATCAAAAATTCAAAATATAAACATCATTATATTAATCACCGAACATCACCAATTCACCAAAATCATCACCAATCCACCAAATTAATTCGACCTACACCAAATTAATTCGACCTACATAATTGAATTGAATGTTGAATACACTAATTGACTAATTCGACCTACATTAATTCGACGAGCTGCTGCCTGCTGGCCTGCTGCAGTGCGGCTTCAAAATGGGCGACGCCGCGACGGACGAGCTGTTGCGACGAGGAGGGCGGCGGGGTGACGAGAAGTAGGACGGCGGGGTCGGAGAGCTGGGACTGCCGCCGCCGCGCCGGTCGTGAGGGTGAGGGAGAAGGAGGGGGTCGGGGTCGCCGGTCGTGAGGGAGAAGACGAAGAGGGAGGCTGGGACTGGGAATGACGAAGAGGGAGGCTGGCTGGCAGCTGCGATCTGCGAAGGCAGAAGACGAAGAGGAATGGCCTAGGCTAGGGTTGGGGGTCGTTTTTACTCTTCGACAAAACAACGTCGTTCGTCGGTCGGTTAGAGACGGTTAGCCTGTTAACCGGCTAACCGCCTAACCATTCCTCACTGCCGACAACCGACCGCCCCTAATAAATTTCGGTTTCCGGTTAGCCGATAACCGGCGGTTAGCGGTTAAACCGGCCGGTTAACCGCTAACCGGAAACCGAATTGACAGCCCTAGGTGAGGTTTATGTTTGTAAGTGTGAGCTCTCTTGTAAAATAATAAAATAGCGAGTGAAGTTTGTGAAAGTGTCAATTTAGCCCACTAAATTCAACAAGTGGTATCAGAGCCAAGGTTATGCTGAGTATGCTCTGTGGTTGCAGCTAAGTCTGATCTTCCACATCAGAAAAGTTATCCTTGGAATTTTTGATACGTTGTTGAAAAGCTAACGGTCTAGGACCGTATTTGTGCTACCAATCCGGGATTGGTAAAGCGAGCCGGAGTGCTGCCGGTGTACAGTCTGGGACTGTGATTCCATTTGGTTTCGGACCAAGTTCACACCAAGGAGAGTGTGATTATGGATGTGGTTGGGAGCATCAAGAAGCTCAACAACCAGAATTACAGCACATGGGCAACGTGTTTGGAGTCCTACTTACAAGGACAAGGTCTATGGAGCCTGATTGGTGGGAGTGAGACACGAGAGCCTGCCGGAGATAATGATGCCATCGAGAAGTGGAAGATGAGAGCTGGCAAAGCGATGTTTGCCATCAAGGTCACAATTGAAGACGAAATGCTGGAGCACGTCAGATATACCACCACACCGAAGGATGCCTGGGACACACTAGCCTCTCGATTTTCAAAGAAGAACGATATGAAGCTTCAACTCTTGGAGAATGAGTTGCTGTCAACTGTTCAAGGCAAGATGACAGTGAGTCAGTATTTCACGAAGATAAAATCAATCTGTCGTGAAATAACTGAGCTAGACCTCAAGTCAAAAATTGAAGAAGACAGAATGAGGAGGATTATTATTCATGATCTAGCTCCCGAGTATAGAAGTTTTATTGCTGCCGTTCAAGGATGGCCAACTCCACCGACGCTCGAACAGTTGGAGAATTTATTAACCAACCAGGAGACTCTGACAAAGAAAGGCAACGGTGAGTCTACTGCAAATGAAGAGGAGGCACTATTCAGTAACAGACAAAAGGGCCAGTTTACAAGGAAAAACTTCAGACCAAGGCAAGATAAAGAACAAGATAGCCCAAGACAACCAAGATATCAAAATGCTCGACGTGGAAGACCGCGTGTGTGGCAGGGTCAGGAGAAGAAGCCCAACAATAACTTCAAACGAGAGAATGATGGATGCTACAATTGCGGCAAGAAAGGACATTATGCTCGAGACTGCTGGCACAAGAAAAGAATGGAAGGGAATGCTGCTATGTCCAGTAATCCTGAGGAGCATAGTGAAGAAGAGTGGAACCTGGAAGTTTCTGCAGCATCAGCAGAGGTGATTGAAGAATGTGCTGAAGAAGCAAGTGACTGTGATCTGGTACTGTCAACTATGACAGAAGAGTATCAGAACATATTGGAGATTGAAGAGGAAGACGGGGTAGATCAAGCATTAGCTACATCACATCAAAAGTCAGTGGATTACAAGAAGAATTGGATCTTCGACTCGGGTTGTTCAAACCACATGACTGGCGATAAGGAGAAACTTAAGGACACAACAAAATATGAAGGACGCAGAGTTGTGGTGACAGCAAATAACGCAAAACTTCCAATATCACACGTGGGGAGAACAATGGTGACTTCATCATGCAACTCGAAGGAATTTCAACTAGATGAAGTCTACCATGTCCCGGGGATCAAGAAAAATTTGTTGTCCATAACTCAACTCACAGCACCAGGAAACTATGTTGTATTTGGCCCAGATGATGTCAAGGTATGCAAAGAAATCAAGATCGTCGGCACGCCTCTCATGGAAGGATTAAAGAAGGATTCAATGTATGTGATGTCGGCAGAGTCAGCCTATATTGATCGAGCAAGAAAAAATGACACAGTTGACTTGTGGCATGCTCGCCTCGGTCATGTCAGTTATCACAAGCTTCAAGTGATGATGAAGAAATCTATGTTGAAAGGTCTTTCCCAACTGGAGGTTCGAGACAACATAGTCTGTGCAGGATGCCAATATGGCAAGGCACATCAGCTTCCCTATGAGGAGTCACACTATAAAGCAAAGGAGCCTTTGCAGCTGGTTCACTCAGACGTATTTGGACGAGTTAAGCAAACATCTATAAGTGGTTGTCGTTATATGGTAACATTTATTGACGACTACTCCAGATACGTGTGGGTGGCATTCATGAAGGAGAAGTCAGAAACCTTCATGAAGTTCAAGGAATTCAAAGAGAAGGTCGAAGCTGAGTTAGGAAGGAGAATTAAAGTACTACGCACGGACAATGGGGGAGAGTATAAATCTGATGAGTTCTATGATTACTTAAAGAGACACAAGATCAGGAGACAGTTGACCTGCCCGAGGACACCACAACAAAATGGCGTGGCAGAAAGGAAGAACAGACATCTTGCAGAAGTAGTCAGAAGTATGTTGCATGCCAAGAATGTGCCAGGAAGATTTTGGGCTGAGTGTATGAAGACCGCAGTTTACATCACCAACAAACTTCCTCAAGCAAGATTTGGATTCATATCACCATTTGAGAAGATATGGAAGATGAAGCCAACAGTCAGCCACCTCCGAGTATTTGGATGTGTATGTTATGTCCTCGTTCCAGAGCAAGAAAGAAGCAAGTTCGACAAGAAAGCAAAGCGATGCATCTTTCTTGGGTATGACAGTGAGAGAAAAGGCTGGAGGTGTTATGATCCAACAACAAATAAGGCAATGGTTTCCAGAAATGTTGTCTTTGATGAAGCATCCTCCTGGTGGACTCCTGTTGAAGTATTATTACCCGACAAGGAGAAAGAGAGTCAAGCTCAAGAAAGCGAGGGGGAGCAATCTGAAGTGAAGGAATCGACACATCCAGACCCCATGCCTGAATCAAGTCAGAGCAAAGTAATGCAGTCACCTAACCTCAAGGAAACAGGAGAGTTTGAAGAATTTCTCCCAAGTCAAGAAGGAATGCCAAAGACTAATGATGATGAACAACCAGAGCTACGACGTTCAAAAAGGCCCAGGAGGTCTAACCCAAAGTATGCAAATGCGGCCATTATAGAAGAAGAGAAAGAGCCAACAAGTTACGAGGAAGCCTCAAAACATGAAAAATGGAGAAAGGCCATGAAGGAAGAAATAAGAGCCTTGATAGAAAATGAGACATGGGAGATAGTACCTAAGCCCATGAATGCACAACCAATATCCTGCAAATGGATATACAAGGTCAAAACTCGGCCAGATGGATCGGTGAAACGATACAAGGCTCGGTTAGTGGCACGAGGCTTCTCTCAGCAATATGGCCTAGACTATGATGAAACATTTAGTCCTGTGGCCAAGATAACTACTGTTCGAGTTCTATTAGCACTAGCAGCAACTAAAGGATGGAAGTTGTGGCAGATGGATGTTAAGAATGCATTCTTGCACGGGGAGCTTGACAGAGAAATCTATATGGATCAACCACAAGGGTTTGAAAGTGTCACACATCCAGGATACGTATGCAAGTTGAAGAAGGCGCTATATGGACTGAAACAAGCTCCACGAGCATGGTATGGAAAAATTGCAGAATATTTAGATCGCAATGGTTACATGCTAGCTCCAGCTGATTCTAGCCTGTTCGTGAAGAATAGACAAGGAAAATTGTCCATAGTACTTGTCTATGTGGATGATCTCATCATCACTGGGGATGATGTGGCAGTGATTTCACAAATCAAGGAAAATCTCTCAGTGCGCTTCAGGATGAAGGAACTTGGAGAATTAAGGCACTTTCTCGGGCTTGAAGTTGAAAGAACTAAAGAAGGATTATTTCTCTGTCAACACAAGTATGCAAAGGATCTTCTAGAGAAATATGGAATGCTGGAGTGCAAACCAGTAACTACTCCAGTAGAGATCAGTGCAAAACTTTGCTCTACAGAGGGAAAAGACTTAGAAGACAGAACGATATATCGACAGCTGGTAGGAAGTTTGATCTACCTAACACTGACGAGGCCGGATATATCATATGCAGTTGGGCTGGTTAGCCGTTTCATGGAAAGTCCAAAGAAACCTCATCTAGAAGCAGCAAAGCGGATTTTGCGATACGTAAAAGGAACTGTTAATCATGGAATCTTCTACAAGAGAGGCGGAACAGGAGAACTAGTTGGATACTGTGATGCTGATTACGCTGGAGATCTTGATACCAGGAAATCAACAACAGGATATGTATTCAGCATCGGATCTGGACCAGTGTCATGGTGTAGTAAAAAGCAATCTACTGTGGCACTATCTACGACTGAGGCAGAATACAAAGCTTCAGCAATGGCAGCTCAAGAATGTGTGTGGCTAGTACAACTTCTACAAAATTTGGGACAACAGGTGAACTACTCAGTACCGATATATTGTGACAACCAATCAGCCATGCGACTTGTGGAGAATTCTGTATTTCACGCAAGGACAAAGCACGTGGAGGTACAATATCACTTTATCAGAGAGAAGGTACTGCAAGGGTTTGTCAGCATGAAGTACGTCAACACTGAAGATCAGGTTGCTGACATTTTCACTAAAGGGTTAAGCGGACCACGACTTCAAGATCTCACGAGAAGGCTCGGAGTAACGGAAAAAGACCAAATATATTTTAAGGGGGAGAATTGAGGGATTAAAATATATTTTAAATATATAAAATTAGTTGAGATATTTTGAAAGAAGAAAAAATCTAGAACAGAAAAGAGAGGGAAGGTTGAAAGAGAAGAAGATGGGAGAATGAAGAATGGTCTAGAGAAAGATTAAAATAATAATTGGTGGGAGATTTTTTGTGGTGTATGTCGGTTGCTAGCTAGTATAAATAGGGGTCTTGCTCATTGTGGTAGGGTGTGGAGTGAAGTGAGAAAAGAAAAGAAAGAAAAGGAAGAGGGAGTGACGTGAGTGGAAGAGAGGAGTGTGGTGAGTTGTGAGAGAGAAATTATAGTGTGGTGAGGTTTATGTTTGTAAGTGTGAGCTCTCTTGTAAAATAATAAAATAGTGAGTGAAGTTTGTGAAAGTGTCAATTTAGCCCACTAAATTCAACATAACACATATTCGAGATTTAGGTTTACCAAGTAATGACAGGAGGGGAAAGTTAGACAAAGATAGTTTTACCAGGTTTAGTTTTAGTTTGCGACTTGCGCACGTCTGTTTTCACTTGGAGCCTGGAATAACACTTTTTTGCGACCATTAGTTTGGTCATGAAAAACTGTTTTCTCGAGGGTTTTTTGTACACTTGCTAGGATTATTCTTTGCAATGATTTTGATATTTTTGGCGACCATTTGTTTGGTCACAAAAACTATTTCCTTATGGTTTATCATACACGGCTCCAATGCCATATATAATTTGCATTAAAATTATGGGAAACCCCCTAAACTAATGGTTTGAGGTAGGAGGAAAGATAATGTTGCCAGGAGAACATATATAGATCATATGTTCTTTCAGTGTGAGTGCTCGTTTAATGTTTTGAAAGGTTGCTTGCAGATGTTTCAGCAGTTCAACGGCAAGAAAGAGACTGCCACACAGTTGGGAGGTTGGTCTGGAACATGGCCATTAGCTAGGCATTAGTATGATATGGCGTGAACGATGTGCAAGAGTTCATGGAGGGCAAGTTAATCTATGTAGTGAAGTAGTGAGATTGGTTTACATGTGGATTGTAGTAGTTTTCATGTAATTAGAGGGTAGTTTATGGTTGTTTGTGAGTAGTACTGTACGTGTAGACTTGTGCAGAAAACACTGCAGAATTGTTTAGTGCTGTAACTTATCAGATGTTGTTCTCTGTTTTGAGAACACATTGAGCTGAATATAAAGTTTTTATATGGCCCATAAATAAGATAATGTTCTACTTTTCTAGAAACCAAACTTAATCAAGTTAATTATTTGGAAGTAGAATATTTATTTCAGTTGGTCCAAATTAAGGCTGCAGATAACTTAGAATATTCCATAACCACCACCATGCATCCACACCACACTGTTGTTGCTGATCCACCGCAAGACAAGCAGAGCCAGGATTAAATTAAGTAGTACTGTATATGTCGACATGTCTGTTAAGACGTCCAAACCAGTTACAAAAACACAGGCAGGCAGTTTTAGGCACAACCTAGCAACAAGCTTAGCTACTTAATTATCATCATTATGGGCTCTAATAGTAACATTGAAAAGCACCTAGAAAAGCTTCCATTCATAGATTTCTCGAGGCCGCACGATTGGGATTCTCCTGAGACTCCAAGTTCGAGGCACTGGACGGCTGCTTTCGAGGCGTCCTACTTGAACCCTTTGTGATGCAGATGCAGATGCAGATGGGATTGAGGTGGAGGATGCGTTCAGATTTGTTGAAGAGCTTTGCGAGCTGCCCTTGACCACAAAACAGCCAAGGTTCATGATGCTAGTTATGGCATTTGGGCTTAAGAGATGCCAACACAAAAAGTAAGAGAAACAGATGGGGGAATATCCCAAAGACAGAGACATAAGCAGGGGATAAACAGGACCAAGGTCCCCAGATGAGCCAAGCCAGAAAAATGGAAGACCTTCCGCCGCCGCCAGCCCACTCCAGAGACAAACCCAGACAGACCTCCATGAGAAAAGTCAAAAGCAACTTCAACCAACATAAACAGCGACTTCGACTTCGAGCATCCCTGTGGGCAAGCAAACAACAATACTCCCTTCAACTTCTTTCCCTAGAGCGAAACCATGGTTAAAGTTGGATAATCGTTACTCTGGGACATCAACTGAATGAAGATGCTTCACTGTTCTTATCTTCAGCTGCATGAGCCTCCTCTGAAAATTACCCCCACTGTTGTCTTGTACAGATAATACAGTATGTCCCGCAATTATAGAGCCTCGTCGCAATCTCCCAACTATCGTTAAAAATGTTAGCGCTAAAAGATGTAACATGGAACACGCTATTATATGGGGAATGTCAAGATCAGAACCGGAGCATATGTGTGCTGTAACAGCACCATGGAGCTTCTGCTGCTCCTGTTGCAGCTGAATGCGGTGTGTCTCATGACCTGCTGCTGCTGCCTTCAAAACATCTCAGGAATACGCTACAGCATTTCGTCAGTTTCATGGCGCAATTCGTCAGGAACCTGCAAAGGAGACCCCACAGATATGGCGCGCTAATAAGAGATGAGATTAGCCATAATCTTCAAGAACAATATCACTAGTAAAAAGATTGGACCACAAAACCAAATGTATGTGGTTAAGATACGTACCACCCTAGTTTGGATGTCGCTTCTTCTTCACCTACTTCCTTCCCCTCCGTTACTTGTTCTGTTTCATTCTCGATGTCTTCTTCTTCTCCTTCATCATCATCATCTTCTTCTTCTTCATTATCGTCATCTTCTTCTTCATCATCATCATCTTCTTCTTCTTCATCTTCTTCTTTTTCTTCTTCATATTCTCCATTGTCCGCCCAATCCTCATTGAATCGACCATCTATCATGATCATCGTGTCATCTATTTGAACCCGTGAAATGTGAGCAACCTTGGTAAAATTCTCAGCCAAAAATTCTGCCACAGTTTTGTTGTAGCAAAAGATTGTCAAGTCTCGTAGATGTGTGGGATTGGGAATCCACTCTGGCATGCAGGTGACTGGGCAATCTGCTATCTCAATACATTTCAAGCTTGTAGCAAACTGAAGCCACTCCGGGAGAGAAATCAACTTTGGAATTTCCTCAAAAGTAACCTGAGAGAGGCTTGTCAGGACAGCATCATGCTGCTGCAGCATAGGCACTTGTGCAGCATCTTCCCTGTTAATAACGTCAAACAGATCCAATTCCCGGCAATTTTCGATCTTCAGTTTCTCGAGAGAATCGAGGCAATATGGCAGGGATGGATACAGAGTGCTGAGATGGCAACACCCTGAGATGGATAGTGTTTTCAATGAAGAAAAACGTGGGAGTATCTCTTCTGGTAGAGTATCAAGGTCATCTATGTCGTGAAGATAGAGATCCTCGAAATGAGAGCACGAAGGTGGAGGAGAGTTGGGAAGAGAAGCAGAGGGCATTCTCAGGATGTGCTTCAACATGTCTTTGCTGCCACCAGATAACTCAAGAGATTGCAATTGTGGGGAGAAACAGGGAATGGACATGATGCTATTGCATTCCGATATGTCGACTTCAGAAGCACAAGCAAATTCGGGCAATGATTCTGCCGGTATCAACCATCCCTTTAGATTAGGACAGCGCTCAAGTTTCAAGGACTTGAGAGAAGGGAAAAAAGAGGACGGAGATGACAGTTGCGAAGTGAATGGCACACTACTCTCTATCCACTCCAAGGATTCCATATTTGAGAGCTCCAATTTTGTAAGGGCAGGCAGATGATCCAACGGCAGGAGGCGTTTCCAGTTCTTGCAACTCACAATCTGAATCTCCACCAAACTTGTCAAAGAAGGAAGCCAGCTTGGGCAATTCAATCCAGCATTAGTTCGCAAGTGTAACAACTTCAAGTTGGGGTGAGGATGTAATGCTTCCAATAACTCTCCTTCCATGGAAACATCACTGCCCCCGCCCCAAGATTCCCATGACAGCTCTAGTTTCTCCAGATGCTTCTTGTCTCCCAAGTTAGCTGACTTGCCTTCACATGGGTTCTTCACCCACTTAAGATTTTCAACTCTCAAGCTTCCCCTTAAGTTGTTCAAGTATTGCAACTCACCAATCCCAGCTGATGGTGAGCTATGCTCAGTGTCCCCTTCTGCAATGCGGAATATCACCAGTTCTCTTAGACAGCATAGTTGCCCAATTCCACGTGGCATACATGTCAAATCTCTACACCCATCCAGCCCAAGGTGAACTAGACTCGATAGCTTCCATGTGTTTCTCGGCAGCTGTTTAAGTAAGCAACAACCCTCCAATATGAGGACTTCCAAGTTTACTAGCTCGGTGATCTCCTCTGGTAGCATCTCCATGAGATTCTCAGTAAGATCGAGATGTCTAAGGTGCTTCAATTTGTGAATAGTATGTGACACGTGCAACATCCTGAAATGACCAAGATCCAACATCCTTAGGCTTGTTGTATTACAGTAGGTGATTTCACCAAGATTTTCTCTTCCATTCAACCAATCCTGATTTGTAGGGAAAAGAGTCCTCAACTTCTTTTCCTTGTTGATTGTGGAAGTCCAATGCGACATCAATTCCTCGGGGCTCAACTCATCATTGAAATCCATTGAGGCATGACGAACTCTATTTAAAGCTGAATCATCGCTATGTGAACTTGGTGAGTTTGAGATAGCCAAAGAGATGATCTCTTCTCCAGCAACTGATATAGCTAAATCATGCATTAGATCATGCATTTTGCAAAATTTAATGTTTCCACATTCATCCTTTTCTGTTTCTTGAAAAAAACACCTCCAAAGAAGATCCTTGAAATATTCGAAACCGAGATCAAACTGGTTTGATGAATCAGATGACTTAACATACCCCTGAGCGACCCACAGCTGTATCATTTTTTTAACATCGAATTTGTGATCTTTTGGGAACAATCGGCTATAGGCGAAACAATGCTTCAAGATGTGTAGGCAAGTGATCATAACTCAACTCATCATTGAAATCCATTGAGGCATGACGAACTCTATTTAAAGCTGAATCATCGCTATGTGAACTTGGTGAGTTTGAGATAGCCAAAGAGATGATCTCTTCTCCAGCAACTGATATAGCTAAATCATGCATTAGATCATGCATTTTGCAAAATTTAATGTTTCCACATTCATCCTTTTCTGTTTCTTGAAAAAAACACCTCCAAAGAAGATCCTTGAAATATTCGAAACCGAGATCAAACTGGTTTGATGAATCAGATGACTTAACATACCCCTGAGCGACCCACAGCTGTATCATTTTTTTAACATCGAATTTGTGATCTTTTGGGAACAATCGGCTATAGGCGAAACAATGCTTCAGATGTGTAGGCAAGTGATCATAACTCAACTCATCATTGAAATCCATTGAGGCATGACGAACTCTATTTAAAGCTGAATCATCGCTATGTGAACTTGGTGAGTTTGAGATAGCCAAAGAGATGATCTCTTCTCCAGCAACTGATATAGCTAAATCATGCATTAGATCATGCATTTTGCAAAATTTAATGTTTCCACATTCATCCTTTTCTGTTTCTTGAAAAAAACACCTCCAAAGAAGATCCTTGAAATATTCGAAACCGAGATCAAACTGGTTTGATGAATCAGATGACTTAACATACCCCTGAGCGACCCACAGCTGTATCATTTTTTTAACATCGAATTTGTGATCTTTTGGGAACAATCGGCTATAGGCGAAACAATGCTTCAGATGTGTAGGCAAGTGATCATAACTCAACTCATCATTGAAATCCATTGAGGCATGACGAACTCTATTTAAAGCTGAATCATCGCTATGTGAACTTGGTGAGTTTGAGATAGCCAAAGAGATGATCTCTTCTCCAGCAACTGATATAGCTAAATCATGCATTAGATCATGCATTTTGCAAAATTTAATGTTTCCACATTCATCCTTTTCTGTTTCTTGAAAAAAACACCTCCAAAGAAGATCCTTGAAATATTCGAAACCGAGATCAAACTGGTTTGATGAATCAGATGACTTAACATACCCCTGAGCGACCCACAGCTGTATCATTTTTTTAACATCGAATTTGTGATCTTTTGGGAACAATCGGCTATAGGCGAAACAATGCTTCAGATGTGTAGGCAAGTGATCATAACTCAACTTTAGTGTTGGCATAATATCATTCTCATTCTCATCTATTTCCCACATCTCTTTACTCTTAAATGCAACCCACTCTGATTCACTCTCCTTAAAGAACAACGCACCCGCAACAGTTTTAATAGCCAAAGGAACACCCTTACACTTCTCCACTATCTCTCTTCCAATCGAGTCATGTCTCCTGCTCGTTGCTTCCCCACCTTCAAATGCTATTTCCCGGAACAAAGACCAAGATTCGCTCATGTCAAGACCCTTCAGTTCATACGGTTCCATCCATGTTGCAGCTATCTTTGCAATCTTATGTAGCCGTGTGGTCATTATAATGCGACTTCCCTCTGCACCGCCCTTCAACAATCCCTTCAAACGACTCCATTTCTCTCTATCCTCATTCCACACATCGTCTAGCACAATCAGATACCTTTTCCCGTTCACATTTTTTTGGAGAAGCTCCCTCAAAGTATCCATCTCCAAGTTCTTGTCGCACTTCTGCTTGGTACAGGACTCGACAATCTTTTCAACCAACTGCTTGACATCAAAGTTGTCCGAAACACACACCCAAACTTTGAGCTCGAAATGAGATTCAACTGATGAGTCATTATAGACAACCTGGGCCAGTGTTGTTTTGCCCAACCCTCCAATACCAACTATTGGGACTACGGAAACATTGTCCTGCTTACGGCAAGAGGACTGCAGCAAAAGCTTTAGAATTTTCTCCTTATCAGCCTCTCTCCCAACAACCACTTCGGGAACATCAGAGTGGGTCTGCTCCCTCTGCTTCCTAGTCGTTGACTCAACCGAACGCACTTCCAAGTGAAACATCTCTCTCCTTTCCGCAATCTCATCTAGTAAGGCTCTAATGGCTTGGATCCCATGAACAATTTTCAAACCATAAGCAACTTGGTTCGAGCTCGAAAAGAAAATCCTAACCTGTTTCGAGATTTGTTCGCTGGCAGTAGTCATCCCTTGGTGCCGCAGTACCTCAGTGGAGAAGTCGTCGAGCAAGTCCTCGGCATCATAAACGACTTGCCGCAGCTCCTTGAGCCAGAGTCGAAGTTGATAGCTTTGGGGAGAGTGCGACTTCTCCTCTGCGTCCAGTAGAACAGCTTGGATGGAGGAAAGGGTGCGAGTTAGTTTCTGGATGTCGTCTCCGATTCCCCATAAAAGTGCAGCTTCTTGGAAGACTTTGGTATACACACTCTCAATATTGATGCAGGTGGTGAAGAATGGTTATGCATACCTTGTGTGCTTTCTGGTGTGTGATGTAAGTCTGTAACTGAGTTTCAACATGTGTTAATTTGTTTTATTAATGCAAAGAGATTCCTTTTATAGTTATACGAGTTAAACTGCATTTTTGTTAAAACTTAAAGTGATGACTAATTTATAAGTCACTTCAAAGTTCAGTCAACGTTTTTGTTCTCAACTCATAGAACAGCAGGAATCCAAATTTTCAGCCAGCTTCTACTTGTAAATCCGGGTTAATTGCAAGGATGGTTACTGAGTTTACTAAAATCGTTCATGTTTGGTCAGTGCAAATATTTAATTCTATTCATGGTCATTAAGATTAATTCAATAGTTCAAGTTTGGTCACTCTCCGTTAGTCTTCGTTAGTTTTTGCTGATGTGGCTGTCAACTATTATAGTTGACCGTTAAATGAGTGACATGGCCATTAAAAAAATAATAAAATAATAAATTTAAATATTTACAATTTCCACATCATTTTACAACTATTAAAAAATAAAAATAAAACTTACCTCTGCCCTCCTCCTCTGCCACTCCTCCTTCCGATTCTTCTTCCCAATCTTCCCCGTCGCTTCCTCTCCCCCACTCCTCCTTCCGGCGAAACCCCACTTCTGTCTCAACTACGCCGCTGTTGCCCTAAACATACAACCCCCGCCGCTCCGCCGTATCCCGGTGGTGCATTTCCATCCCCATACATCCTCGTTCTACTCTAACCCTCCCTTCGGCAATGGCGGCCACTCCAGTCCCTGAATCCGTCGATGGCCCCGTCCTCAGCCTAATCAACAAGCGCCTCCGCGCCCTCCTCAAGAAGCAAAATTGAATCATCCAGATGGAAGAGTCCGTCGCCCAGGGCAAGGTACTCAACAACGAACAAAGGGAAGTCCTCCGCTCCAAACCCTCCGTCTCTGCCACAATCGACGAGCTCGAGAAGCTCCGCCAGCCTCTCTCCGTCTCCGTCTCCGAGGAAATCAAGCTCGCCATCGAGCGGCACCGCACCGAGTCTCAACCCTCCCCCGGTGTCCCCGCTGCTGCTGCTGATGTCGCCGCGGCGAAAGAGGAGAAGAATGGCGAGACCGAGCGCAGAGAAGAAGAGGAGGGGAGTCAGCCCACCACCACTCAATCTACCCACCCACCACCACCGTCGTCGCCGCCCGGCCGAATCATAACTACTTCCTCAGACTCCCATTGCTCCACAAACCCCCCATTCTCCACCCCACTCCAAGCCCTCTCCTTCGACGCCCGCCGCCTCTCCCTCCTCCACCACAGTCACCGCCATCGCCTCCCCTCCCTCAGATCTCCGCTCGTCTCTGGCGCCTCCTCCGGCTCTGGCCAGTACTTCGGCATTTCCCCCCGATTTCAGTCAATGGCAGACAATCCAATCCTTCTCTCCGATGAAGACGCCGACGATCCAAGCACTCCGATTCCACCCCTCTCCAAGAGGCTCCGCGCCGCTCGAGCGGAGCTCGGGCTCGACCCGGCCCCTACCATCTTCCTCATCGACGACGATCCCTCTCCGTTCAAGCCGTCGTCGAATTCCTCATCCGCTCCTCTGTCGTCCCGGAAACTCCGATGTCTGATATGGCCGCCGTTGGGAGACGCACGGTGGACCTTTCGACTCCAGAAATTAGGGTTCCTGATTTCGGCCTCATCGACGAAGATCCCATACGAATCGGAATTCCTCATCTGCTCTCTCTGTTGTACCAGAAACCCTGATGTCTGATGTTGCCGCCGCTAGGTTTTGGAAAGAAGGGGATGGTCCAGTGGCAGAGGAGGAGGAGGGCAGAGGTAAGTTTTATTTTTATTTTTTAATAGTTGTAAAATGAGGTGGAAATTGTAAATATTTAAATTTTATTATTTTATTATTTTTTTAATGGCCACGTCACTCATTTAACGGTTAACTATAATAGTTGACTGCCACATCAGCAAAAACTAACGGAGACTAACGGAGAGTGACCAAACTTGAACTATTGAACTAATCTTAATGACCATGAATGGAATTAAATATTTGCAGTGACCAAACATGAACGGTTTTAGTAAACCCAGTAACCATCCTTGCAATTAACCCTGTAAATCCTCAAACCCATAAATTGCTCCAGGAATGTATGCAAAGTTTCTGGAAGAAAACTAGAAAAGCCATGGATTTAAACCGTACGCCACTGTATTGGAGCTATATTATAAAGCCAAATATTGTAAATAGAAACACAAGCACACAGCTCTTCAAAACGATATCACAATTTCACTTAAGTCCTTCACTACTTCTGGAAGCAAAAGTCAAACTAACATCACGCCGTAACAACAGAAGAAGCTTAAAAGAAGATTCATAACAGTAACATGAACCACTGTTCGGCATTTCAGTCTAGTTAAGTAGGCAGAAAATAAGGTGAGTAGTTACCACATCACTGAACCTCTGCTTCCTCGTTTAATAGTGAAAAGCAGCCATCCATACTTGATGATTTAAGCAATGTATTTGGGAGATCTTACACAGAGAAACAGAACTGGAACAGCACTGTAAAATACTAAAATCATATCATTTCCTACTTTGGAACAACACAGACAAACTAAGATCACAGCGATAACATCAGCATATAATGGGGCACAAAACACAGTAACGTCACAAGTACAGAATTTTGTTTCCAGACAAACATGACATTTTAGCCTAATGGCTAATAGAGCTAACAGACAATTCATAGCAGTAACGGAAACATTTGACATTTCTAGATCCATATAAGCAGAATAAACCAAGTAAAGCTACTCTGATTTTGAGGCCAAGAGAAACTGGGAAAGATCCACCCCTGTGATGCAAACATGAGCTTCGTCTCATCCTAGCCTTGGAAATGCTTCCCGAAGTTTGCTACAAATTCATAAAGAACCTGCAACAAAAACCAAACACAGGAGCAGATGTTAAACTGAAGTTGCGGTCACACTAAAATTTGCAAAAGGGAACCAAACACAAAGCTCTTCACAAGGACATCTAAACTACTTCACTTGATTTTGATATGAGTGCAAGAGTCGAGCTAAGATCACAACAGTAGGCACCCAGACACGTAACACAACCGTTGTTAAGCCAAAAAGGAAGCAACAAAATATTCAGGACAGTAACAAACTTCTTTGGGCATTTTTGAGTCTCAGTATATGGGGAAGACAAGTAATCATAAACAAACAAGTGTTTATTAATTATTACCCAATTTTCATTGCACCATGAGCTCTATGCTTTGCATTATCCATCACCTGCTGCTGCTGCTTTGGTCTAAGTACATCTGTATATGCTTTTGGTTTTCTTTCAAAAATCTTGACTTGTCCTTGAAAGCATCTCCCAATCATGCCACAGTTCATAACGAAGAACCTGCAACAAAATTTATACCTGTGAGTGAGTTTTTAGTGCGATTCAGAAACTCTACGCAATCTCTTTAAGCCCCAAAATCCAGGTTCCAAAGTTAAATATGTTGCTTAAAGATGAACCTCAAACGAAATCTTTTCAGGAATCTGTACACAGTTTCTAAACTGCCATGGATTTCACCACCATCACAATTTTGAAGCTGTATTTAGAGCCGAATGTCATCATAGGTAGCACATTAGAGAGCCGACTCTTGTATGACTATGGAACCGAGCTCCTTCAGGAGTTTGTGGGCAATGCTGTACAGGGAGGCTTCCGCCATTGTCAAGTCTTGTAAGTGTGTGAAATTGGGATCCACTCTGGCGTAACAAGAGATGGAGCAATCTGTCATCCAAATCACTTTCAAGCTTGGCACAAGTTGAAGCCATTCTGGGAGAGAAGTCAACTTCAGAATTGCTTCAAGAGCAACCTCAATAGGCTTGCCAGGACGGCGTCATGGAGCTGCAGCATATGCTTCTTGCTCTGCATCCTCAGGACAACAATTTAAATATTAGTGATGACTAAAGACAACCATAGAATATGAGAAACGCATCTGAAAACTAGCATATAATACCAACAAAGTTCTGAATCATGAAGCAAAAACTTGATACAAAAAGGAATGGTTCCCAAATGAAACCATAAAGCATAATACCAAAATACGACAACAGAACTGTAAAGCTAAACCCATCACAGTCTCCCAACTGCCGAAAGTAGTATCCAAAACACCAATTCATTCAAGACAAGCAAGAAACAGCAATTTATCCAAGGAAATCACTAACAACAGTTCAATCAATACTCATAAAGCAACCTAGATATGATCGCTCCACACAGGAAAGATAAACAGGAAGCTACAAGGGCTTGAATCATGAAGGTGACTAGACATGTCATGGATTTCATCTACATCGCATGTAAATGCACTTGTAACCAAACCAAACACTCGAATCCATCAAGAAGCTAGTATGAGACAGGAAAGCAAATGGTTTCATACAGCAATTCACAAATCCATTCTCTTTTACAGGTTGCAGTATATTGGAAAGAAGAAACTAACATCTCAGCTGCTCAGAAAGAAAAGTAACAGAGATGCACATTTCACAGCAGTACAGAAACCATTTTTGTTCATTATCAGTTCGAATTAAGATGCTGAAACATGTTAAGATCACTGGCAATACTACTTATGACTGAAGAAGAACAACATACCCGCTCGCTGAAGCTTTCATATGTAGTACCATTTGAACCTCCAATCAAAAGCCCTTCAGTATTACGACCTGCTCCTTGTGGATATCAGTACTCAAGCCCATCTTACTTGGTAGTCACGGCACCGTGTTTTGACTTTTCTGTTTCACTTTTGTTCTGATCTCGCCTAGGTTTGGCGTAACACCTTCGTTAGAATAAATTGGAGAGAAACACACTAGTTATAAAAGCAATTTCGTGATCTACAGTAGAATTAAGTGTTGTTATTGTCAGTTAAAAGATTATTTTATTGACATTAAGTCACCTATACAACTTTGGATCGCGCAACTGCCAAAAGGTATCGGGAAGCTGCCCCGTATTTATCATCTGGATAATGATGGGTGTCCATCATTGACATGCATGCCATACTGAGATTAATACTGCTAGTACCCCACCCCATCCAAATACAAGAGTTCCAAATAGACAGCATCGCATTCTAAAAACGAAACCCTGTAATCTGTATATGAAAATGGCAAGATCAGAAACGGCAGAGAGAAACCCAATTCCAGAATCGTTTTGACGAAAGAATTATTAAGATGCTTGGGAGAAATAAAAACGCACCATGGAGCTGTTGATGCTGCAACTTGTGTGGTGAGCGCTAGATTTTCTATATTATGAGTTGCTTCTGTCTTCAAAACATCTCAGGAATATGCTACAACATGTCGTCAGCCTCGTCATGCAATCCATAAAGAACCTGTAGCAGAAGAAAAAACCCAAAAGCATGGTGAAATGTTAAAGAACATTTTGACCAAAATCTTCAAGCTTTGGAAGACTAGAAATTGGAAGAGAACCAACCGAATGGTAAAATACATACAATAGTAGTCTGGATGTATCATCTTCTTTTTCTGCTCTGCTCTCTTCCTTTACTTGTTCTGCTTCATTATCCTCATCATCATCATTGACATCGTCTTGTTCTTCTTCTTCGGAATCTTCTTCTAATGCTGCCAGCTCCTCCAATGCTACCAGGTGGCCACCCTCTTGGATAACTAAGTCATTTATATCAATATCTGCGATGTGAGCAATCTTGGGCCAGTCTTGCTCCACACATTGGCTAGCAGATTTCACATAGGGATCGATTGTCAAGTCATGCAACCGTACTAGTTTGGGCATCCACTCTGGCAAGTATGCGATGGGGCAATCATCAACCCGAATCCCCAACAATTCTGGGGCAAGTTGAAGCCACTCTGGGAGGTGACTCAATTTTGGAATTTTGTGAAAGTGGACCTGCAAAAGGCTTGATAGGAGGACACCACCGTGGAACTGCTGCTGCATCATTTCATCATCATCACCACCACACAGATCAAGTTTCTCACATCTGCCGATATCAAGACTTTGGACAGAAGTGAGGTGATGCGGCAATGCTGGATACAGAGTCCTTAGCTCCGGACAATATCTGATAGTTAGCCTTTCCAGAGAAGAAGAAGAAAGACGTGGGAGTATCTCATTTGGCAGGATATCTAGATCCAGCACCTCAAAGATAAACAGGCGGCAGAGGCGAGACTGAGGAGGAAGGGAAGATAAAGAGGGCGACATCCTCAGAATTTGCTTCAACAACTCTTTGCTCCCACCTCTGAATTCCAAACTTTGCAATTCTCGGGAGAAATAGGGAATGGAAGTGATGCTACCGCAACCTGATATCTCCACTTCAGAAACACTTGGAAACTGCAACACTACTGCTTCATCAGCTGTCCAAGGAGTCAACCATCCCTTAAATTTAGGACACCCTTTGAGGATTAAAGACTTGAGAGAAGGAAAAAAGGAGCAGCATGACGAAGATGAGGTGGCCACCCCACATTCTATGTATTCCAGGGACTCCATGTCCTGAAGGGACAGTTGTGCAAGGAAAGGTAGTTGATCCAATGACAGGAGGCACTTCCAGTTCAGACAAGAACTGATGTCAAGCTTCACCAAACTCATCATAGAAGGAAGCCAACTCGGACACTCAAACCCATAATTATACGACAGCCCTAAATTCTTTAAATTGCGGTTCGGACGCAACGCTTCTAATAACTTCCCTTCAGCTTTCGCATCACTAACAACACCAAGCCCCCTCACTTCCCATACCAACACCAGCTCTTCCAAATGTTGCTTGTCTTTCAAATTAGCCAACTTGCCTTCTAATGGGTTCTTCACATCCCTCAGATTTACAATCATCAAGCTTCCCCTTAGGTTGTTTAAGTTCCGCAATTCACCAATCCCGGCTATTGATGCACTAGTAGATTCATCGTCACCATGTGCTATAATGAACATTGGTAACTTTCTTAAATAACATAGCTTCCCGATTCCAGGTGGCATGGATTTCAATTTGACACATCTATCAAGACCAAGATGGAAAAGACAAGACAACTTTCCAATACCTTTTGGCAGTTGTTCAAGTACCTTGCAATGTTCTAGCTTGAGCACTTCCAAATTTACTAGCTCGGTAATCTCCTCCGGCAACACCTTTAACACTTGGTTGTAACTGAGATCAAAATATTTCAGATGCTTCAATGTGTGAATGGCGTCTGACACCATCGAGACCCACAGATGACTGAGATCCAATGCCCTCAAGCTTGTTGTATTGGAAAAGATAACTCCCTGGAGTTCATTGATATGTGAAGCATCTTTAACTATAAGTGTCCGTAGTTTATTTGCATCTGCAGTGTTAGCAGCAGAGGAGTAAACCTCACAAAATTCTTCGAAGAAATCATATACCCGTAAATCTAATGAAACATGTCGTGTTACTCTCAATTGGGAATCAAAACTCAGGAGATCTTGTGAATTCCAAACAGCCAAAGTGGCAATCTCCTCCCCTGCAACTTTGGTAGCCAAATCATGCATTAGATCATGCATCTTGCACCATATTATATCTCCATGTTCACCCTTTTTTGCCTCCTGAAAAAAAGACCTCCAAAGAAGGTCTTTAAAGTATCCAATACCAATATCAAAATGGTTAGACGGATCAGATGACTGAATGAACCCTTGTGCGATCCAAAGATGTATTAGTGTCTCAACATCGATGTTGTGATCCTTTGGAAACAGACAACAATAGGCAAAGCAATGTTTCAAATGTGTGGGCAAGTGGTCGTAACTCAGCTTTAGAGTTGACATGATATCATTCTCACTCTCATCCATTTCGCACATCCCTTTGCTCTTGAATGCAACCCACTCAGATTCACTCTCCTTGAAAAGCAATGCACCGGCAACGGTTTTGATCGCCAAAGGAACCCCCTTGCACTTCTCCAAAATCTCCCTTCCCATCAACTCAAATATCCCACTTGTCGCTTCCCCTCCATCAAATGCTATTTCTCGAAACAAAGACCACGAGTCGATATTGTCTAGACCCTTCAGTTCATTTGGCTCCACCCCCTTTGTTGCAGCTAGCTTTGCAACACTGAGTAGTCGTGTGGTTATCATCACACAGCTCCCCTTTGCACCGCTCTTCAACAAGCCCTTCAAACGACTCCATTTCTCCCTATCCTCATTCCAGACATCATCCAACACAATCAAGTACTTTTTTCCATTCACATTTTCATGCAGCTGTGCCCGCAAAGTATCCATCTCAAGGTCCTTCTCCGGCTTCCTCTTAGTACAAGACTCGATAATCTTCTCAACTACCCGCTTAACATCAAAGTTGTCTGAAACACACACCCAAGCTTTTACCTCGAAATGAGATTTAACTGTCTCATCATTGTACAACAATTGAGCAAGTGTAGTTTTGCCCAACCCTCCAATCCCAACAATCGAGACAACTGAAACATTTTCCTTAGGTTGAGACAGCGGAAGCAAAAGCTGCTCCATTACTCTTTTCTTGTCATTCTCTCTCCCAACAACCACTTCCGGAACATCGGAGTGAGTCTGTTCCCTGAGCTTCCTAGCCATTGACTCAACAGGACGCACTTCCAAATGGAACATATCTCTCCTTTTGGCAATCTCATCTAGCTTAGCTCTAATATCTTGAATTCCATGAACAATTTTCAAACCATAAGCAACTTGGTTCGAGCTCGAAAAGAAATTCTTTACCTCTTTCGAGATCTTCTCGGTGGCCGCAGCGGTCCCTTGACGCCGCCGCACTTCAGTGGAGAAGTCATCGAGCAAGTCTTCAGATCTATAAACAACCTGTCGCAGCTCCTTGAGCCAGAGCCGAAGCTGATGGCTTTGGGGAGCATGGGACTGCTCCTCTGCATCTAGTAGAACAGCTTGGATGGAGGAAAGAGTGAGTTTTAGTTTATTGATGTCGTCTCCCATTCCCCATAAGAGGGCAGCCTCTTGGAGGACTTTGGAGCCCAGCAGGTTGAGGACCGCCCCGGCAATGTTGAACAGTGCTGCTTCCGCCATTTTCTGAAAAGATTCGTAGATGGTTTTAGCGTACTAGGAAGGGTAGAGTAGAGGGAATTGGGAAGGGGTTTAAAAGTTTTGCAAAGAAAATATACGGTAATTGTTTGATGTGAAGAAGGATGTAGGTAGGTGGGAGGTCTTTTTCTTGAAATAGCCGAACAACAAGAAGATGAAGTGGGTGGGTGGGTGAGAAATCTTTTTCCTTTGAAACAGCCAAATATAAAGAAAGACTTTGACTCCAAAAAAAAAGACTCATTTTTTTATGTCAACGGTGTCAACTACCCTTCACAAATTGAAGCCTGAGATGTCTCGATCTCAGTCGCAATATGATGAAGGTGCCGCCAGAGGAGATTATGGAGCTAGTAAATTTGCAAGTACTTAAACTATCGTATTGCGAGGAGCCTGAACAACTACCGATACATATCGCAAAGCTGTTCCATACTTATGATCTAGATAATGATGGGTGTCCCCCATTGACATGCATGCCTATTCGTACAGCTAGTACTGCTAGTATTGGTGAATTGCAGTGCTTGAACAACCTACAGGGAACTTGGATGATAAAAAATTTGGGCAGGGTGAAGAACCAGTCTGAAAGCAGGTCAACTGCCTTGAAAGACGAGAAACATTTGCGGCTTTTTGTCTTGCTATGGGAAGAGGATAGGGATGGTAGCCGCGACAACAGCAGAAGAAAGTGGTAAAGTGGAAGCAAAAACTGAAGTAACAGAAGCTGGAGAGGTAGAAGAAGAATCACAGACGTCCAGATTCTTACAGTATAGTCTTCTTCTCCTTTCGGCGTCTCAAACGCTTTCTCCCATTGCTGATTCTGGATCTTCACATCTCTGTGTACATGGATTTTCTTTGCAGGTTCTTCATGAACTGCAGCATATTTGAGAAGTGCTTTCAAGGCTAAGGTAAGACCGAAACAAAAGCAGGTCACTATGCAGAGTGCTCAAGCTTACCTTCTTTAACATCAGTATTCAACAATTGCAATAATAACAGTAGTTTTAATATAACTCTTGTGCCTCTTTTCTCCTTTTCCTTTGAGCTGAACTATGCACCATTTCCTCTGGAAAGCTGAATACGTACCTGTGAGTTTTGAGTGCGATTCCGGAACTCTACACAATCTCTGTGAGCCCCAAAATGCAGGTTCCAAAGTTAAATGTGTTTCTTATAGATGAATATCGAACGAAATCCATTCAGGAATCTGTAAACAGTTTCTGAAACAAATGCCATGATTTTACCACCATTACTATTTTGGAGCCGTATATACAAGCCCGAATTGCAAGGAGAACAGCTAGGATGATGGAGTCGGTCCTTCACAGCCACCATCTCCATTATCTCTTGAAGCCAAGATTGTCTGTGTAGAAGCGCCATGGGCCTCTAATAGTGATGGAGTGCAAAAGCTGAGAGGACCTGTGTCCATAAATCAGCAGTCATTCAGCGTTGTGGTGACTATGAATGGTGTCCTAAACTGCATCCTCAAGATACCAATTTAACCATTAGTAATTGAAACTGTAAAATAAAAGTTCTTAATCATAAAGCAAAAATTTGATAGCAGACACTAGCAAATTAGTAACCCATCATGGACTTCTCCCAACTGCCTAAGTCGTATCCAAAAGACCTATCCATCCCAGAAAAGCAAGAATAGCAATTCATCCAAGAAAATCAGAAACAACAGTTCAATCAATACTCATAAAGCAACATAGATACGACCGATCTCTCCTTGCGGGGAAGAAAAATAGGAAGTTATAAGGGCTTGAACCATTTAGGTGACTGTACATGTCGTGGCTTTCATTTACAGCACGTGTAAAAGTATTTGTAACCAAACCAAAAACTCAAATCCGCCTTGCAACTAGTATGAGCCAGAAGCAAAAAGCAAATAATATCATACAACGACAATACACAAATTCAAAGTCTGGTCAGAAAGTAAAATTAGCATTTCACATCTGTAACAGAAACCCTTTTTTGTCCATTTGCAGTCAAAAGCTGCTTAAACATGTAAAGATCAGTGGCATTATTAGGTGGAATGCAGAACAACTTACCCACTCGGTGAATGTAAGATATGGACCAGCCTTTAAACCTCCAACTCGGATCAAGAGCTCTTCTCTAGCACTACCAGCTCCTTGTGTATATCACTCTCGAGCCCCTCGGTCTGTAACCATTGTTTTGGTCGCTCAGGACTCGCATCGGCTAGGAAACATCCCCGGATATGTTGCAACATGTTCCCAGAACCCTAGCACAATTCCTAAGGAACCTGTAGTAAAATCCATAAATGAAGATTAAAGCATCCAGATGTTCAAGAAGAAACTTAAATAATAATAAAAAATCAGGAAGCTAGAGACTGACAGGGGCAAGAACTTACTGCAGAAGTTTGGATGTCTCTTCTCGTTCTTCTCCTTCTTCTCGTTCTGGCAGACCTCCAAACCAGCCTATAACGTGTGATGGGTTTTCTTCTTCAACTTCCTCGTTTAATGGTTGGCAGGAGCCATCCTTTTTAATACATACTTTATTTATGATCACAGTTGGAATGTGACTAATCTTGGGCCAGTCTTCAGCCAAGCATTCTTCCACGGACTTTTTGCAGTGCCTCATTTCTAATGACTCCATTTCTGGGAGTTTCAGCATCCACCCTGGGATACTCGCAATGGGGCAATCTCGGGTCTCAATCTTTTTCAAGCTTGGTGCAAGTTGAAGCCAATCTGGGAGAGAAATTAATCGCGGAATACCTTTGAAATCAACAGAAGAGAGGCTTGGCAGGAGGACACCATGGAACTGCTGCATGATATCATTGCTACCATCACTCCCAACAATAGTGATATGATCACACAGATCCAATTCCTCACATCCATAGATGGAAAGGTCTTGGAGGGAAGTGAGATGATGTGGCAGGTATGGAGACAGAGTCCTCAGTTCAGGACAATCACTAATGCTTAGTACTTTCAGCGAAGAAGAAAGGCGCGGGAGTAACTCCTCTGGTAGGGTATCAAGATCCAGTACTTGGTCAACATACACACTTTCAAGATGAGAGGAGTGTGATGCAGGAGGTGAACATAAATGATTAGGAGGAGAAGAGGGGATTATCTTCAGAATCTGCTTCAACAACTCTTTACTGCCACCAATTAATGTGAGACTCTGCAGATGCAGAGAGAAATGTGGAATGGATATGATGTCAAGGCAGCCATTGATGGTCACTTCAGAAACACAAGGGAATTGTGGCAATAATTCTGATGGAGTTGACCATCCCTTTAATTTATGACAACCCATAAGTTTCAATGACTTGAGAGAAGGAAAAAAGGATGAAGAAGTAGACGCCCATGATGTTTTCACCCCGCTATCTATGTACTCCAAAGAGTACAAGGAAGAAAGCTCCAATTTTGCAAGGAAAGGAAGATGATCCAATGAAGGGAGGTGCTTCCAGTGTTGACAACCATCAATGCTAATCTCCACCAAACTAGTAATGGATGGAAGCCAACTTGGACACTTCAATCCAGCATTGGAGTCCAAGCTTAACACCTTTAAATTGGGGTGTGGACGTAGTGCCTCCAGTAACTTTTCGTCAACATTAACGACACCATCTCTCCCGCTTTCCCATGACAACACCAATTGGTCCAAATGTTGCTTGTCTTTTAAATTAGCTGCCTCGCCTTCAGATAGGTTCTTCACCCTCTCGAGATTGTGAATCATCAACTCTCCACTTATGTTGTTCATGTATCCCAGTTCACCAATCCCAGCAGCTGCAGTACTACACTCAATGCCACCTTCTGGCAGCACGAATATCGACAGCTCTCTCAGAAAACGTAGTCTCCCAATCCCAAGTGGCATGCATATCAAAGCAGTACACCCACCAAGAGCAAGATGAGCAAGATTCAACAGATTTCCAATATCTTTTGGCAGTCTTTCAAGAAACCTACAATCCCTTAGCATGAGCACTTGCAAATTAACAAGTTCTATGATCTCTTTCGGTAACATTGTCATCTTGTTCCCAGAAAGATCAAGATATCTCAAATGCTTCAATTTGTGAATGCTAAGTGAAACTACCGTCATCCCAAAATAACTCAGATCCAGTACCCTCAACCTTGTAGTATTGGAGAAGATGATTGGATTATAAACTTTTGGATCCCAAAACCAAGGTCGTTGAACTGTAAAAAGTGTCCGCAGTTTCTCTGCGTTATTGACAATGAAGGAAGAAGTTTGGCATAATTCCTCCGGGAACTTAACTGCAAAATTCAAAGAGACATGTCGAATCCTACTCAAAGGGGTATCATAGCTTCGAGTATCTAGTGAACTCGCAATTTCCAAATTTAAGCTCTCCTCCCCTGCAACAGCTACTGCTAGATCATGCATTAGATCATGCATTTTACAGTATTTAATATACCCCCATTCATCCTGTTTTGCCTCTTGGAAAAAAGACATCCAGAGAAGATCCTTGAAATATTCCAAACCAACACCAAATTGACTTGATTGATCTGACGAATTAACATATCCTTGTGCAATCCAAAGCTCAATTAGAGTCTTGACATTCAATTCATAATCTTTTGGGAACAATCTACAATAAGCAAAACAATGCTTTAAATGTGTGGGCAAGTGGTCATAACTCAGTTTCAAAGTCGACATGATGTCATTTTCATTCTGATTAACTTCCCACATCTCTTTGTTCCTAAATGCAGCCCACTCTCGTTCAGTCTCCTTAAACAACAATGCTCCAGCAATCGTCTTGATTGCCAGAGGAACTCCTCTGCACTTCTCCACGATCTCCCTTCCTATAGACTCGCATTTCCCACTCATCGCTTCTCTACCTTCAAATGCTATTTCACCAAATAAAGACCAAGATTGGCTCTTACTTAAACCCTTCAGCTCATACGGCTCCATCCTAGTAGCAATCTTCGCAACCTTCTTCAGTCTCGTGGTTATAATCATGCAACTCCCTTTTGCACCACCCATCAACAATCTCTTCAAACGACTCCATCTTTCTCCGTCCTCATTCCACACATCGTCCAACACAATCAAATACCTTCTCCCATTGATACTCTCAAACAAACGTTTCCTTAAAGTATCCATCTCCATATTCCCTCCTAGCTTCTCCCCCGTACAAGACTCCACAATCTTTTCAACAATCAACTTGACATCGAAATTTTCCGAAACACACACCCACGCTGCTAGCTCGAAACAAGACTTAACTCTCTCGTCATTGTACACTAACTGGGCCAGAGTCGTCTTCCCCAATCCGCCAATCCCAACAATCGGAACCACAGTAAACACATTCTCCTTACAATCACATGACATCAGAAGCTCAACTATTCTTTCCTTATCTATCTCTCGTCCGACGACCACATGGGGGACGCCGGAGTGAGTCTGTAACCGGTCATTCCTCCTCACAGCCGGCTCCGCTACAGGACGCTCCACCAAATCAAACATCTCTCTCCTCTCGGCAATCTCATCCAGTCGAGCCCTAACGGCTTGAATCCCGTGCGCAATTTTCAATCCATGAGAAATTTGATTCGAGCCAGAGAAGAAATTCCGTACCTCGCGCGCAATTCGCTCCCCGACGGCCGCCGTACCCTGGCTGCTCCGCCGCCGCCGCAACTCAGTCGAGAAGTCGTCTAGCAAGTCCTCGGCGTCGTAAAATACTTGGCGAAGCTCCTTGAGCCAGAGCTGGAGCAGGTGGTTTCGCGGGGAGTAGGATTTCTCCTCTGCGTCGAGGAGAAGAGCTTGAATGGTGGAGAGTGTGCGGGTGAGCTTCTGAACGTCGTCTCCGATCCCCCATAAAAGTGCGGCTTCTTGTAGGATTTTGGAGCCTAGCTGGTTGAGGATCGCGTCGGCGATGGAGAATAGGGCTGCTTCCGCCATTGATCCAGAGGAGGGGAGAAGGGAGTAGAATTCTAGGAAATGAAAATTCTGTGGTGAAAGAAATTGATAGACTTTGCGAAGAAAAGCCAAAAGGCGGGTAGAAAGGAAACTGAAAAAGTCGGTCTTCCCGGTGTTAGTTTACCGGTTAAGTTACATAATAGTCAATATAATTTTGGGATCAGTTACATTAGTAAACTGAATTTTTTTTAACTGAAAATCAATAATTATTCATCATATCGGTGACTTCATCCATTAGGATAAAGTGTTTATCTCCCAAATATACAAATTGTTCGGGTTAGATCCGGTCCTTAAGTCTCATTGTTTAAGGAGGTTTTTAAACCATTTTTATTGGCTGATACTAGATTAGGTAGTTAATGAGGGATTAGTAGTTAATAGCTAGTTGGAATAAATAAGATATTATGAAAAATAATTAATATGACTCATTAATGATTCTCTTTCTCTCTCCCCCTTGATCTTCTCTATAACCCTCTCTCTCCACTACAATTAAAAGGAAATTCGAAATTAATTTAATTAAATATTATTATTTAATATTTAAAAAAATCTAATATAATATTTTTTACTTTTTAAAATGAAAATTGAAAATTAAAAAATATGCTCTCTCTCACTTCGTGGCAACTTGCAATACAGTATTAACATTTTGCAATGACATTATCAACATTTCAACGTCGACGCAACTGTTAGCGCCTCCGGGTGTTCGACTGGGCTTGTTATCCGTGGCTCAGACGGGCATGTTAGGTTGGCGGTCGGGTTGCAGCATCAAGGAATAGTCAACCCTTATCTGGCTGAACTTCAAGCTTTCAGGGATGCTATCTCCTTTGCAGCTTCAAGATACTTGTCCCTCGTGATAGTCGAAGGCGACTCCGAAGTGGTGGTCAACCAAGTCCGTCAAGGCGTCTTAGAAGATTCGATTGGTGTTCCGGTGTTACGAGAGTGTATCCAAATCCTTAGCTCTTTGTCTGTTTGTATAGAGTTTAGGGCGGTTCCTAAATCCGCCAACAGTGCTGCCCATAGAGTGGCGCGTTAAGCACTGCTTTTGTCTCTTGTAGAGCTAGAATCTTTTGATTTCTTGGGGGTGGCTTCAGTAGAGCCTTTTAGGGGGTCCTGGGTAGAATTGTAAGCTTAACTATTAGTTCTCATTGATATCACTCAGAAATAAAAAAAATGACATTATCAACATTTATGAAATGAATCGTTATTATTATACCTCATCATTATTAACGACTTCAATATACTTATCAATTTCTTACAATTACATTATTAACAATTTTGGATCAATTGTTACTGTTTTATAGTTTCGTCATCAACGCCTATGAATGAATCATTAAAGTTATGTAACATAGTCATTAACAGTTTGAATAACAATATCATTGATTTCAACATCTTTAATACTAATGATTCACATTTTCACATCATGTTTATAACTATCTAGTCATGGCCTCTTTCAATGATTTTTAATGACATTATTAACGTTTTATAATAAATTAATATTGCTTTACATTATCATTTTCAATGATCATAAAACACAATACTGATTTTCAACATCTTGGGTACTTGTGACATAGTGCACCTGTGTGATTCAGTCAAACAAACATTGTCCAGAAAAATATTAGCTCATGCAAACCAACATTCACGCCTCAACACCAAACTTTTAATAACAATACAATAAATCATTGATAACTAAAAGTATTTCGTTGAAAATAAACACAAACATCAATGTAAAAATGTCCGACTTCAACATTATAAATGACATCAAACTTTTAATAAAGATATTATAAATCATTAATATCGAATGATCAAGTCACTGATAAGGAAATAGATTTTTGTAATATAAAAATATTAATAATATTCAGATGCAATGTTTAATGTCAAATAGCACTAAAAACGCATTAATAAGTAACATGTGTTTAATGGATAATGCATCCAAAAACTTTGATAATGATAGCAACTAATGATTGTTAAGTACCTTATTAGATATTATTAATATCTTATTTTGAAACATTGATAATGCTTATACACGCCTATTAATAATGACACCAACTAGGTTATTAACTTAGACTGAAAGATTAATAACCATAGTTATATCATTAAACGTAAATTCATTTTTGATAATGTCGTAAACAAACGAATATCTAACAAGTATGCTTCTTGATAATGACATTTGACAAAGTTACAAACATAAACGAAAAAATATTAATAATTCAAATCACTAAACATAAGCAATCTTACAAATGAATTAAATTTTTGCTAATGGTTGTATTGTGCTTGGAAAAAAATACTGATAATAGCACTTCAAATGATTAAAAATCATTGCGAACCAAATTGATAATACTATGTAATAGTAAATAAACTTCAAGTACTAACAAATTGAAAACACAATTTCACTTTTGCTAATGTTACAAACAAAACATAACATATAAGTTAATAATGTCATATAAAATTATTAAAAAACATGTCGAACAACATTAATAATAACACAAACGAATACCTAACAACGAAAAATCTCAAACCCATGCAATGAAAAGCCCTAATGATGATTCAATATATAAATATTGCTAATGTCATTACAAAATGTTAATACTTAATACTAATCGGAAGTTGCCAAGATGTGAGAGAGGCATATATTTTAAATTTCAAATTTCCATTTTAGAAAAAGAAAATTATTAAATTCAGATTTTATTAAATATTAAATAAAATTAATTTCATATTTCTTTTTAATTATAATGTAGAGAGAGGGTTATGGAGAAAATCATGGAGGAGAGAGAAATAGAATCATTAATTAATTATATTAATTTTAATTATATTTGCATAACCCTATTTACCCTTAACTACCTATTAACTACTAACCCCCATTAACTACCTAATCCACTATCAGCCAATAGGAAGGCTTTAAGATTTTCCTTAAGCAATGAGACTTAAGGACTTGAACTCAAGCCCAAATTGTTGTATCTGATTTTCAATATAAAGTATATGAAAATATTGTCTCTTCAAACTATTTGATATCAAAATTGAATGTAAAATCACTTTATTGATCATCTTGATTTTCTATATTAAAATAAATACATTACTTTGTACTATCAACAGGCCTTATCATTGACTTGACAACTGGGCCAAATTTTTCATTAAATCTCAGCCGACAAAGAGAATTATGGACAACTGTATCAGGATATATTACGTTGATCAACTTCCACATCTTGAAGAATGCGATTGATACTGGACCAGACTTCATATAAAAGTACTCCGCATTGTTAGTGTTTGAAACTGTTGAAAAAAACTCACATCCAATTGAAATTTTATCTTCAGATCCAAACAACAGAAGTGGGTTTCTCTCCCACGACAAAATTACATCCTGCAAAATTAATAAATCAGATAAAAACTTCTTTTTTCAGATCGAAAAACTACTCAACATTCAAAATAAAATTCATAGAAATGTATCATTATATATAGATAAGATTTCGTAACATGCACCTTTTTTAAGTATACTATACACTTTTTCTCATAGTCACCATTCTTTATATTTGGTAGAATAATAATCCAAATCCTTAGCTAAATTATTGTAAACCACAAATGGTACAAAATGAGAGAAAACACTTTCAATAAGAAAAAAATAAGTAATTCATCAGATAAAAGGAATTAAAGAAAGAAATAAGGAAATGGAGGGGAGGTCAATTTACCGTATAAAAGAAGTTGTAACCAGATTCAAGCACTTGCCGTAGAATCTCGTTCCTGAATAAGCCAGCTAATTTACGAGGCTGGTGATCGTGGAGGCTATTGAAATTTGGGTACTTGAAGCAGTGAGGATGGATGGATTTGCAATAATGAAAAGTTTGGGGATCGAAAGTTAAGATCACCAAGTGATCCACAAGGTGTTTCGTGGCCGTCCCATTCTTTAAACTCTCCAGGAAATCGTCCACCGCCGGCGGCGAGCCAGGACGACGAGGGGTCACCGTCGAGTTGTCGATCGCCGTTATGATTACTGTTCTGGTTTCCACTGAAGCTCGTCTCAGCACTTGCCTCAGTCCCTTCTGTAATTACAATACTCATCATCTCATAAAATGACAAAGCCAAGATTTTCTCCATTTGAACAAAAAAAAATTGTCTTTACTAGAATGCAAAGTGCAAACTCTAGCAAATCAATAATAAGAGCGATCATACATATGTTAATCAACTGACATGGACCTGATCTAATCCTAAGTCATACTATAGAAGCCACTCTAATCATGTCCTCTCTTGATAATTGATAATTGTACGTTTAGAATTCATATGACACTATCTTGTTATGGAGTTGTTACACCACACAATGTAGACAATCTTAACGAGAAAACATGAAATTGATAAATAGGATGCCTATTTCATTAATTGTTCTAAACTCGGGCGGCTAGAACTTCAAATCAAAGTTCATTTACCATTTTATCAATAACCCCAAACTTTAACCATCTAAAACTAACTAGCTAGAAACTAGATTTTATCAAGCATTCCTTCATACGAAGACGGTCGACATTTAGATCAACAAAGACTGTAATATATCATAAAAGATAAATCAGTTTTGTAAGTATAGTGCGATATGAGTAACTCTAATTTGGTGTGAAGATATTGAGATTTTTTAAGTAATGCATTATAAATGTTAAAAATTGCATAAGAGAACTTACCCATTGATCCACAGAAGAACTCGTTTTATGGACCTGAAGAAATGAATTCGAGGAGTGACGGGAAAAGAAGTAGAAGAAGAGGAAGAGAATGGAGATAGTGAGTGGTGGGATGGATGCCTTGGTTAGTAATATTGCTCTCATCGCCATTAGTTCCAATTCCAACGGTAAATGACTTCTATTAGCCAGTGAGGGAGGAATTTGATGCATATTGCCAAAAGCATAGATTTATAACTTAAAATGTGAAATTTTCAAAACCTTAATAAGGATAGAATTTAAATTAATATATATATATATCTAATCAATCATTCATGGTATATATATTAATACCAAATTCACCCTCATCAAATCTCTAGGGGTCGTTTGGATAAAGGTTTTGTTAAACCAGGAATTTATACACAAATAGCTCATTTAAAAAACCAGGAAATTAATTTAAGAGAATTGCAACAAATCACTTGTTTGTTGAAGAGTTAGGAATTGTGCATTGAAGAATTTAATTTTAATGACAAAATTAGAATGACTACTTTGCCCTCTTCATCGTCTTCTTCCTCCCGTTTTGAACCGAAGCCAGTGGGCGACAACTCGAGGATTGATTGCTTCTCTATGAAGTGGTTGAACTGAAAATGATAGTGAAAGACGATGGGTTTCTGACCCCTAATCGGAAAATAGAGCTCCGCGGCGACGGCAGCGGCAGCTCCTGGTCTAACAATAGCAGCTCTCAATGGCGACTCTCAATAACTCCCAATCCAAAAACAAAGCTACGCGACGACAACCCTCAATACAGAACATCATTGCTCCAACATACAGAGTTGGCGGCATAAAATCAATCTGCAATGCAATGCCGTCAAAACTCCAGATCTGCAGTAAAAGATAAGAGATTAAGACACTGCGACTCTGGATGCGGACCCACAGAACGAAACAGACTCGTTGATACCAGTCAAGGAGTCGCCGGCGAGCAGATTTGAAAATCGATTGACACTTCGATGGCGGTAACTCCTTCAGACCTTCTTCTCTCGACCGCCGCAACGTCTTCTCACTTGCTACTGCTTCGATAATGTCCATCGCCGCACTTCTCCTTTCCGGGTCTGCTGGTAGCGGTGGGGTGAGAGAGAGAGAGAGAGAGAGAGAGAGAGAGAGAGAGGAATAAGGGGTCTTTTTGAGGAGGAAGAAGTGACGTGGGTGGCAGTGAGAGAGAGATGGGGAAAATGTGCTTTTTTGGAAGAGAAAGAAGTGGCGTGTAGCCTGTAGGGACTAGAGAGTGGGGATAGAACTGGAAGAGGAAGAAAAAGAGGCTCGGATTTGGAAACAGCTGGGGGAGGGCGGGTATTTTGAATTCCAGCATATGCAGGTTTTTGAAATCCTGCATGATTAAAATCCCTCATTTTGGGAGGTCTATCCAAACGCATAAATCTTTTAAAATCCTGCACAATGAGGAATTGTACTGAAATTCCTCATTCAAATTCCTAATCCAAACGACCCCTAGATGTTTTGCTCATAAAGTTTACCAACTAGACTCGTAGACAAAATTATCATAGAGATGTGGATCCAAATCCATCCAACAAAATTATCATAGACAATCATTATATATATAAGAGGAAGGGACAATAGTCAAGAATTAGTCGAACCATCAATAAGAAACATTTTGTCAACACACAACGAGCGGATCTTTTGATACATGTACGACTTGGACAATATCCATCACTTATATTCTAATCTATTCTATACCTAAATAATTTTTTTATTATTATCTAAAATAAAATAGAAGAGAAATTGTCTACCAATTATTTAAGGACAATTCATCAGAAAACAATTATTCAAGGACCCCAATGTAACTTTGTAGGCCCATGTCTAATGAATCCGACGAAACAATAATTCTTTTGTGTGGCGTATGGAAAATGCTTTGTTTAGTTGTATAATCACACCGATGGATCGGATAAAAAGTCATCCCATCGAATGGCTCAGAAAGCGCCAAGTAGCCACGGGGGCCGCCTGAAGAACGACAGCTTTTCTTTCCTTTTCTCGGCACCACAGAAAATATTTAAAGAAAAAAAAAACATTAGTTGCGGCCTGCGGACGGTCTTAGTTGTCAGTTGGATGTACGCCACGTGGGCCGCCCATTACCTCGTTGCTTTGGATTGGACAGTGGGGCCCAAAACTGATCCTGTGATGCCGTGATGGATGGATGGGCTTTTTGCCTGATCCAAAGACTTTGCCAACGTGCTGTCACGAAGGAAGTCTAATAAGGATGAAGGACCATTTCCTTTTTCTTTTTTGGTTTCATAGATGAACTTATGTATCTTCTACGTTAATCCTACGGATTATAGAGACTAAAGGGTGTCATGTTTTTCATAGTTGAGATGAACTACGACAAAGTTGAGATTTGATGAGACCTACTTCGTTACTGAAAGTGATCACTTAACTATCAGTGACGAAACTGTATGAGAAGTTCAGGAGACGCTATACTACCCCTTTCAATATATTATTATATGAGATTATAATGTGTGTATTCATAGGTTTGATAAAAACATTAGAAAGTTGTAGGGTTAGCGCTATTCATGACCCTTTTATGAGATCTATGTGTAACCTTACGAAAATGTTGTCGTTTTTTTTCTTTTTAGTCTCTATGACTATATCATAATAAATATCGACATCACTTAGCAACTTGCATTTCTGGACTAAAAAATGAAGGGTAAAGCCATATATTGGTCACCGAGATTACTAAATCGTGTCATGTTTAGTTACTAGAAAAAATTAATATCAATTTTGGTCACTCGAATTACTGAAACAAGTCACGCTCCCATTAGCCTCCGTCCAACTCCGGTCACTCGAATTACTAAAACATGTCATATTTTAGTCACTCGAATTACTAAAACAGGTCACATTTAGTCACTCTCCCATTAGTTTCCGTCCAACTTCATTAATGGAATTGGACGGAAACTAATGGGAGAGTGACTAAATGTGACCTGTTTCAGTAATTCGAGTGACCAAAATTGATATTAATTTTTTTTAGTGACTAAACATGACACAATTTAGTAATTTCAGTGACTAAATGTGGCATTTATCCAAGAAATATGTAGGCACAGACAAAAACAAAATTGATTAGGATTCTTGATCTGTGATTCAATTAGTAAGTTTTTTCTTGGTACAGGAAAGTTCCACATGGAAGTTGCCCAAATCGCATCACGATGGGGAATAAGAAAAGGACCAAAAAGAAGATGAACGACCTTTGGGTTTCCTGAAAGGGTGCTTAAAATGGAACCCTAGATTTGGCTGATTTGCATTATTTGGGATAGGGACACGTGTCTAGTTGGACAAGTGGAGCTGCTTATCTGGCTGGATCTGAAAGGTGTTTGATGAAGCTGCCAAAAGAATGAGAGAGTGAGGTGGAATTATTTCTTATTTTCGGTATGTAATAAATAAATGAAAGAGATTTAGATTTGGATTAGGAATATTGTCCACCGCATCATGGAATTGACATCTCCTTTTTTAATCTTTGCCCCACTCTCTTTTAGTTCTTGTAGTTCAAATTGAGTAATCGCATACGGTTAGGGAAGTTATCAGTATATGTCACTAATATTTCAATAAGTAATCTATTTGAGGATTGCAAGATGTAATCGCTAAGTGTATTATAATCGGTGATAGGATAATAAATGTATGGTAATACATTTTTACTATAGGAAAAGTTTGTAGCAGTTAGGATCAATGGATCTAGCTAAGTATGATAGGCTCATCACGAGCCCAATATGACAGGTATGGTTTAAAATGGGTAAATGACACATTTGGTCACTGAGATTACTAAATTGTGTCATGTATAGTCACTAGAAAAAATTAATATCAATTTTGGTCACTCAAATTACCGAAACTGGTCAAATTTAGTCGGAAAAAATCCCACTGTACACATGTTTTGAAAAAAAATTCTCAAAATACACATGTTATGAAAAAAATTCCCAATCTACGCATGTTTGGGCCTTCACCGCGTCTGACCAAGGCGGTGATTGAATCACCGCGTTAGACGAAAACGGTGATTGCATCACCGCGTTAGACAAAAACGGTGATTGCATCACCGCTGTAGAGGAAGGCGGTGAATGCATCACCGCGTTAGAGGAAAACGGTGAAGGTCTGACCTACGTCAAATCTTTAAAAAAACGTAACTTTTTGCTCGGTTATCCGATCGTGATGAAATTTTTTTTTGATTCCGCATAATTTTTCGAGATCTTGCAAGCCGCAAACTGCCGTAGGCGGTTTGGTCCCGCCTTCGTCCCGAAAAAACGTCGTTTGCTACCCCGAACGAGCCTTTTTTCGATTTCGCAAACTTTGGACGACCATAACTTTGTGCTCCACAATCCGAAAATCATGAATTTTTTTTTGATTTTGCATAACTTTTTGAGGACTACAAGAATAATTCAAGAACCGTTTTTGTCTAACGCGGTGATGCAATCACCGTTTTCGTCTAACGCGGTGATTCAATCACCGCCTTGGTCAGACGCGGTGAAGGCCCAAACATGCGTAGATTGGGAATTTTTTTCATAACATGTGTATTTTGAGAATTTTTTTTAAAAACATGTGTACAGTGGGATTTTTTCCAATTTAGTCACTCTCCCGTCAGTTTCTGTCCAACTCCATTAATGTAGTTCGACGGAAACTTTTGGGAGAGTGACTAAATGTGACATGTTTCAGTAATCCGAGTGACTAAATGTGACATTTTTCAATAATTCGAGTGACCGGAGTTGGACAGAGGCTATAGAAGAGTGACCAAATGTGACCTGTGTCAGTAATTCGAGTGACCAAAATTGATATTACATTTTTCTAGTGACCAAATATGACATGATTTAGTAATCTCAGTGACCAAATGTGTCATTTACCCGGTTTAAAATGAATCAAACACACAATCTTGATCAGTCTCGCGGCCTGAGATCTCATTGTAAGATTAGGAAATGGTAGGGGGAAAGCAGTCAATTGTAAGGTCGAACATATCTAACTGTCAAAATCTTGATTGAATCATTCACTAATTAATGATCTCTCGTTGTCCTCACAAAAGTAACTATTCATTATTATCTTTAGTTTTTTCATTCTAAAATTTCCTTTACTAATTTGATGGTCGAAATTAACTTTTGAACTCCAACCAGTAAAGAACTTCTTGTTCTTGTGGAGCTAATGCCTACCAATAATCCACCAAGATGCTTCATACCCAAAACAGAGCTACATGCAAGGTGTAGAGCTAGAAGATTGTAGATGCAGATTTCACGTGCATGCAACAACTATAATTATTTCCTTGATTTCCAGTTTTCCACAACCATATCTGGAAAAATGAAGTTAAAAGGAAAAGGACCTTTCTTATTGCATTTCATTTTGAACAAAAATTTATGTGCTCAATTCATCCAAAAGGTCAATGAATGACCCAACAATTTGGAAATTTACATTACCAACTACCCTTATATAAAATAATCAACCAAGCCACTTGTTCCATTACAACTTGATCCACCTCCCCAATTTGCTTCTAATTCATCCAAAATATAATTTTAATAATAATTATTATAATAGTAATAATAACCACAATCATTACAAAAAATTTAATTTTGTAATCAATATTAAATGTAAGAATTTTTTGCCCATTGGGATCATCACAAAATTAATTAATAAAGGAAATGTGGCCACCTTTTGTACCTTCCTGCAACTAAACCTTAACTTTTATAAACTAGTTCATCTATTTCCTTGATCTGATCAATACAAGAATGGAGAATGGAATACAATCAATACATGTATGAATACATTAGTATACCCAATGAGACAAAATTATACAAGATCTAGACTTGCTTACCTTTACACTACTACTATATAAGTTCTTGCTCATTTGGCTCTATGTTCCCATTTCTTAGTATTTTTAAAATAGCCTCAACTCTTTCTACTCACCCTTAAGCATCATCATCACAATCATTATCTCCTCTGCCTTCATTGCTCTGCCTGCTTCTGTTGCAGCTCCATCAATGGAGGAAGACAATTGTTGCACATCTCAATTGCCAGCAGAAACGCAAGCACCAGCAATGGAAGAAAGAGATCCAGAGAGCAACAGCAGCACACTCCAGGAGCCACTCCTGAAGAGAAACAGAACACTCTCGTCAACCCCATTGGCCATTGTTGGAACCAAAGTGTCCCATATAGAGAGCTTAGATTATGAGTTAGTTCTGAGAAACCCCCATCTCTTCGTCTTCCTTCTTTTCCTTTCTGGGTTCTGCAAAATTTCAGATTTTGAGATGTGGGTTTTGTTTGTTTCATTTACATGTTTACAGGATCAATGAGAATGATCTGTTCAAGCATGACTGGAGGAGTAGATCCAAAGTCCAAGTGCTGCAGTATGTGTTCCTGAAATGGTCACTCGCTTTCCTTGTGGGAGGCTTGACAGGTTTAATTGCCACTCTCATTAACCTTGCTGTGGAGAATATTGCTGGGTACAAGATTCTGGCTGTTGTCAACTTGATCAAGGAAGAAAGGTTCAAACTTTCTTATCTTCTTTCTTTTCTTGTCCATATTTCCCATGTGGGTATTATTGTGAATCAGTTATGTTGTTTGTTTGTTTGCAGGTATTTGACAGGGTTAGCGTTTATGACTGGAGTCAATCTGGTGTTGACAGCTTTTGCAGCTGTGTTGTGTGTGTTCTTTGCACCAACTGCAGCTGGACCTGGGATCCCTGAGATCAAAACTTATCTTAATGGGATTGATACACCAAACATGTTTGGTGCCACTACTTTGCTTGTTAAGGTAGGATTCTTCAGTAATCTGGCACTTAAAAGAACATTTGGTAGTCTTAGCGAATTATATCTTTTGATTACACAGTTTTGATAACAATTTCAACATATTTCTATCGATATTTCAGGATCATGCATCAAATAATTTACCGAGTTAAATCACATATGTTACAAAATCCACCAAATTTAGCAAACTACTCATTTCAAAATCCACGAAGTGAAACCATTTACCCATTTCAGTAAACCAAACACACTAGCAAGATCACTAATGGATCAAACTCTTTAGTTCTTAACTTCTTATAGAGGTAAAGCCTTAATCTTTGAGCTAATGGTCAAGTCACATGTAAATAAGTACGAAATGGTTGCTAGCTTTCTTGACTTACATATCCTATCCTAGCATTTGACTTCTTTTTAATAAAAAGGCAGCACACACGTAGCCACAACAATCTGCAATGAACCTAAACAAGATTCCATCACTTCTCTTCTTCCCAGATATTTGGAAGCATTGGAGCAGTCTCCGCAGGGCTAGACCTTGGCAAAGAAGGCCCTCTAGTCCACATCGGCAGCTGCATTGCCTCCCTGCTTGGACAAGGAGGCCCAGACAACTACCGCCTCAAGTGGCGATGGCTTCGATACTTCAACAACGACAGGGACAGACGAGACATCATAACCTGTGGAGCTTCATCAGGTGTGTGTGCAGCTTTCAGGTCTCCAGTCGGTGGCGTGCTATTCGCCCTCGAGGAAGTTGCCACCTGGTGGAGGAGTGCATTGCTGTGGAGGACTTTCTTCAGCACGGCTGTGGTCGTGGTGATCCTTAGAGCATTCATCGAGATCTGCAATTCAGGGCGATGTGGACTGTTTGGGAGTGGTGGGTTGATCATGTTTGATGTGAGCAGTGTGGAAGTGAGGTATCATGTGATGGATGTCATACCAGTAGTATTGATTGGGGTCATTGGTGGAGTTCTGGGGAGTCTGTACAATTATCTGCTTCACAAGGTGCTTAGGCTGTACAATCTCATCAACGAGTAAGCCACACTTTTCATTCCAGCTAACTTCTTCTTCATAAGTTCCCCATTGGTGAGTCAATCGTAAATTCGTAATAACCACCAAACTTCGTTTATATGATGCAGGAAAGGGAAGTTTCACAAGCTGCTCTTAGCCTTAACTGTCTCTATCTTCACCTCAGTGTGTCTCTACTGCCTCCCATTCCTAGCGAAATGCCAGCCCTGCGACCCTTCTCTGCCTGAGACCTGCCCAACCAACACAAGGTCAGGCAACTTCAAGCAATTTCACTGCCCAGATGGACACTACAATGACCTTGCAACTCTCCTTCTTACCACGAATGATGATGCAGTGAGGAATATCTTCTCCACCAACACTCCAACCGAGTTTCAACCGATGTCTCTCATCATTTTCTTCATTCTGTACTGGATTCTAGGACTGTTCACTTTTGGCATTGCTGTACCTTCTGGCCTTTTCCTCCCGATCATCCTAATGGGATCCGCTTACGGCCGCCTGCTTGCACTCGCCATGGGATCTTACACCAAAATCGACCAAGGCCTTTATGCAGTTCTCGGTGCAGCTTCACTCATGGCTGGATCAATGAGAATGACGGTCTCCCTTTGTGTGATTTTCCTCGAACTCACCAACAACCTCTTGTTGCTCCCCATAACAATGATAGTGTTACTCATAGCGAAATCTGTAGGGGATAGTTTCAATCCAAGCATATACGACATAATCCTGGAGCTGAAAGGATTGCCGTTCTTGGATGCTAATCCTGAGCCGTGGATGAGAAACTTCACAGTTGCAGAGCTTGTTGATGCCAAAGAGCCAGTAGTTACCTTATGTGGAGTAGAGAAGGTATCGAAGATTGTTGATGTGCTTAGAAACACATCCCACCATGGATTTCCAGTTGTGGATGAAGGAGTTGTGCCGCCATTGGGAGTTGCAGCAGCAGGAGCAACTGAGATACATGGGCTGATTCTAAGAGCTCATCTGCTTCAAGTGTTGCAGAAGAAGTGGTTCCTGCAAGAGAAGAGAAGAACAGATGAGTGGGAAGTAAGGGAAAAGTTCTCCTCGGTTGACCTGGCTGAGAGAGAAGGCAGGATTGAAGAGGTGGCAGTTACCAGGGAAGAAATGGAAATGTACGTTGATTTGCATCCTCTAACCAATTCAACTCCTTTCACAGTGGTTGAAAGCATGTCAGTAGCAAAGGCAATGGTGCTCTTCAGGCAAGTCGGGCTTCGGCATTTGCTTGTGGTTCCTAAGTATCAAGCTGCAGGGGTAAGTAAAATTTGGTAAAGTTGAAAAGTTTTCTGCAGAAAACATACCTGTTATAGTATCCATAATACTGATCCTACCAGCTGCTTGATTTGCAGATTCCTCCAGTGGTTGGCATTCTGACTCGGCAGGATTTGAGGGCACATAACATTTTGACAGCCTTCCCTCATCTTGCAAGATCCAAGAGCAGAGGAAAGCACAACTAAAACCTCAAAATATCGAGCTCTCATTTCCTAAATAAGATTCCTATTCTTTCAATCAATTTTTACAGGGGATTCATCAACAGTACAAGATGGTGCCAGAATCCCATAGGCATCTCAGTTTGATATGATAAACTCAAAGACATCATTATTTTCGTGTAGAAAATAGCAAACACAACAAAATGGCTTCTGTGATCTGCTACATTCGCGGATACAGAGGTATCTCAGAAGTATGCTTGTTACACGCATCTTGAGCTCTTCTTGATCAGTTGAAAATTCTGCATTACTTCCTTAGCTCATCTTCTAGTCCCCATTTGGGATCAGTGAAGATTCCTGATATGTAACACCAATTTTCCAAGATGCTCATGAGCGTTTTTTCTTCTTTCCTAGTTTCTTTTTCTTGAGGTTAGCTACTTTGCCTCTCTGAAAGACAGCCAGAACCTCTATGCTGCAAATGTTACCAAAATGATGTCCATAAGAAAATCTGACGAAAGAGAAAGAAAAAAGAAAAAAAGAGCCCATCCTCTTCAACCTTCAGGAGAGGCAGTACCTCTGAGTTCCAGGAAAGAAATTAAAACCATGTGCGTGTTCCAACCGCCATTTGTTCGTAGACAACAGCGCTTTGCAATCCTGTCAAAGGTAGCAGCACTATTAGCCTTCGTAGTTCGTACATAGTACATACCCTAGACAAGTTGAAAGGTAAATGTCTTCCAGGCAAAACCTCTTTGAAGCTCTCCCAACCACAGCTTATATAGATTAGTGTTTGAGGGAGAACTAGGGGTCCATCCGATGTTGTTGAACTCCTAACATAAACTGAAGATTCTCTGGCACGTAAGACCCATGGTCTTTTTTCATCTTTGACTTGAGAGCTGAAATGACAGGGTAAAAATTTCTTGTGAGCATCACAACTTCAACTGGTATTGATTTTGATTCCTGAAATCATGCTTGGAGAGCAGAGAAGTGAAGCCTACCCATCAGTTGATGACATTGGTTTAAGATTCCGGAAGGATATAGTCTTCAATGCATCAACAAGAGATGCATCCAGTCCCTTCCTTGGTGGATCAACAATGACTACTTCAGACCCCATGAGCCAAGAAAGAGGTTCCTATGCATTCAAATTAGATAGCATAATTAGTCAACTTTTTTCAAAACGGAAGCTACACATTAACTATTTTGGTAACTAATGAAGGCTAAGAATTGAGACTATATTCCAGAAAACTGGAGAGCAGCACTCACATCAGAAGTGTCTGCTTGGTGCCAGCTGATGCTGCCATCTAAGGACTTTGGAAGGCGTTCAACAGTCTTCTCAAAGGACAATTTCGACTCTTTATTAACTTCGATGCACTTGACAGATCTGAAAAAAGCAGAAAATCAGAGCCATTCATTTAGTTTGTCGTGGCTAAACAACCAAGATCACAAGAGCATTGAGAGGTATAATTAAGGGTCTTGCCTGCATTTTCTACTGGCGGCAACTGACAACCCAATTACTCCAGCTCCAGCATACAAGTCAGCAACTGATGATCTTCGAGGTACATATTTTTGTAACTTCCACAGCAAGGAATCAAAAGCCTGAAGAGAAGCACAGATGTAATTTGATAGAATTGGAATCCCGAGAGGAAAATGATATATGCATTACAAAAACTATGATGAATGCATATGATATTGTTAAAGAGTTCTCACGCGTGTATTGGCTTGGCCAAAGCTAGATGGAGCCAAGGATACATCAATACCTCCAACATGCTCCCACAAATCCATTTCTCCTAAAAGATGTCTCCACCTATTCCCGAAGATAATCTGCATCATTTTCCAAACAACTTAATTTTATGACTGTAACGGCCAGAGACTTATATTCAGCAGTTCAACAAGTTCTTGCCCTCACTTTCTCTAACTAGTACGCTCTATCAGAAAACACAGTTGCCAATTTGATAATATCCTTTTCAGCTATAAAAATAGAGTCATCCTAACTCACATTGTTAGACGATGTCTGGAAATTAGCCCAGACAGAGTGGATGATATTTTCGTTGCTCCTTGGTCCTCCATTTCTCCACAAGAACTAAATCAAAAGTATATAGCTAAATCCACATCAGAACTGAAATAGCAGGAAAAAGATATCAAGAGTGGAAAACAAAAGAATGGAAGGACAACAGAATACCTGAGCCAAGGCAGTTAACTTTTCAGAACTAGGAGAGGTCTCATTTCTTGTATTCCAAACTAGAGAAACCTGTACTTTACCTGAAAATGGTTGAAAAAGAGAACTCTTGTTAAACCTAAAACTCCATTAAAATTCATAAACAGCTTCACATAAGTTCAGTAGGTAACCATTTTTATATCTATCTGAGACAGGAAGTGATGTGTTGTGAGTGGTAACGGCCATCTGCAATACCCGAATCATTTCTCAGCATTCGTTGAGGAAAAACACATTATGGCTTGAATTCTGAACACGAATTAACATGATATCAGCCGCTGCATTCACTAACCTGCACATATCGCAAGTCACCGGTTCCCTGATCTTCATCATAAGGCAGAATCCTCAATGCAGTGATACCTATTACCCAATATCCAGAACCCTAAAACATAAGAAATGCGATTCATTTCCAACACAAATATATCAGAGAAGCATTTTTCAGACAAGTCCATCTAAAACCTTTTCTCAACAGTTCAACAGCAGCATTGATTCTTGGATGATGAGCTGCAGAAACAAAAGGAGACTAAGAAAAGAGAATTCACAAACAAACACCAAACTGTGCAACAATCCAATCGAGATTTTTTATTAAACCTTTGCAATCGGGAATGTCGACCACGTTATGAGTCCCCTCCTCGTACAGTCCAATCAAAGGGGTCGCCGACGAACCCCGGACGGCAAGCTTCGCTCGACACCTCCATTCCCACTTTATAACAAGAAGCAAAGAATCAGTATCCGGGAGTGAAATCAATCTCCGTTCATTTAACTTTTAGAGCCTTCTTACAAGTCTAGAACTATCGAAAGTGAAATCCGAGACTCCGAGTTTGCTGAAGAACTCAGCCGCCTCCTCAACCACGGAGGGACGATCGAGGTCGAGCTCGTGAGTGCAGCCTGAGCATCTGAAAGAACAAATCAACAAAAAATGAAAAGAAACCCCAACCCGCGTCTTATCAGAAGCACAGTAGAAACGGAAATTGTATGAGTGCGGGGAAATTGGGGAAGATGGGAAGAAAGCGTACGATTGGAAATGAGGGCACTCGAGAGCGCACTTGCTGTTCGACGGAGGAATTGCAGCTTCTAATTTGAGGCTCTTCGCCGGCCGCGACGTCGGCGGAGGGAGGGGTTTAGCGGTTGCCGGGGCGGGGAAGGGGAGGGTGGCGGAAGAAGATGCATGGCAGAAGACGGGCGGAGAGAAAGAGACGCGGGAAGAAAGTAAGTAGAGATGCATAATGCCCGGCAAATGGAGTAGAGTTGCCAGCCGGCGACGGAAGAAGACGGAGGTCGTGGCGGGAATGGATAATGAAAATTTCTTTTCGCTTATGATAGTGTCGAAATATCTCAGGGCCCCTGAAGCCACGCCCTAACGACAAGTCGTACCGTCAGCCGCGCTAGAAAATTAAATTTCAGAATGACACTCGCTGGTATGGTAGATTCTCAGTTACTTGAGTTAACTCTAGTGAATATAAAAATTCTAGGTGAGGAAATTTCCTGATATGCAAGATGTTACATTTACACGTCATATTTCAAGTTAACATACTGCCAAACAATCAACCTAGTAGAGCAATATTGCATCTAATGCCCCGTTACAAATGTTTGCTGCTTAAACTGACACTGTTAGAAGTAAGCTTAATTCCCATGGTTAGAAACTGAATCCATTCAACGGATTAGACATGGTTAAAGGACGAGGCAGCAAACTAGCACTCCGATTTTAAAGGTTTGTGAGTCGGTCAACAACCGGTAAAGCAATGATCACTTCTGTCTCTCTACACAAGGTCACAGTGAAGGCGAAGCTATACAGCCATCCAACATGGCAACATTACATACAAGAAAGACACAAAGCATCATCCAAAATGGGGATTCACAAGAGAGAGAGTCAGCCAAAGGAAGCAACTTCAATGGCTGGGAGGGAAGAACAGGAAAGGTAAAAACAGAAGGAGCCTCTTGCATTTCTTTTGTTAGGTTTGAATAAGGAGCCCTCTAACATTGCACAGAGGAGGAAGATTCTACAAATCACAAAAGAAGAGGAATCTGCGAACGAAAGCACACTCAGTAAGGAATCGGCCCGGCTGGGACTTCCCAGTTGTCTCCGTCATCGTCGTTTTTCTTGTTCTCGTCCCCTGGGGGCGCGGTGCTCTGGTTCGAAAATCTCGAGAATGGACGCCTGGAAAATACGTAACGATATCAATTATCGTATTAAGATAGAACAAACAAAATCCCCGTCCGTCCTATTAAACACTCCACATTTAATCTATACCCTCTTGGAATCAAAGCAGGAAATCACCTCAAGTTTCCATCACTTCATGCACACTTCGGAACATCCAAATTGAACAATCAAGCAAAAGAAAGAAGAAAAGACTGCAGCCAGCTAGATGGGAAAAGCCTAAAAGGACTATATCCAGGGTCATGAGCAGGCATGCATTTCGTTTAATTTTTGGTTTTTGGCAGAGTAGATTTTGCCGTTCAATACTCTCGGACCGGATGTAGGAGCTGTCGCGATGAGATCAAACGCCAAAGGCCAGACGAGGGAGTATGGCAGACTCCCCAAATGAGTGCAGGAATCAGCAATTAAGTAACTGCTTATGCCTACCGGTACAACTAACAGACTATTCAGCTACTTATGATCAATCACAATCAGGCTAATACAGTGTTTGTGTTTCCCCTTTTCCTACTACCATATGAACTCAACTAACAGCTTCTAACTTCCTTCCTCACACAATTTCAAGACACAACCCTCTCAGACGCAGAGCAAGAGCTTACTGCAACAAGAGTTCCAAGTTCTTCATTCCATCCAAACTAAACGCTCTATCTCCTCCCAATAGACAAATTCCCTCATCCAAAGTACATCTATAACGTCTTCCATTCATCCAGGTCCAAGCAAAAATCCTCTCCCCTCCCATAGAAGAATTCGCCCACGAAATTCCAGTACCCTAAACCCCCAAAATTTCAAGTACTCGCCAAAATGTTCCAGTACGCAAACAGAAACAACAATGCATTCGCTCGTTTCGTTCAGTTCAATTCGATTTTCGTAATATTACCTCTTGCGATTCCGCTTGGCAGCGTCGCGAACCCTCCGCTTCTTCTCGTCCTGCTTGTTCTCGAAGTACCTCCGACGCCTGCACTCCTGAATCACCCCGGCTCTCATCACTTCTCTCCTGAACCTGTTCAGGAGCCTCTCCTCCGGCTCGTTCTCTTCCACCACTATCTGGACATTGTACGACGAGTTGAAGCAGACAGTGCTCGGGGACGCCGCCGAAGAAAGCTCGCCGCCGGGGAACCGACGCGGCGCCGCGACAAGCGAAGACGGGGAGGAGTAGGTGGAAGGGAAGAAGGAGACGTGAGGCGGCGGCGAGATGGAGGAGGGAGGCGAGAGGAAGGAAAGGAAGTTGGAGAGAGCGAGTGGAGCAGCCATTGATGGAATAATGGATAGCTCGATGAAATTCTGGGTGAAGTTCTGGATTAGGTAGTTTTACTATTTTTCTTGTTTGTTTTTTCTTTTTCCTTTTTTATTCTAATTGTGAAGAATTTTGGGTGTGGGCCTGGGTTATTGAATGGGCCGTTAGGAAAATTTCGGGATCCGTAAGGTTCATGGGTGACCCAAAGAAAACATTGGGCCTGAATATGATTTGGCGTAATTGCATTGAGTTATATGCTGATCATGGGTTGGATTAGGGGTGGTAATCGGTCGGTAACCGGTAAACCGGTTACCGTTTGACCGGTTACTGGTATACCGGAACTCCCATATCTGCAGCCGTTTGCCGATACCGAGTGTAGATCGGTACACCGGTTACCGAATTAGTGTTTCACGGTTTTTTGGTCGGTACACCGTTTACCGAATTCCTGTTGTTGTGTTCTTCCTGTTCCTCTGCCTCTCGACCTCTCCCCTGCCTTCATCATCACCACTCCTTGCTCCTCTTCCCTCATTCATCCTTCCAACAAAGGAAGTTATCTCTCAATTGGCGGCGGCGGCGGCGCCACTGAACCATTTAACCGTCGAGGAAAAGGATGGCGTTCGAGCGACGGAGATCTAGTCGGAGATCAAGCGACGGATCGAGCAACGGGGATCGAGCGATGAATCAAGCAACGGAGATAGGGAATCGGACGGTCTCACAACTTCCTCTTTTTCTCAAAACTCAAATCGAGCCAAAGAGATCGAGCGGCAGTAACTCCTATACCCAGATAGTTGATTTTTAGATCTCCCCTTAGTGAACGGTGGTGATGATATTCTGAACTGAAAACCCAGGTTCTGGAAGCTGCGGCAACAGAGACGGAGACGGACAGGCTGGACACGGAGTTCCCACCCATGTTCTCCAATTTTGGGCTCCGATCGTTCCAATTGCATCACATCCAGATACATGCAATGAAGACTATAGGAAGCCTCATCCGATCTGCCTCTCATGGCGGAGAGAAGAGGGGAAGGAAACGCAAGGAGGGGATTGGGAGGGGTTGGCGTGTCATCGATCAGGGAAGCTCCGCCGCCGCCGAGTTGGAACAAATCCGGTCGGCTGCCGACACGGCGGGTGAGGATGAAGTTGGGATGGGATGGGGATCGAGCGACCAGGCTTCCCCTTCTCTGCATGGTGAGGCGGAGACGGAGAGAACGAAGATGAAGAGAAACGATGAGGTGGAGTCGGCCACCGTCATGACGGGAGTGGATGACGCGGTGCTGGGTCGGGGAAGCAGGCTTCTCGTCTGCTCTGCGTGGTGAGAATCGTGAGATGGAGATGGAGAGGAGTGAGGACGAAGATGAAGACTAGAGAGGAACAGAAGCTTTGTCACGCGGCAGTAGAGGCCATGGAGGAAGATATCGCAGGGCTGGAGCGGATTTGTCAATCAATTGCCATCGTTTTGCTGCTGTCACTTAGTGGGTTTTCGGTATTCGGTTAATTTGTTTACCGGCGGTAATTTACCGAAACCTATCCGGTATACCGTTCAGTCCATTTCACCCACCGCTAACCGTTACCGTTGGTTAACGGTTTAACCGGTTATCACCGGTTATCGGTACGGTTACCGGTTAAACCGTTAACCGGGAAACCGTTTACCAGCCCTAGGTTGGATTGAAATCTTATTCCCTAACTAGCCTCGTACCCGGCCCGTTGGCCAGATGAGTTTCGTTTATCATTTACATTTATCAATAATTATAATGATTAATTGAATTTTTTAGTATTTTATATTGTTGTAGTTTATTATTCAAAACGTATTTTGTTATCTTAATGCATGTCATGAAACATTGACCCATTATAGTTAATTTGTCAAATAAATTCTCAACAAAATAGTTATAAATTCTTAATGTAAATGATCTCAACTTATGCCCTAACACTAAGCTAGCTTACCTTGAAGAAGTTCACTATACACTATTGTGACTAATTGAAATTGGGTGTATGACCGTAAACTATGATTTATTTCCTATACTTTGACCTTTTTTGAATACCCGTAATTCATAATGAAAAAGTACGTATTGTGTAATCAACTCAACGACCTTAAAACTTTTGACTATAAACATGAATAATATAAAATCCAATATAACGGATACACCCTAGTGTTAGAAATAAGGCGGAGTTATACCACGTAATTCTTATAAATGTTTGTAACTAATGTTTACTCATTTTTTGTTGTATTATGCAATTGTATATATCTCCTTTATGACTTAATAGTACTCACCACAGTCAAACTTAGTATGTTATCACAACCATCACAGTCGCACAACCAAATCCTAAATTCTAATTTTTGTGCCACTTCATTCTTCTTCTTGTTGTTATATATACCGATGGAAATTACTCATCTACTCCGCTGTTGGATGAAAATGGGGCGGAATCTCTCTAAACCATCTCCATCCTCATTTTCCAAAATCAAAATCCGTACTCGACCCATATCCATTTGAAAAGAGGTTTTGAAACTACATTCCCAATCTGTGATTTTTGGATAACTGTGAGTAATAGTCGCCTCGTATATCCAATAGTATTATGCCTAGAATTAATACAATAAATCTTACTAACATATAAATTTTGGATTATAACCAAAACCTGTACACGCCCCATATCCATTTGAAGAGAGGTTTTGAAACTCCATCTCCACATCCGTGATTTTCATTAGTGGGTAATACTCACCTCGTATATATTCAATAGTAATATGCCTAGAATTAATATAATAAATCTTTCTAAACATACAAAATTTCAAATTCAAAACACACATTTCTGTAACATATATTTTGTCCATAAGATAATCACTATTTTTAGCATCCAATCAAATTAATTTAAGAATTTTTTTTGTGGGGCGGGTATGGCTATGGGTATGATGCTAAAGACTATATCCACTCCATCCCATCAATCTTCTATGCCTATCCTCACCCGCACCCAGTTAATACGGGGATTCCATGTAGGGGTGGGCAATGGATCGGTCCATGCCGGATCACACCAGACCAAACCGTTGTCTGGACCGAACCACACCGAATCGAATATAATTTGGTTTGGTTTTTGGTCCCATGAATTTTATAAGTATTGAAGAAAAATGAACCAAATTCACTTTTGGATCGGACCAAAGTGGACTAAAGCGAACCAAATTCACTATTGGTCCGATCCTTGGTCCTAAGATATCTTTCACTATTGGACAGCGGTTTTCCTGAGTTTGGTCCGATTCGATCCGGACAGACCGATGCCCACCCCTAATTCCACGTATTTATTGGGTTGGGGTGGTCGGATACCCACGATCGTGATTTTAGTTGCGATCGTGGTCAGATACCATACACACCCCATATCCATTTGAAGAGAGATTTTGAAACTCCATCTCCATATCCGTGATTTTCATTCGTGGGTAATACTCACCTCGTATATATTCATTAGTAATATGCCTAGAATTTATATAATAAATCTTTCTAAACATACAAAATTTGGGTTATAAGATCAAATAGAGCTAAACCATAAAGTCAACAAAGATATAATCATTATTAATTCAAATTCAAAACACCCATTTCTGTAACATATATTTTGTCCATAAGATAATCACTATTTTTTAGCATCCAATCAAATTAATTTAAGAATTTTTTTTGGGCGGGGATGGGTATGGGTATGGGTATGATGCTAGAGAGTATATCCACTCCAGCCCATCAATATTTTAGGCCTATCCCCACTCGTACCAAGTTAATACGGGGATTCCATGTAGGGGTGAGCAATGGGTTGGTCCATGCGACCATGCCGGATCACACCGGACCAAACCGATGTCTGGACCAGACCACACCGAATCGAATATAATTTGGTCTGGTTTTTGGTCCCATGAATTTTATAAGTATTGAAGAAAAATGAACCAAATTCACTTTTGGATCGGACCAAAGCAAACCAAATTCACTATTGATTCGGTCCTTGGTCCTAAGATATCTTTCACTATTGGATTGCGGTTTTCCTGAATTTGATCCGATTCGATCTGGACCGGACCGATGACTACCCCTAATTCCACGTATTGATTGGGTTGGGGTGGTCGGATACCCACGATCGTGGTTTTAGTTGCGATCAACCCAACACCTACCCTTCCTCTCAAATTCACCTCCTTTCGGAATGGTTGGGTCATGCCTCTGCTTGTTAGCCTCGATCTGCTTGGCTACATTGATGGAACGACTCCAACTCCACCTCACCAAATTACCAAGGATGAAATTGACAGTAGAATTCTGCCTAATGCCACTGGTTACATCATGATCAACTACTTTTGAATGGTATTTGTGTTAACTCGATGTATTGCAATCTGACGTTTATTCAAAGTGGACACCAACGTCCTTAAGTACAAAAGAAGGCCACAGGAATCGGCCATGATCAACAACCTCAACAGACCTCAACAGCAAGATCCAAATAGATCGCTGGACTACTAACTACTCTGCTAAAACCACGAAAGGACTAAACTAAAGAAAAACCACTGAGCCAGCTGCTTTATTTCTAATGACCTGAGTTCGAGACCTATAACCAACAAAGTCCTCCCCTAAACTGAAGACTGGTGCACTGCTTCAGTTTACCTGCTTGATCTTCAACCTTCTCCTTCGAATTCCCTAATGTCGACCATTCCTAGCTTGGTTCTCAGCAGCTGACAAGTCTCCAACTTGAGAGCTTTAGTCATGATATCTGCTACCTGCTGCTGGCTTCCACAGTGTTCCAACACAATCACACCATCATTTGCCAATTCTCTAAGAAAATGGAATCTTACATCGATGTGTTTGCTTCTGCCATGCATCACTGGGTTCTTGGAGAGTTTGATGGCTGAGCTGTTGTCACACATGATTGTTGTGGCTGTGTTCCCGTCTCCTTTCCACCCAATCTGCTCCAGTATTCTTCTAAGCCACACACATTGAGATGCACAGTAGGCTGCTGCAATGAACTCTGCCTCTGTGGTGGATAAAGTGACCACTGGTTGCTTCTTAGAGGCCCAGGAAACTGCACCACCTGCAAGGAAGAAAGCGTAGCCACTAGTGCTCTTCCTATCGTCAGCATCTCCTGCATAATCGCTGTCAGTATACCCTACCAAGCTCTCTTCTTCTTGCTTCCTCTTATACCAGATACCAAACTGCATAGTGCCCTTGATGTATCTCAGCACCCTCTTGGCTGCCAACATATGCTGCCTCGTTGGCATCTCCATGAACCTGCTAAGAAGACAGACCACAAACATGAGATCTGGTCTGGTTGCTGTGATATATAACAAGCTTCCAACCAATCTCTTGTAATCAGTTGAGTTAACAAGCACACCATCTCCAGCTTTTGTCAACTTAACCCCTGGAACAATTGGATTGTGGGCATGACTGCAGTGCTGCAAGTTGAATCTCTCCAGCACCTCCCTTGCATATTTTTGCTGACAGATAAAAATCCCAGCTTGACTTTGAGTAACTTCCACACCCAAGAAGTATCTCATTCTTCCCAAGTCTGTCATCTCGAATTCTGCTTGCATTGCCTCTTTGAACTCTGTAATTAGCCCATTACTGCTGCTGGTATACAGTAGATCATCAACATAGATGCTGACAATTAAGATATCCTCCCCTGCTCTTTTTATAAACAAAGTATGTTCATAACAACTTCTCTCAAAACCCTTCTTGATCAGATAGGTTTCAATGCGACTGTACCAGGCTCGTGGAGCCTGTTTGAGGCCATACAGTGCCTTTTTCAACTTATATACTTTAGAATCCTCCCCAGCAACCTCAAATCCTTGAGGTTGCTCTACATACACATCCTCAGCCAACTCACCATAAAGGAAAGCGCTTTTCACGTCCAACTGATACACCTCATAACCATGAAAAGCAGCAAAAGCAAGCAGAGTTCTAATGGTATCCCAACGAGCTACAGGGGCAAATACCTCAGTATAATCGATGCCATATTTCTGTGAGCAGCCTTTTACTACCAGCCTTGCCTTGAACTTGTCGATTGCTCCTGTCTCAGTAAGCTTGGTTCTGAAAATCCATTTGAGTTTAAGTGGAATAACTCCAAATGGAAGATCAGTCAGCAACCAAGTGTCATTCTTTTTGATGGAGAGGATTTCACACTGCATGGCTTCATTCCATCGAGGATCCTTCACAGCTTCTTCAAAGGAGACAGGATCATCAGTGATAGCAACTGATAGACCGTCATTTACACATGTTTTTACCCTCATACTTACACCGTTTGAGGTGTTGATTCTCGTGTTTTAGGCCGATTTCACGCTAGGTTGTGCTTGTTTGTGTTATTTCAGGTCCTAGTACGTGAATGAAGGCTTAGGAGCGAGTCTGGGGTCGATTGGACGAAGAACGGACGAAGGGCGAGCTGTTTGGGGAGTGCACGGGCAGATCAGGAGGCTGCACGGCCTTGCACTTGAGCCATTTGGCCGTGCACCTCATGTCGAGGCCATGCACGGGCAGGCTTGAAGCTTGCACGGCCGTGCGCCTGGCCGTGCAAGATGGACGAAGACCCAACAAATGAAACGGCGCGTTTTGATGGTGCACGGCCAGAATTGTGTAGTGCACGGCCGTGCACCTGGCCGTGCAACTCGGGAAAGTCGGTTTTAAAGCCTAATTCGAGCCAAAAGTGGGAGAATCGTGTTTTGAGAGCAAAAACAGAGCCCTAGAGAGAGAAAGTGCGAAGAACTCATCCTAGAAGCCGTCTAAGAGCTGGATTTCATCGAATCGAGCCTGGAGATCGTCATAGGAGTGAAAATCATCGTCCCGGAGCAGATTATCCTCATCGTTATGAGTATGACTAATCTGATTCTTGTTTTCTCTTCTCTCTCTATGGAGTAGAACCCTTCTCTCACTTGGGTATGAAGAACCCTAGTTCCTTGTGTTAGGGATTTGATTGTAATGACTTGGGATGATATTACTGCTTGATTTTAATCGAATGACGCATGTTTCATGAATTGATTTGAGTCTGATCAGCTTGTCTCAATTTCTGCTTCAACCTGAGATAGATAGAATCTGATTAGGTTGTTAGAGCCTCTTCATTCGATAGTAGGAGATTGGCTATACGAGAGTTAGCCAGTTGGCTGCTTTGTACTGGTGTTCTTGACGCCAGTAGTGGAGTTCTGTGTTCATAGCCTCAGCTTTCTATCCCGGTGAAGACTAGTCGTCTGCCGGGTAGTTAGACTGAGAGGGCTTGGTCAGCTTAAGAGATTCCAAACTACTGTCGGATCTTCCGCAGTCTAATCAACAGTAAATCAACCCAGGGAATTGCAATTGAACCTAACGAAGGGGCTAGGGGGACTCAATCCCGAGTGACTCTTGCCTGCTTAAGAAACCCGAACAATTTACTGCTTTCTTGTTGCTTTTACTTTTCACAACAATCACTCGACTTAGTTTGCTAGATAATAGAGAATCACGGAGTAAGCAGTAGATCTAGACCCCGGGTTGATAATTAAACTTGCCTATACTGCAGTTCCTTTCATTGGTTACACTTGGCCATTGTTAGGTGTTGTGTTTTAGCGTGTCAAGTTTTTTGGCGCCGTTGCCGGGGACCCTCTAGGTTATTGGAGAAACGTGATAATTTGTTACTCTAGCTTTTTATTTTCTGCATTTTCTTTCTTCCACCTGTGTGCCTTCACGGGTTGTTTCTTCTGAGTGTGTGCAGGTAGTGCATGACCCGTAGCCAGTCGGGAGATCTACTACCACTTGACCAGGAGCTTGAACGAACCTGCAGGAACTCCAAGCGGGTTCTAAAGGCGCGACTGGCTGCGGAGAAGGCGCTGTCACAACTACAGATCGGAGAAGAAGAAGAAGGCGAGATGGGTGATCCGCAGAACAACAATGTGATCCCCGGGGAGCAGACCATGGGATCCTACTGGACCGCTAGGGCTGCGGACATGAGGTCACCTATTCAACACCCTCAGGTCCCAGCCAACAACTTTGAGGTGAGCACCTCCGTGATCACCATGTTGCGCGGTTCAGTAGTGTTCCGTGGTAAGGAGGGAGAGTGCCCTCGATCACATCTCAGGCGATTCCACGAGCTCATCGATGGAATCAAGATCAATGGGGTACCAGCAGATGCCATCCAGCTGAGGTACTTCCCATTCACTCTGGAGGGGCAGGCCAAGGAGTGGCTAGACACTCGACCTCCGGGCTCCATCACCACGTTCGCCAACCTGGCGGACAAGTTCCTCACCCGCTACCATCCTCCATCCAAGACAGCTGATCTCCAGAAGCAGATTACACACTTTTCTCAGGATGAGGATGAGACCATTCGGGATGCTTGGGAGAGGTACACCAGCCTCTTTCTCAGGTGTCCCAACCATGGTTTCAACGATGCGTTCAAGGTGGGCACCTTCTATCACGCCCTCTTCCCGGAGGACAAGCAGCTGATCGATTCGGTTTGTGGCGGGAACATGCTGACCAAAACCCCGCCACAATTGAATCAGCTCTTTGAGGAGATGGCGGAGAACGGTTATGACTGGGGCACTGCCAGGAGATCGAGACGAGCCCCTGGAAGGGGTGTGCATGCTGTGGGCACCCAGTCATCTGATCTGGTGCAGGTGGTATCGAAGCTGGTTTCAGCTATCGATCGTTCTGGTTTGATTGCAGGTACCGGACAGCCGCAGGCGATGCACTGCCAGTGGTGTGAGAGCTCTCATCACACCGTGGAGGACTGTCAGGCTATGAGGGAGTCGTCCACTCCCCAGGAGCAGGTGGATTTCATCGGGAATGCCAGGCGCTTTGACCCCTACAGCAACACCTATAATGAGGGGTGGCGCCAGCATCCTAACTTTTCTTGGGCTGGGCCAAATCCCAGACCACCAGCTCCCTAGGGACCTCCCGGTTTCCAGAGGCCTCCATACCAGCCCAGACAGGGGCAATTTCAGCAGCAGCAGCAGCCACTCTACCAGCCCAGACAGGGGCCAGTTCCACCTCAGTCGCAGGCACGACCATTTCCACAGGCAGGGGCAGCCCCAGCACAGGTTGACCCGATGGCGGAACTGAGAGATCTGGTGGGTTCTCTGGCCTCCTCCAGTGCGAGTAAATTCAATAACATGGAGCAGTTCATGGAGAAAGCTTCTGGCAAGTTCTTGGAGCTAGAAGCTGGTCAGAGAAACACGCAGGCTGTGCTGCGAGATATACAGACCCAGCTTGGTGGTGTTGCCCAGGCGGTTGCTCGGAGGACTCCAGGTACCTTGCCTGGTCAGACCATCCCTCACCCGCAGAACCAGGATGAAAACTGCAGTGCCATCACAACCAGGAGTGGCAAGGTGACTGCCGATTCACCTGTTCGGGCAGCGGAGAAAGAGACCCCTGCTTCAGCACTTCCAGCTAATCAGGAAGAAATGGAGAAGGAGGTTGAGGTGCCTGCTCCTGAACCGCAACCAGTGGTGAAGGAGTATGTACCACAGCTCCCCTTTCCTACTCGGTTGCACAAAGACCGACTGGAGACTGAGTTTGCCAAATTCATGGCAATGCTGAAGCAGGTGAATATTAGCATGCCCTTCGTGGAGGCATTATCGAAGATGCCCAAGTATGCCAAGTTCATGAAGGATCTCCTCACCAACAAGAGGAAGCTTGGGGAGCTGTCTACGGTGATGCTAAACGAGGAGTGTTCTGCCATCCTGCAGAACAAACTACCAGAGAAGCGGAAAGACCCAGGGAGTTTCACTATCCCTTGCATGATTGGTAGTTTGCATGTAGGGAAGTCCTTGGCGGATTTAGGCGCTATCATTAATGTCATGCCATATTCATTGTTTAAGAAGCTAGGCCTAGGTGAACCCAGTAATACTAGGATGAGCATCCAGCTTGCTGATAGATCTATTGTGCATCCTAGGGGTATAGCAGAGGACTTGATAGTCGCAGTAGGGCCATTTTCATATCCTGTTGATTTTGTGATTCTGGACATAAATGAGGATGTTGATGTGCCATTGATACTGGGTAGACCTTTTCTCGCCACCGCCAAGACACTGATTGATGTTAATGATGGAAAGCTGATTTTGAGAGCTGGGGGTGAACAAATCACCTTCTCTGTTTCTGATAATATGAAACACCCCCAGCTCCATGATGATCTTGATTACTGTGATGTTGTTGCTGATTTTGAGACCGCACTCGCCATCACGAGTGCGGGTACTGATGATTTCCTTGAGCGTTGTCTTTTGCTAGGGGAACAAGCATCACAGGATATGCAGCTGGCGGAGCAGCTTGCGGAGCTGGACGAGGCTGCGAGCGAGGGGCGAGAGCTGCCATTCAAGCCGATTCCCATCTCGCCCCGGCTCGCTACATCATTGGAGGAGCCACCAGAGTTGGAGCTTAAACCCCTCCCATCTCATCTGGAGTATGCATTTCTCCGGGAGGGGAATAAGCTCCCGGTTATTATTAGCTCGGATCTGACCCCCGAGCAGAAGAGCAGACTGGTGGCTCTGTTGCAGAAGTATGCCCGGGCCATGGCATGGAAGATCACTGACATCCGAGGCATTAGCCCATCCTTCTGCTCTCACAGAATCTTGATGGAGGATGAGGTTAAGCCAGTCAGACAGCCGCAGAGGAGATTGTCTCCTAACTTGGAGGCAGTGGTCCGGGCAGAGATCGTGAAGCTCATGGATGCAGGGATCATCTTTGCTATATCTGATAGCAAGTGGGTCAGCCCCACTCAGGTGGTCTCGAAGAAAGGCGGGATGACTGTGGTCCCGAACGAGAAGAAGGAGTTGATCCCGATGCGGACCGTGACCGGCTGGAGAGTCTGCATCGATTACCGGCGCCTGAACGACGCCACCAGGAAAGATCATTTTCCCCTACCTTTCATTGACCAGATGCTGGAGAGGTTGGCGGGCCATGAGTTCTATTGCTTCCTGGATGGCATGTCTGGGTACTTCCAGATTCCTATTGCACCGGAGGATCAGGAGAAGACCACATTCACTTGCCCCATCGGCACTTTTGCTTACCGGAGGATTCCATTTGGGCTGTGTAACGCACCGGCGACCTTCCAGAGATGCATGCTGGCTATCTTTGACCGACTGGTTGGAGAGATCATGGAAGTCTTCATGGATGATTTCTCGGTATATGGAGATTCCTTCACTCATTGTCTCCATAACCTGGAACTCGTTCTGAAGAGGTGCGAGGAGACGAATCTGGCACTCAGCTGGGAGAAGTGCCATTTCATGGTTCGTGAGGGTATCGTGCTTGGGCACAAGATCTCCAAGAAGGGGATTGAGGTAGATCGCGCGAAGATTGAGACGATCAGTCAGCTACCTCCTCCCGTTTCTGTGAAGGGGATTCGCAGCTTTCTGGGTCATGCAGGCTTTTACCGGCGCTTCATCAAAGACTTCTCAAAGATTGCCCTGCCGTTGACCAAGCTGTTGGAGAAGGATGCGCCATTCCAGTTCACTCCAGAGTGCACAGCTGCATTTGAGACTCTGAAGGAGAAGCTTACCCATGCCCCTATCATGGTGACTCCTGACTGGTCTCTTCCTTTTGAGCTGATGTGCGATGCGAGTGACTATGCAGTCGGAGCAGTTCTGGGTCAGAGACGCGAGAAACACTTCCAGCCCATCTACTACGCGTCGAAGACCTTGAACGATGCACAGGAGAACTACACCACCACAGAGAAGGAGCTCCTCGCTGTGGTGTATGCATTTGACAAGTTGCGACCCTATCTGGTGCTCTCTCATGTGGTGGTTTACACTGACCACTCGGCGATTCGTTATCTGATGAGCAAGGCTGTTGCCAAGCCTCGGCTCATCCGCTGGATCCTGCTGCTGCAGGAGTTTGATATCGAGATTCGGGACAAGAAGGGAGCCGAGAATGTTGCTGCAGATCATCTTTCGCGGTTGGAAGCCCCTCCGGTGGACAACTTCGAGGAAGAGATCGACGACTCCTTCCCGGGTGAGCGATTGCTGGCGATGACCCTGGTGGACAGCGTTACCCCTTGGTATTCTGACTTTGCCAATTATCTGGTGGGCAAGCAGTTACCCAAGGGGATGGCTACTCATGCGAAGCGCAAGTTCTTCTCCGATCTGAAGCACTACTTCTGGGAGGATCCTTACCTCTTCAGAATCGGAGCAGATGGCGTGATCCGGCGCTGTGTCATGGAGCATGAGATGGGAGACATCCTGTCTCACTGTCACGAAGGACCTACTGGCGGTCATCATGGAGGAACCCGCACGGCGCGAAAGGTGCTACAGTCGGGCTTCTATTGGCCCTCGCTCTTCAAGGATGCAGACACCTTCGCACGCCAGTGCGACCGCTGCCAAAGGTCAGGTAACATTTCTGCCCGGGATGAGATGCCCCAACATATATCTGTTATTTGTGAAATTTTTGATGTTTGGGGTATCGATTTCATGGGCCCATTCCCTCCATCTTTTGGCAATCTGTACATTTTGGTTGCAGTGGACTACGTCTCGAGGTGGGCAGAAGCTCAAGCCATGCCCACCAATGATGCAAGACGGGTCTGCTCATTTCTGAAGCAGCTGTTCTCCCGGTTCGGGACACCTCGCGCCATTATTAGTGATAGAGGAACCCATTTTCAGGGGCAATTCACTAAACTCCTCTCTCGCTATGGCGTTAAGCATCAGGTGTCGGTGGCCTATCACCCCCAGTCAAATGGGCAGGCCGAGCTGACGAACCGGGAGTTAAAACGTATAATTGAAAAGACGGTGGATCAGTCCCGCAAGGATTGGTCCACCAAGCTCGATGATGCTCTCTGGGCGTATAGGACTGCCTATAAGACCCCGATTGGCACTTCTCCCTATAGACTTGTCTATGGGAAGGCGTGTCATTTGCCGGTAGAGCTAGAGCACAAGGCCTTCTGGGCCATTAAGCTGCTAAACATGGATTTGAGTGTTGCAGGTACAGAACGTAAGCTGCAGCTGCTGGAGTTGGAGGAGTGGCGTTACCACGCCTACGAGAACACCCTGCTCTACAAAGAGCGCACCAAGCGTCTTCACGACGCTAGGTTGAGGGGCCCGAAGGAGTTTCAGGTAGGTGATCGTGTTCTGCTCTTTAATGCACGCCTGAAACTCTTTCCGGGCAAGCTCCGTTCTAGGTGGTCGGGTCCTTTCACGGTGACCCAAGTTTTCCCGCATGGTGCGGTGGAGATCAGCAATGCTCAAACCGAGCCATTCAAGGTGAATGGCCACCTCCTAAAGTTGTACTTGGGAGGTGCTGTCGAGCGCGCAGAGCTGCTGATCAAGCTCGAGGACCCTTAGTTCCTCTACTGGCGTCCAGCTAAAAGACGGTAAAGAAGCGCTTGTGGGGAGGCAACCCCACCGAGGTTTGCATTTTCTTACTCTTTTTTTTTCCTTTGATTTTGTGTGTTTTTGAGTCTTGAGACGTTGATCCGGAGTTACGTGTCGTTTTTGAGTGAAAACAGGTTGATTTCGGGACCCCAGCAAGGTGCACGGCCAGAAAATCAACTTGCACGGCCGTGCACCTAGCCTGGCCTGGCCGTGCGAGCTCTCGGCCAGGAGTGCACGGCCAAAAGCGCGTTGTGCACGGCCGTGCAGCACCCTCGATGAAATGCCTGTTTTCCATGCCATGTTGTGGCCACCGGTTGGGGCCCTTAATGATGTAGTTTGTGGGTGTATTTGCTATGGATGTGAACCTTGAGTTGCCTACTTTCTTGTGAATGTGCACCCCCACCCAGATTATGCTTGATTTATCGAGTTTTTGACCCCCGAACTATGGATGAAACCATGGTTCGGCTGCTTTCTGTTCTTAAGTGTGGGGGTGGGCTTGACCTTTTCTTTGGCTCTTTTGGTTCCACCTTGGGTTGTTGTTTTGCAGGGCAATGGTACAACCTAACTTCCAGCACCCGTTCATCCGGGATCTCAGGAGGGGCTCCACCGGAGAGCGCTTCAAGAAAGTCGTGGAAACCCCGTTTGGCGCCCACCATTGCTGGTCCAAACGGGAGTTTCGGGAACTGCACTGCTACGAGCAGATTTCCGCCGTGGTCGCCAACACTGCATGGCGCCGTCTGTTCCAGATCTGCGAGACGGTCTACTACGAGCCGGTGTGGGAGTTCTACACCACTTTCAAGCACAACTCCACGACCAGATACCATGACAGTACAGCCGTCCAATTCAGGCTGGGTGGTGTCCCCCGGTCCTTGAGCTATCACGAGCTGGCTGAGGCTCTCGACCTCGACCTCGACGACAGTCGGGACTACGTCACCGAGGTTACTGAGCCACCGGAGGTGGACTTCAAGAGGCTGTACACCAGCCTGGCTCAGCCTGGCCAGACGCGTCCTTTCAAGTCTGGAAGGACGAAGGCAGCTACCCTGCAGATCGAGTACCGACTTCTCCACCACCTGCTGGCGAAGTCTTACACTCCTGCATATGACAGTGCCGGCCACATCACGAAGAGGCCCCTGTACTTCCTCGATTCGATCCGCCAGCGCCGCCATCCTCTCCACCTGGGTTCGGTGGTGGCCAAGACATTCGAGAAGACGGCCACAGAGCTGAAGAGCCTCCACTGCGCCCCCCTCATCACCCGCCTGGTTACCTTCTTCGGCCTCTCACTGCAGGGGTGCACCAAGGAGGGGGAGACCCCCATCTTTGGCAGCGCGACAATCAAGAAGATGCTGCTGTTGCGGGAGAGGAACGGTGTTCAGTGGGTCGAGGGATTTCCGGAGCCCCCTATCCCCGCGGAGCCCGAGGAGGAGGCTGACGAGGAGGCTGACGAGGAGGTGGACCCCGAGGAGGTGGATGCTGCTGCTGATGCTCCCCCACAGACTGACTTCCATTTTGGGGGTAGCAGCTCCACTTTCCAGGGCCAGGACTACTTCACCCAGCAGTTCGAGCAGCTGAGGATCCAGAACCAGCTGCTCCTTGACCAGCAGATGCAGTTCCCGCAGCAGTACGCGGCAGATCAGGCCGAGTACCGGCACAGGCTGGACACGATCCAGGCTCAGCAGGGCGTGACTCTCGCCCATATCGAGCGGGAGAAGCGCCGCTCCCGGCGCATGCAGGAGGTTCAGCAGCACCTGCTTCAGCTGGTTCCGGGCGAGCCACCTGTCTGGAGGACTCCCTGGGATGACTCCCCTCCACATGACGGTGCGGCTGGCGCTGCTGATGATGATGCGTTCATGAACGACATCGATCTCGACGATCTTGGCGACGAGTAGGCTGTCCTCGTTGCCCGTCTCATTTTGTTTGTTTTTGTTTGTTTTTTTTTTTTTTTAGACTTTTGAGTGTTTGCTCCATGTGTGCGGAGCTTGAACTTTTTGTCGTTTGTTTTTTGTTTTTGGTTTTTCCTTTGTGGTTTGATGTAGCCGTCTGGGCTAACACTTATCCCTAACGCCAGTGTGCTAGTGTTTCTGATGTTCGATTTGTGCAGTATTGACCACTTCCCCGTTCGCTTCTCGCTGACTGGTCCACTTCCAGTCCCCCAGCAGTGTTCTTACCCGGTAACATCGTTCCCCTTATCTTTCCCTCTGCTCCATTGAGGGCAATGTCGTGCTTAAGTGTGGGGGGATGTTTTGTATCGGTTGGAATATTTTTGATGGTGCTTGGAGCCTAGTCCACTGTCCGAATCTTACGATTTGAGGGCTCCAAGTACTGCTGTTTGATCATATTGGCACTGTGTTTTGATGGATGAATTGATTGGTTTTCGGATTAATGCATGACAACCTGTTTGCGACTAGGACAACCTATGATGAGGACTGAGATGTGCAGTAGAACGATATAGAGGTTCAGTTTTTCAACTGTTTGCTTGCCAACTGTGACTTGATCTGACTTGATCTGATTACTTGTTCTTGACAGTCGTTTATGCATCTAGTTCAGGGTATCAGAATGTGAGATAGAGCATATAGGTAGCCATGTGAGATTTGAGCCTGCTCGTTTCTTTCTTGTGCGATAGATCCCTCTTCCATGATGTGTAGCATTCACGTTGTCACTAGCTGAGATGATGGGGGCATAGGATTAGCCCACGCCCAAAACTGACTGTCCTGATGTGTCATATCCCCTAGTCAGCCCCTTTGAGCCGTGTGTTATCCTTTCTTTTGGTCTATAATGAAAAAAATCACCCTTGTTGCATCTTTTAGAAGGTTCCACAGAGTGGTTTTTACATATTCTCTGCTGTTTCTGCTTAAGTCTATGTGAGTGTTGGAGGTAGTGCTTAAAAGCTGGGCAGGTGTTTGAAATTTATGCAGAAGTGGTGGCTCTCTTAAGAAATGAAAAGAAAAATAAAAGAAAAACAAAGAAAAAATTGAAAGCAAAAGAGAGCCACTGCCAAAAATCTGAGTACTGCCCAGTAAGTAGTGTTTCTTAGCAGTCTGGCTGGGAAATGCTGATGTTTATGCCTCCTTCGCTCTTGTGCTCTTAAGACATTGAGTAATGCAGGATAGCAGAAAGAAAATACCGGGTTGTTGACTGTGTTTGTGTGTTTGGGAAATGTGGAACCTTTTGCTATGAATACTTCCACCACCTAAAAGGCCTTTTCCCCATGTCCAAGACCCTAGCCAGTCATTTGAACATGTGTCTAAGACCTCCTGATTAGTTAGTGGTGACACCCCATATGTGAACTCTAGCATTTAGAGGCTGCCATCATGGTGAAGAGATGATAGGTATTGAGAGAAATGACATGCGCATCTTTCGCATCAAATTGTCCTGACCCCACTGGTCGAGAGTGAGTGATTCATTTTCATTTTCTATATGCTCTTGTACCCCGGTGAGGACCTAGATTGCTCGGTCTCTATTCTGATGTCTTGAGTTGGATGCATGAGTTGACTGTTTTGAGTGAGTGGTTGAATCAAGTCTAAGTTGGCCAGTGAACAGAAGGGGGACTCTTCCTTTACTCGATTTGCTGCACTCGAATGTCCTTTGTGGTGGTTGTCCAGGTTGTTATTGAGGTTGTGCATGTATTGATGTTTGAGAACCAGTGCAATTCACGTGTTTTGTGCCTTTATGACTTGTCCCCAATGTTGGTTGATTGAAATATGTAAGCTTACTTAGTGTCTGACTTGGTTTGCTTGGGGACAAGCAAACGGTTAAGTGTGGGGGAGTTTGATAGACCGTCATTTACACATGTTTTTACCCTCATACTTACACCGTTTGAGGTGTTGATTCTCGTGTTTTAGGCCGATTTCACGCTAGGTTGTGCTTGTTTGTGTTATTTCAGGTCCTAGTACGTGAATGAAGGCTTAGGAGCGAGTCTGGGGTCGATTGGACGAAGAACGGACGAAGGGCGAGCTGTTTGGGGAGTGCACGGGCAGACCAGGAGGCTGCACGGCCGTGCACTTGAGCCATTTGGCCGTGCACCTCATGTCGAGGCCATGCACGGGCAGGCTTGAAGCTTGCACGGCCGTGCGCCTGGCCGTGCAAGATGGACGAAGACCCAACAAATGAAACGGCGCGTTTTGAGGGTGCACGGCCAGAATTGTGTAGTGCACGGCCGTGCACCTGGCCGTGCAACTCGGGAAAGTCGGTTTTAAAGCCTAATTCGAGCCAAAAGTGAGAGAATCGTGTTTTGAGAGCAAAAACAGAGCCCTAGAGAGAGAAAGTGCGAAGAACTCATCCTAGAAGCAGTCTAAGAGCTGGATTTCATCGAATCGAGCCTGGAGATCGTCATAGGAGTGAAAATCATCGTCCCGGAGCAGATTATCCTCATCGTTATGAGTATGACTAATCTGATTCTTGTTTTCTCTTCTCTCTCTATGGAGTAGAACCCTTCTCTCACTTGGGTATGAAGAACCCTAGTTCCTTGTGTTAGGGATTTGATTGTAATGACTTGGGATGATATTACTGCTTGATTTTAATCGAATGACGCATGTTTCATGAATTGATTTGAGTCTGATCAGCTTGTCTCAATTTCTGCTTCAACCTGAGATAGATAGAATCTGATTAGGTTGTTAGAGCCTCTTCATTCGATAGTAGGAGATTGGTTATACGAGAGTTAGCCAGTTGACTGCTTTGTACTGGTGTTCTTGACGCCAGTAGTGGAGTTCTGTGTTCATAGCCTCAGCTTTCTATCCCGGTGAAGACTAGTCGTCTGCCGGGTAGTTAGACTGAGAGGGCTTGGTCAGCTTAAGAGATTCCAAGCTACTGTCGGATCTTCCGCAGTCTAATCAACAGTAAATCAACCCAGGGAATTGCAATTGAACCTAACGAAGGGGCTAGGGGGACTCAATCCCGAGTGACTCTTGCCTGCTTAAGAAACCCGAACAATTTACTGCTTTCTTGTTGCTTTTACTTTTCACAACAATCACTCGACTTAGTTTGCTAGATAATAGAGAATCACGGAGTAAGCAGTAGATCTAGACCCCGGGTTGATAATTAAACTTGCCTATGCTGCAGTTCCTTTCATTGGTTACACTTGGCCATTGTTAGGTGTTGTGTTTTAGCGTGTCAGCAACCATGACCAGCCATTCAACATCTGCAAACTCACAGTCATAATCATTCAGATAAGCAGGTAATCTTCTATCTCTAGGTGGCAATTGAGTACTTGCTTCAGCCCCTGTTTCTTGTCCTGCAGTGGAGAGAGTTGCAGAAGTTGGACTTGAGGATTGTGGACTAGACTGACCAGGAGAGGCCATAGTGTCATCCAAGTCAGCTTCTTCTTCTTCCAAACCATCTTCATCATCTGAATCCAACCACTCTTCTTCACTGCCTTCCCAAGAAAGGAAGGTTACTCCTGGCTGCATGTCTTCTTCCCAAATCCAACCCTTTAGTTCATCGAAGACAACATCTCTACTTATAATCACCTTCTTGGTGATTGGATTAAATAGCTTATATCCCTTGGATTCCACTGATAAACCCAGGAAATTACACTTCAAACTTTTGTCATCCAATTTCCTTCTATGCTGATCAGGAATGTGAGCATATGCAACACATCCAAACACTCTAAGGTGAGATACTGTAGGTGGCTTTCCGGTCCAAAGTTCTTGAGCAGTCTTACCTTGATTTGCTGAGGAAGGACTCCTGTTCAAAACATGAGAAGCCCAAGCAACTGCTTCTGGCCAAAAACTTGCAGGAACATGACTGTCTTCCAGTAGACACCTCACCATATTCATGATACTACGATTCTTCCTCTCTGCCACACCATTTTGCTGAGGTGTGAAGGATGCTGTCAGTTGCCTCCTTATGCCTTCCTTGTCACAAAGCTCTTTGAATTCGTTCAACAAGAACTCCCCTCCACGATCTGTTCTCAGACACACTATACTCATCCCAGTTTCTTTTTCAATTTGAGCTTTGAAACGTTTAAACACCTCAAGTGTTTCTGACTTAGCATCCATAAAGTAAACCCATAGTTTCCTTGAAAAATCATCTGTGAGAGTCAAGATATACCTTTTTCCACCGTTGGATGCTGGAGTGATAGGACCACAGAGATCAGCATGTATAAGCTGCAGTTTTTGGCTTGCTCTCCAGTGACTTTTCTTTGGAAATGGCTTCCTGTGTTGCTTGCCTATCTGACAAGCATGACAGATTCCCAGCTTCCCTTTCAGCTCTGGTAAGTCAGCCACTCTTCCTTTCCTATACAGCTGCACCAGACCAGCAGGACTGACATGTCCAAAGCGTCTATGCCAAAGTTGCAGTGAAGATTCTGGGGTATTGATGACTTGATGGCACTGCATCTCTTCTTCCCTTCCCTTTTGAGCATGAAGAACAAACATTCTGTTTGTTTTCATTTGAGTCTGCAACAAAAGACCCTTAGACTCATGAAAGATCTTGCATAATCCTTCTTTGATTAGGAATGCAAGTCCTTTCTCTTGCAGCTGCCCTACACTTAGCAAATTAGTCTGCAATCCTGGGACATAGAAGACATCTTGGACGATCAGAGACACCTGGTTTACTAGCAACTTCACAGTACCCTTTCCTGCTACATTCAATTTGTAGTCATTCCCAAGCTTCACACAACACTGAGTACCTGAATCAATTGCAGTAAACCAGTTCTTGTTGCCACTCATATGGTTGCTACACCCTGAGTCCAAGAACCACCAGTCCTCATTAGTCTTCTGCTCTTCCTTCTTGTTCTCCATCACCTCACTGCCTTCTCCTTGCTCAACAAATGCCATAAGCAGTACATCCTCCTGCATATCCCCATACGACCTGTCCTGCAACTGCTGGGAACTTGAGTAATATGCCCTTTGAATTGAATTCCACTCAGGACATTCATGCTTGAAATGCCCAAGTCTATGGCATTTGAAGCATTCAACTGTTTCCTTAATCCAGCTCCTTCCTCCCCTTCCTCTGCCTCTGCCAGGTGAACCACCAAACCTTCCTCGACCTCCTCTTCCTCCAAACTCATGAGTGGCCTTGAGAGCCTGATCCTCCCCTGCTGTAGTTCTTCTAGTAAACTTCTGTTCATGTACAATCAAGGAACTCTGAAGAGCATCAATGGTGAGTGTCGCAATATCCTTAGATTCTTCTATCGACACCACCACGTAATTGTATGTATCAGTCAAGGTTCTCAGAATCTTGCCTACTACTTCACCATCAGGTATGTTATCACCACAGTTTCTCATTGAATTAACAACAGCCATTACTCGACCAAAGTAATCAGAGATTCTTTCACCTTCTTTCATTTCCAGGAGCTCGTAGCTCCTCTTCAGCCCTTGCAACTGTGCCTGCTGGACACGAGCACTCCCTTGATATTTCACCGCCATGGAATCCCACAGCTCCTTAGATGTCTCTTTCTTGGAAATCGTCTTCAAAATCGTCTTGTCGATTGAACTGAACAAATAGTTCAAGGCTTTCAGATCCTTCATCCTGAGGTCTTCCAGGGCCTTGGTCTGCTCTTCAGTGAGTCTTTCCCCTTCCTCTGGCTCTTTGAATCCTTCGCTCACCACCTTCCAATAGTCCTTCGAGCGGAGAAGATTTCTCATCAGTAAGCTCCAGTGAGAAAAATCGCCATCGAACTTGGGTATGCACACCTGTGCAAAACTACTTGCCTCACTCATCTCTGTAAAAATTCCTTAGCACACCACAAGTGCTAATCTCTCACCCACCCAGGTGTTTTAGCCTCACAAATCTCTCGTGTTTCCCTTTTCCCTTCTGCAAACACAAATGCAGAAACAAACACTCTTGGTTACAGCTTGCACGAGCTCTGATACCACTTTGTTAACTCGATGTATTGCAATCTGACGTTTATTCAAAGTGGACACCAACGTCCTTAAGTACAAAAGAAGGCCACAGGAATCGGCCATGATCAACAACCTCAACAGACCTCAACAGCAAGATCCAAATAGATCGCTGGACTACTAACTACTCTGCTAAAACCACGAAAGGACTAAACTAAAGAAAAACCACTGAGCCAGCTGCTTTATTTCTAATGACCTGAGTTCGAGACCTATAACCAACAATTTGCTCCTTATGAGTCTAGCTACAGCCTTTTGTATCAATTACTAACCAAATGCTCATGCTTCTTGAAAAACTCTTCAGAAGCGCTAAACCATCAAATCTCATTCTTGTGCGATAATCCTCAAATATCACCTTCGATTGGAGCAGCATGGTGATTGTGATATGTATGCATGTTTGCTCTCCATTTAGTCTATCACTTCTGAACTCTCTTTCATTGGTGCTACTATTTCTATTGTTGATGTTGTGCTTTAATGCCTTCTTGGCATTTACCTAAACTATTAGTCATTCTTTTTCCATCATCCATCTAGTGAAAGTCCCATTGAGATTGAGTAGTTGTTTGATTATATCCCTGATTTGGAAGCCGAGTTTCTGCACACCAAAAAATTAATGGATTCTTGTGATGCCATGAATGTCTTTCACATACCGTAGCAACAACAACAAACAATTAATGATAGAGGGATTCTCACTTCACTCTCGATTACCTCTCATAGTCCCACCTTAGCTTGTGGTTCGTGTCTTTCTAAAACCATAAACTTACATTTTCGAATGTCTATTGTATTGATTTCCATACCATTTGATTTCATATCACAAATCTCTAACTAATCAGATACTCCAAACTTGATAACATTAATCATATATACATTAAAAAGAAAAAACACTTAAAAAGAAAAAAACACGAAGGTTGATACTTTTAGCTTATTTTGTTGTAACTTTTGGTTGGAACTTTTAAAGAAGCATTACGAAAACTTAATATAAGATGACTGAAATGGATTTATATATAAATATGTATACAAAGTCAAATAAATAAATAAAAATAGTCAGAATGAATCTTGTTGAATTTATTTTATTAAATAATTTTATTTTATTATTAAGTTATTATTAAAATTCCTTACAAAAAAAAGTTGTTATTAAAATTATATATATGAAAGAGATTTCTATAACATTATAAAAATTATAAGGATAATCTTGTAATTTAATATATATTTTTTTTTGCAGAAACTCCGTATCGAAACTTATTTTTTATGCTTGAAAAATAATTTTCATCTTTTTTTTTTGTCGTGCTTATGTAGGTAATTGGCTCAATTTTATCTTTTGAAGTAAAAAAATACTTTAAAAGCGAACTTATGTAGGTATTTGGCTAAATATTCAAATGCACTTTACACTCAAAGTATTTCTATAAGAACATCTAATTTATATTTACTATTTTCAGTTCCCCTTATACTTATGGTTAGACCTGCAAATTACAATCCGACCCGTTGACCTGACCCATACCCGCCCAAAAAATAGAAGTTTTTAAAACCTTAAACCTGAATAACCCGGCCCGATTAACCTGTGTTTTTTGGGTCGGGTTGGGTGGGTTAGTGGGTCGACACGTTAGACCCGTTCCATTTCATATGTCACTCCCAAAATGATAAAATCACTCATAAATAGGTATGTTTAGAAAAATTCATGAGGATTTGAAAGACATGTTTGGAGTTTAAGGATATAATCAAATATCATGGGTTTCTCACTTTCTTGTAGTAGTTTACTCTTCTGATTATTTTTTGACGATTTGTGAAATTTCTATTTCATTTCATTAGCATGGGAAAATTTGAGAATTATGTTAATTGACATGTGTTAGGTAAACTATTGCCATGCAAATGTGAATATTTGTGTTCTTTCAAAAAATATGAAGCATGTTTGATATTGTTTCTGAGAGGGCTCATGACCCAAAACAACTTGTAACCTGGCCCGAAACCCGATGGGTTGGGTCAATAGTTGACCTGAAATCAGCTAACCCAATATGAGCCCACCCGTAACCCGAGACCCCAACCCGACCCGATTGCCAGGTCTACTTGATGTACAACAAAGAAGTAAAAAAGAAGACCTAGTTTCCTTGTTGTGCGGAACTTAGTTGACTTAGGAATCGTTTGGATGAAGAATTTTAACGGATCAATTTGACCCAATTATTTTGTATTGAGACAATTGGGACAAATTGTATGTTTGGCAGTATAAATTTGAATGAAGCAATTTGGCTCGGGAAATTTCAAATTGACTTATTATTTTTTTTTTGGTAGAATCAAATTGACTTATTTTGAGATAATTATAATTATCTAGAATTGAGAGTGATAATTAGAATTAACTCGTTTTAAATAACTCATTTTAAAAAAAAATGAGAGAATTAGTCAATTTTTTCCTGTACTATTTTTTAGGTATAATATGCCCCTCTACTATGAAGTTTTATCAAACATGCCCCTCTACTATTTTTTACATCAAATATGCCCCTGTACTTTTAAAAATTATCAAACATGGCCTTCTGTTAAAATTTTGATTGAAAAAATCGTCAATCATGGTTGAATTGAGATTTAGACGACCCGACATCGACAAATGGGAGGGAAAATGTCAGTCTTTCCCCTGTTTTATTTCTCTGGGTCTTTTCAAAGTGACATTATTTGAATGATTTGATTATACAAAATAACCAAAAAAATTCTAAAGTGAATTTATTAGGGATATTTTAGTCATTTGTGTCGGCCAAACTAAAGTTCGGCCTTGGTTAACGGTTTTTTAGATGAAAATTTTAACAAAAGGGCATGTTTGATCATTTTTACAAAGTACAAGGGCATGTTTGATATAAAAAATAGTAGAGGGGCATGTTTGATAAAACGTTATAGTAGAGAGGTATATTATAGCTATAACCTTATATAATGTATTTTTTCCAATCAATATAATACGCAACTAATAATAGTGATTGTTTAATTATTAATAGGCCCCCAAAAAAAAACCAAGCACAAGTCTTCTATGTGTTTACAGAACATGAGCCCGACCCAGTTAATATGAGATTACGTCAAGAGGAAGAGAGGAAAAAAAATGATAAGATGCACAATTACAAAATTGGGTTTCCGAAAGTTGCGCAGGAGCCAGAGAATTTGAAATGGCGCTTTAGTTTTTATCATTCCGCTTTTATTTATATTGTAGATTTTGTCAGCCATGTCATCTAAATGAATGATTTTCCCTTCAATTTTGGATGAAATGATTGGTGATTCCCTTAATTTCTTTGAAGAAATGTTAGGTTCTTTCAAATCTAAAAATATTTAACTTTGTTAACCATGTGAATAATAAAGTATTGAAAAATGTCTATTGATCGGTTCACGAAAATAATTTCAACATATTTTCAATCTTAAGTCTGTTGTATCAACTTTCAAAAGGTCCAGGTACACAAAGCTTTCATGCAGAGTAGGGTTCGAATCTTTGTATTATCGTTTGGCCCAAGCAAAGGCATGAGGTTGTTTATGAAAGTTTTTGTCTCCAAAATCCTAAGGGATTAAGCCATAGTCCCTATACATAATTGGATGTTGAATCATGTGTGTTCCTTCTGCACATTTTACTGATTCTCCTTTGTTGTTTTATACATTCTTCTCCTCTAATCTACAGTCAGAAAAAAAAATCAAATTATCTTATCTTAGCTTTCATCATACAAGTCTCAACCTATCATGGAAGGATTGAAACTGAATGATAAAGGTAATTAAAATTCACCACAAAACCTATCATTGTTGCTTCAATATAAAATCGTCACGAGAAAAATATGAACTTAGAAGACAACTATTGTATATTGTTACATAACACTATTGGGTGCAAGTGCAACCCTTCTTGATGAAAAGGTAAAACACTATTGAACTATTAGTGCTCTCTTTTAATCATCCATTAGTGTTTTTGCTGTAAACCTTTTTACCTACACTTTCTGGATGAATGGAAACCTTTTTAATTAAATTTAAAGTGTTAACCAAGTAAGAGAAGATTAGTGGTTTTGGTTTAAAAATACAGGCTATAGTTTATCATGTTTCATCTCAACTTAATAAACTAATTTCCTACTTCTTTAACATTTAGTTGTTCTTCTCTTGACATTTGTTGGCTAAGAGATGATTAGGCTTTTTGTCTTGTATCTAATTACCAAGCTTTGTGAGGTGATCAGCCCTTCATTAAATTATACTTAGACACCCCATCACCACACAAAATGCTAAACCTACACGATCATGACAGTGAAACTTGGATTTCCATATTATTAAATTGTTTGATTGGTTCGTATTAATGGTACGTGTCTATGATGATTATGTGTTGTTTCTACTAAGCCATGTCATCGTATCACCATGTCGTGATACAATGATATGATCGGATACAAATCAAAATTTTGTAGCTTATTCCTTCCCTAATGTAAATTTTATTTATTAATACTTTATACATTAAAAAGGTAATCCCGCCCTCCGCCACTAGTTAGTGGACACCCAACACATATAGCATTCAAACTTTTTTCTTGATATATGCTCCCACCTTGTACTAATTATATAATTAATTAGGCGCAAAAGTTAGCAGGTGTTGGTAGACCGCTTGTTTAGTTAGTTGTTTCTGTGGGTAATTGGCTCATTCTACGTTGAACCAATTTTATTGGTGTAAAATCAAAACGACAATTCTGATATTCAGATACAGTTAGTACTTGGTAAAAAGCATTTGGGATTTTGATTACGTGGGAAAAAAATGTTGAGGATAAATTGGACATGATGCTTACAGTGAAGACCTAACAAGTTTTGGAAGTAGCCAATAGAAAAATAATATTTTTTTTTTCTTTTATAACATATTCATAGCTAATAGTAATTGTATTTCATTAACTTCGTAAGGTAAATAAGTGATTAACATTAATACATTATACGTGAACCTCTTCCAATAACTCACAACTCAAGTTATTGGAACCAGTCGATTTTTTACTACTATAAGTCATACCAGCTGTGAACCTAGAGTTATACCTCTATCAGTGTCATTTCCCTTTGCCTTCGGGTTATTTTTTTCATGGCTCTTTTTAAGTCCAGTTTGTGGAAGCTTTATTCTAGAGCATGAATCATAAATAAATAAAAATTCAGGCCTATGATTAAGAAAATAGAAAAAGATAAATAAAAAGTCACCACATTTCTATAAGAGCATGTACAACTACATAGTTTTCTTGGTTTTGTAAAATCATTTGTTTGAAAACTTCTTTGGCGGGCAATATCATTAACTAAGACCTATAATATTAAGGATATTAATTCTATTTAATTGCCAAAAGGAAAAAGTAAAGCAGTGAAAATTGGCTTTACATATCCTACAATGGGCATCCACTTTCTAGGGTTGGGACGTGGCATCCTCTTTGTGTGATTGGTTGGATAATTAAACCTTAAAAACTATGCAATCGAGTATCGACCTCCTAAACATTTTATCTCGATCAGCACAACACCTACGAAGAGGACACATGTAATGGTGTGAGTATGTATATTTTATCTTTGCTTTTGCTCTTTCTTCTAGACCAGACCCAACTTTGCCACTTGTTTGTATAATCCTTTTGGAGTATCTCAACAAACAAGATCAAGATTGTGGAGTGCTTGTAAAATGTAATTTATAATTATATAATCTTACCATGTTGTTCAGGTAGAGTTTTCATTTCTCAAAATGGTTTAACAGTAAGAAAATGAAAAGTTTGCGGGTGCTGATTTGATTTTATTAATGAATGTTATCATTTTGAGGTGAATATGATCAACTGGTGAAGTATAGGTAGCATTGTCTTTAGCTATGATATTTAGGCCTATGTAAATAGTTTACAGTTTGTTTGATTTTATAGATTTTGAAGAAAATGGGTCTTTCTGTAGACTTGGTGTTCGACCATTAATTTGACTTCGAATGAGAATAAAGAAACAAGTATATATACCGACACAGTATAAGTGCGTACTTAGTCGAAATGCTCATAACAAGATATGTGATTCATCTACATGCTCATAACAAGAAAGTTTGTCAACAAGCAACCACCATTGAAAGAGTGTAATGGGTCACTCATCAAGTGCTCTTAAGCTGAAGAAAAACGAGGTTAAGCAATTACATAAACTATAGGATGCAAGAAATTGAACCCCTTGACACCTTAGATCCTCCATTAAACATATTTTATGCTCTTATGCATGGTTTCAACAAAGAGGGCTCCCCATCTTATACTGCTAAAAGAATTCTATATGCATTTCGTTTCTACTTCATCTTTTTGGTATATTGTTGGCAAGAATCACAATTATATGGAACACTTTTTTAGTTATCAATCAAATCAATCAATCTTTAGAGAAATGAAAGGAACAAAACAAAAAGAACTAATACCTAAACTTCATAAGAGAATCTTCCCTGTTCACTCTTCAGGCTTTGTTCCCACAGAAGTCAAACATTACATGCATCCTTATCAAGACAGCTATGGCTAGCTAATGAAGCTTGTTCTTCACTCCCCCCTTAGTCAGAATCTTCTCTGTTCCCTCCCATTTTGCTATATATGCATGAAGAAGAAGAAGAAGAACAACAATGGCTGTCGAATTAGATTGCCAAGTGGTCACTGAAACTATCCAGCAATTTGTAACCAAAATGATTACTAAATAAATAACTCGTGTATGTTCTGGGAGGTGGAGGAGGTGGTGGTGATCATAACAAATTTTGTTTTATGGGTTGGTGATCATAATATTAACAATACAACAACTAGCCAACAAGTAGTTTATTTTCCTAGATTATATTATCTAAAGGTGGAAACTTTATCCAAGCATAAAAAATTGGTTATGTTGTACTTATGTTAAAAGAGAATAATAGTGGTACACAAATAGATTAATATACTTCTACGGGATTCAAGGCGTCAACATAAATTATTGAGATGGTGAATTTTAGTTATCATAAGGAATAATGTGTTTTTTTTATTAAAATTAATTATTAAAAACAGATAAAAAATAATAGTACGGTGCTTAACTTACCTAAAGAGATCTTAGTTTCTTAACTCCATTATGTTAGCAATTTTTTTTAAATATATTTATCATTTATTAATAACTCGTTCATAATTGTAAATGTGAGCCGTTAAGTTTACTAATCAAATATTTAAATTATCATATGTGATTCCAATGATATATGAATTATTTTCCTAAAATTCCCTCTTTCCTTCCCCAAGGCTCCTCCAACATATGGTTGTGCTCAGGTTGAAATATTTTCCCCCACCACCATGATAAATAAAGGATGCTTGCATCCTCTTCCTCCTCCTGAATGCTCCTTTCTTTCATATTCTTATTCTTTTAATTCTTCACCTAAACTCCTCTCCCTCTCTACATTGCCACTCCAATTTTTGGCAAATTCCAGGTCTTTTTGTCCTCTCTCTTGTTTTGTTTATTCATTTCTTCCCAATCACATACTCCCATTTACAGAGTTGTGTGTATTTTGCTACAGTCTCCTGTTTGTTTATATGTGTAGTTTCTGATTTCTGATTGATGGCTTTTTATTCCTTTCCGTCCATTACGCTATTCCAAACTCTCCATAGATAGAGTCGTCCCTTCTTTTACTTCTACTATAGCATTGACTTGACTGTTAAACACTTGGACTTTGCTGGTAACCCCACAGGCCACATCCATCCCCTCATTTCGGTTTTCATTTCAGTTCCCGTATTGTTTATGACATGCCTTTTACCTGTTTGTATAAATGTCAAAACGAGTTTTCGCCTTGTGGGAATTGCCTCCATTTGTGTGTTGTCTCTGACTTTGCTTACTGGGGTCTCTTCTGCACTTCGGCTTTTTGAAGGTTCCCCACTTTTCCTTCTCCTCCCTTGGGTACTGTTTTTACTTCTTGAGGAATTGGTGAATGGTGATGGTGAAATGAAGCTCCTTTCTCCTACCTCTTTTGCTTACTTTCAGCTTTCCTTTTCTGGGTTGTGCATGGTTCTGTTCTTATTATTAGTCTTCTCTGGCGCTTGTCTATAGATGGTTTTCTTCTGTTTTGAATGTTTGATCATAGAAAGGAATCTAAGTTGGGTTCTTTGCCCATTTTAAAGGAGTTCTCAAGCTACTGATCAAGTTCTGTATCTTTAATTAACTGATCAACCTATGTTGCTTCAATCAACCCATACTTTCCCCTGGCTTCATAAAGCTTGTATTTTGCAGGAAAAGTGCAGACATGAATGAACTTGATCTTTTAGGCTTTAGCTTTGATCACTTACTTGCCCTGCCTTGATTCAGTAGTGGGTTCTTAAGTTTCCTCCATCGTTGCATTTTTCTGCTCTACTTTGAACATGAGTTTTGCTCCATGCCTAAATTATACCTTTAGGCCTCTCAAAGCTTGTTCCTTTCTCCTTTTTGCTTATCATGATGTGCTGTGTTGTTGCTTATCCATATTCTGACAAACAGAGGAACTTGTAGATCGCTTGCAAAAGGCTAAAAGCCTCTTTCCGTATCCATGTCCAGAGGAAAGCAGATACTGACTGAAGATGAAGCAGCTGGAGATTCCATAACTAGAAATGACCTCTCTCCCAGCAAGAGAGGGAAACTTGTTGTAGTTGGAACTTCTTCTTCAAGTAGTGGTCAGAGCATACCTCTAAAACCTCCCTCCCCAGAAAGGAACATCACTTGTGAAACCCTTTCCATGATTTCTCTCAACGAAACCACCACCACAGGAGTTGTTGTTGGCAGTTCATCATCATCACCTTCCAGTGTTGTTGAACCTCAGGATGCAGATTATTACTATTACCCTTCCAATGACCTCCCTTCGCTTAGCGATGAGCTGGAGAACTTGATCTTGGCAAGGGTGCCAAGATCAGAGTACTGGAAGCTGCTGTTTGTTAATAAGAGGATCTTCTGGCTGGTGAAGAGTGGCGAGCTGTTCAGGATCAGGAGGGACATTGGTGTTAGAGAACCATCTGTTTTCATTTTTGCCACTGGGGATAATAGCTGGTGGGGATTCGATCGACAGTTCAGTACAAGAAGACAGCTCCCTCACTTGCCAGCTGATCAGTGCTTCTCTTCTGGTGATAAGGAATCTGTCTGTGCTGGAACCCATCTCATCATTTCAGGTATGGAATCGAATGGGGTGTTCAAGTGGGTCAGGGGATCATGGTAATCATTTTAATCGGCGAAATTTAGTGAATTTAGTTCGGTAATTTGGGGGTCGTTTGCTTGTTGGATTTGAAAAATGAGGGTTTTGGTCAATAAAAATCTTGGGATTTATGTTTGATTTATTGGATTATGGATTTGAAGAGTCTAATGTTTGCATGATAGATTTGATGAAGGATTTGTGATGGATTTGTTAAATAAATAACTAACCATCAAGGATTTGCAAATCCCAAATCAATATGTGGGATTTACAAGTCCGTGGGGTCCACGGATTTGGTTTCAAAATAAAGACCAAATTCGTGGACCCCACGGATTTAGCACCCTTCAACAAACAATAGACTTATGTTAAATCCATCAAGTTTGGGATTTGCGTACCAAATCCATGACCCAAATCCAACAAGCAAACAACCCCTTGGTTTTTTTTTTCTGGTCCTCTTTCAGGTAAGGGGTGTTCAAACTATTGTTGGTAGTTTGGTTGATCTGGTTCTCTTAGTTGATGTTGTTTGGTCAAATTTTTTGCTAATTTAGTTTAAGTGGATTAGGTTATAATGGATGTACCACCAATCCACCAAGGTAACTTTTGGTTAGAAGTTGATTTGGTCGGTTTAGTTTAGTAATTACTTTAATTTCCGTGCTTAATTGGTTCAGTTGTTGACAAAACTAACCATCAATTTTTCAGGAAGGGAGATAGAGGGAGTGGTGGCATGGAGATACCAGCTGGAGACAAACACCTGGAACAAAGGCCCCAACATGATCCAACCGCGGTGCTTATTCGCCTCATCCTCTTGTGGCGCCACATCATCAGCCTACGTGGCCGGTGGGGTCACCGAGACCGGCTCCGAAGTCCTCAACACCGCCGAGCGCTACGAATCCCGCACCAACACGTGGCACCGTCTGCCACGCATGCACAAGCGCCGAAGGCTCTGTTCCGGCTGCTACATGGACGCCAAGTTCTACGTCCTCGGTGGCAGGAACGAGTCCAACCAGCTCCTCACGTGCGGGGAGGCCTACGACCACGTGACAGCCACGTGGGAGCTGATCCCCAACATGTTGGAGGTCGATGCGCCAACCGAGGTGGCGAGTTTCCAGTCGCCGCCGTTAATCGCGGTGGCGAACAACGAGCTATACTCGTTGGAGACCACGTCAAACGAGCTCAGAGTGTATGTGAAGAGGAGCAGGAGTTGGAGGAGGATGGGGAGCGTTCCGGTGCGGGCGGATTCACACAAGGGTTGGGGTGTGGCGTTTAAGAGCTTGGGGAATGAGCTTGTGGTGATAGGTGCTTGTGACTCGGGAGATGGGATGGCGATTTACAGCTGTTGCCCTCCTGGTGGTGGTGATGATCAAGGTGGTCGTGAGCTTGAATGGAGGCCGCTTGGATGTGGCAGGAATAGATTGAGTAACTTCATATTTAACTGTTCTGTGATGGTGGCTTGATTTCCTGGTTTTCCTTAGGGGTAGTTGATTGGAGAGAATGATGTTTTAGGGTTTTGTTTGCTGGTTTAGGGTTCCTATTGGGGATGATATGCTTGCCTAACTTCATTGGCAAGTGTGTTGGTATGTATGCTTATATGTTGTAATCTCTCTGTATTTGATTCGAGGTTATAATATGTGTATCCGTATATTAAATAAAGATTTGAAAGTATGAAAGGATAGATTATTAATTCCTCTCCTTCGACACTCCTATTCAACTCTAGAAGTTGTTGGTATATTGGGTTTCCTTTGAAGCTCCAAAACTGCTGATATATAGGATGCATCTGGTTTTTAGGCCCCGTTCATCTTTGAAGGAATAACATTTTCTGTGGCATGCAGTGGTGTACGTGGGTGGGAGCTTTCTTTATGCATGTGTGTACTTGTACTGATGCTGGAGTCTTGATTCTTTAGTCTGGGTGGAGGACAATAATAGAGAGCAACTGTGTAACCCAAAAGAGACTTGATCAAATTTTGGGCACCTGGCATACAAAAGAGACCTCAAGGACAGGGAGGTTGTCCTTTGACTTTTGAGGATGGTGCTTCAAATGGTAACATGATTGTTCTATCTTTGGGTTGGGACATAAACAGGGGAGTAGAAAGAACAAGGATGCCCTATGGATAATGGATAGAATAGAAGAGAATTTAGAGGGTGTTTATGTATTTATTTTCCTTCTCTGTTTTGGTTAGTTGAATAAATTATCCCTCTCGACAAAAAATTGCAGCAGTAACCTTTTTGTTACTTGATTTTCAATGAGAAGACCTCTACTTCCATAAAAGTACTCCAGTAAGTAAGAATTGAACTTCTAATTTATCGATACAAAGACAATTGTTTTTATTAGCGAGATTTATACGGCCACCTAACAATTATCATGAATTGCAATTTCTACCTAACTTGCTATCCCATGCAAGAGTGCTCCTTTCATGTCTCATCTTATCAGAACCTACTACACGAATTTCCTTGCTCCAAAATCCAAAGAGGACAATTTTCTTCTATTCAACTACTCTTATAGTTGTGTTTTTGGCTATGATCTAACAACTACTATTAAGTTCTTTATCTCCTTGATAATTGGATATCGCCTGTCACACTAAATTTTCTGTCTTTTTATTACAATAATCCTCTAATCATATATCAAGATGTCCCAAAATGTTCTCACTATACGTGAAATGATTTATCTAGCCAAATTGAACTCACTTCTATATGATCATACGTATTGAATACGGTAATATTCCTTTCATTCGGGCTTCGGCCCCATTCTCCGTGGGAAGGGATGTGCCAGGACCCCTGAGCCCAGTTCAAGCGAAGCTCTTAACAGCTGAAGGCCCGGTAACTCGGTACGTTACCAGCCCATATAGTAAGCCCAGGCCCGTGTGAATCACATTTCATCCTACTCTCTCTCTCTCTTTCTCTCTCTCTTCAGTCGAGAAATCACCCAACGGAATGCTCTCTGATAGAGAAACGAAAAGACGAAACCGAGAAGAAAACAAATCCAGAGAGAGAGAAGGAGACGGAAAAGGAGGAGAAAAGGAAGGTTTCTCTCTCTTCTTCTCCCTTCCGCTTCAGCAGCAAGCATCAAGAGCAGCAGCAGCAGAGCTCAACTGAATCCACTGCACCTTTCGCTTTTTTTCTGCTCTGCGCAGAGTAAGATCTTCGAATTCTCCATTCCAGACTTTCTCTTTTGCCCTCCCTCAGCTTTCATTTTCAATAAGTCTGTGCGAATTGCAAAATTTCTGATACTTTCAGTCTCGTTCTGCTCCTCTTCCCAGTTGAACGAATTGGAAGCTGCCTATTTTCAATTGAGATTGGTTTTCCGCGGGAACGAATTTAGGGATTCGGTTTATGTTGGCTTTCATTTCTGGCAGCAGGGAGGGTTTTCTTGGTGATTTATGTTGATTTCCTCACTTCAGCGGGGAGGAATCCTGTGAGTTATATGGTCCCAATACTCGGTTTCCAGTTGTTTATGTAGAGCGTTGTTGCCTGTTGGCCATTCAGAGGGCTGAACTGCTGTGGAGCTAGGTTTGAGAGTTATCTTATTAGAGGTTAGGTGAGTAGTTGAAAACCAAATGTCTGGTGGTGGCAATAACAACAACCCGCCAAAGAGCCTGGGGCAGTCTTCATCTCCATTTGGGAATGTTGGGATACTCAACTCATCTCCGGTGCCTACGAATCAAGGGTTCCCACAGTCACAAGGGCAGCAGCAGGGACAGATTAGTGTAGGGTTCCAGAACCAGTTCCAGCAGCTGTCTCAAGCTCAAGCTAGCGTCCAAGCACAGCTGAAAGCACAAGCAGCCCATGCTGCTCAGGTTCAAGCACACGCCCAGTTCCAAGCGCATTTACAAGCGCAGGGGATCTCCCTCAATCAGGGCCAGAATGCCGGGATGGGAGGAGGCTTCGGGACTTCCTCCTCGACTTCATTTGGCACCCCTGGGTTGGCCAGCAGTGCAAAGCGGGTTGGTCAGAAACCACTGGGAAGACCTCCTGGTATTCCCATGAACAACATGGTCTCTCCTCCCAAAATGATGGATTTAACTCCAGCTAATCGTAAGAAGAAGCAGAAGGTGCCAGAGAAGCAGTTGCATGAGAGAGTGGCGGGGATTCTTCCAGAGTCTGCACTTTATACGCAGCTTCTCGAATTTGAGTCCCGTGTTGATGCTGCTCTAGCTAGGAAGAAAGTTGATATTCAGGAGGCACTTAAGAGTCCTCCATCTGTTCAGAAAACACTGAGGATCTATGTCTTCAACACGTTTGCCAACCAGATCAAAACAATTCCCAATAAACCGAATTCCGAACCTCCTTCCTGGACTCTAAAAATTGTTGGGAGGATTTTGGAAGATGGAGTGGATCCTGACCAGCCTGGTGTACTTGCTCAGAAACCGAATCCCTTGTTACCAAAGTTCTCGTCTTTCTTCAAGAGAGTGACCATATCATTAGATCAAAGATTATATCCAGATAATCACATGATCATATGGGAGCAGGCTCGCTCGCCTGCTCCACATGAAGGTTTTGAAGTGAAGAGGAAAGGAGAGAACGAGTTCACTGTTCATATTCGCTTGGATATGAATTATGCGCCTGAGAAATTTAAGCTATCTCCAGCTTTGACAGAAGTTCTTGGTATCGAGGTAGAAAGCCGCCCTAGAATAATTGCTGCAATCTGGCATTATGTAAAAGCTAGGAAACTGCACAGCCCAGATGACCCTGCTTTCTTTAACTGTGATCCACCTCTTCAAAAAGTATTTGGGGAGGCAAAAGTGAAGTTCACTATGGTTTCGCAGAAGATATCTCAGCATTTATTTCCTCCACAACCGATCCATTTAGAACATCAGATTAAGCTCTCGGGGAATAGTCCTGTGGGGACAGCCTGCTATGACGTGTTGGTAGATGTGCCATTCCCAATTCAAAGGGAATTGACAGCATTGTTAGCGAATGCGGAGAAGAACAAGGAGATTGATGCATGTGATGAATCAATATGTGGTGCCATCAGGAAAATTCATGAGCATCGTAGAAGACGAGCATTCTTTCTTGGGTTTAGTCAATCACCTGTTGAGTTTATTAATGCTTTAATTGAATCACAAAGCAAGGACTTGAAGCTTGTAGCTGGAGAAGCCAGTCGAAGTGTTGAGAAGGAACGCCGAGCAGAGTTTTTCAATCAACCATGGTAAGAGTCCACTTAAATTTTCTACTTGAATCTTGGTAATATGAATCAATATCTAGATATGGTAGATGAACTGATTTAACCCTGCGTAGTCATCTCCTTAGGTTTATTGCATTGCCCTTGCTGCATCTATTCACGAATTGGTTGGTTCAATTGTGCTGTGTACTCTCTCTTTACTGCCTTCCGCTTGGAAAGAGAAAAAAGAAGAAAGACTTGAAATTGAAATGTTATGTTCCTAGGAATATAGCTGAATTTTGGATGCAGTAGGAATATAGGAGAATAGGATGATGTAATCATGACCTGTACGTCCATGCAACCTTTCTATTCAAAACTGGTTTTTTTTTTGGCGAATTGTGCAGGGTTGAAGACGCTGTAATCCGATACTTGAACCGCAAGCCTGCTGCAGGAAGTGAAGCTCCTGGAAGTGCATAATTTTATAAAATGGTTTTCCATCTTGCTTGCTCATTTAAGTGGTGGATGATTTAACCTAGGATGTTTTAAGTTATGATCCAAATTTGTTGAGAGGAAGAGGAATCGCTCCATGCTTGTATAACCAGAATTCTGCTCTGCACTGTAGCTCTTTCTTGAAATAGGAATTATGCTTGTGGGTCTATTCTATACATGTATTGGATCCCAGAATCAGAATGTAGTTCGTTGGCAGTTGTGTTAATGGCAGAAAGGTGGCGAGGTTCGTAGCCCTTTTCTTCCCTTCTCGTCTTTTGTTTTGCCTGGGACTGCGTGAGATATAGTAGCAAACAGAAGTTGACCGAAATCATTTACATGTTAATTTATCAGATACATTAAGGAGTTGTTGGTTGCAGTGATTTTGATACTGGCCTGTTAAAGGTTGATATGATTATATTGTTATTTTAGAGGTTGATATGATTATATTGTTATTTTAGAGTTTTACCATGTACTTGTGATGAGTCTGTGCCTGTTAAAGGTTGGGACTTTGCTACGGTGACATGCACTTTCCGGTCGACCTCATATAGAATCAGGTCGACCTAATCAGTTGTTTCAGTGTACAAACAGTTTCATGGTGCCTACTTTGGAGATTCATATCTTACAATTGGCTAGATGGAAATTGGAGATTAAAGGCTTGTTTTGAAGCTGAAGTGTCCCTCTACACATTAAAGTACTTGGGAGCTCAATAGAAAGTCTAGAAGACCATTTTTGAACCTGACCAAAAGGCTATGCCAAAACTGGGAAACTGCCTGAAAATGGCTAAGTCTGGCAACGTGTTTGTCAAGCCTACTTTGGAGCTCAATTTGACAAGCATGGATGCGAGTCAAGTCCAGGGGCCTTTACCACGTTAAATTACGTATTTTTTTATACAAAGGCAAGACATTGAATGAAAGATTGAATATCTTTAAGGCTTCAAACAAAAGGCTCGAAGTTGCTACGAAGGCTGTTTTTCTGGCAGCTTGCTTGTGCTCGAAGTCTGCCAGAAAAACAGCCTTCGTAACAACTTCGACCCTTTTGTTTGAAGCCTTAAAGATATCCAATCTTTCATCCAATTCCTTGAATTTGTATAAAAACATACCTAATTTAACGTGGTAGAGGCTCCTGGACTCGACTCGCATTCATGCTTCTCGAATTGAGCTCAAAAATAGGCTTCACAAACACGTTTCCAGACTTAGCCATTTCTAGGCAGTTTCCCAGTTTTGGCATAGCCTTTTGATGAGGTTCAAAAATGGTCTTCTGGACTTCCTATCGAGCTCTCAATCACTTCAATATGTAGAGGGACACTCCAGCTTCAAAACAAGTCCTTAGTCTTCAATTTCCATCTAGCCAATTGTATGATATGAATATCCAAAGTAGGCACCATGAACTGTTTTTACACTGAAACAACATATTAGGTCGACCGGATCCTATATGAGGTCGACCGAATCCTAAATGAGGTCGACCGGATCCTATATGAGGTCGACCGAATTCTATGTGAGGTCGACCTAATCCTAACTGAGGTCGACCGGAAAGTGCAAGTCACCGTGACATGCATGTCACCGTAGGCACACCCTAAAGGTTGATATGATTATATTGTTATTTTAGAGTTTTTTAGTATCTGGTTCTCTCCGTCTGCGCAAATCTTTAGTTTCATTGATTCTATCTCCAGTGACCAGTGTGGTTAAACAAAGATTAACAAATTGGATAATTTTGGTTTAGATCTATCCTAAAGAATGTGGAATTGTGGATCATCCTTTGTTTGACAAAGCAGAATGAGGTCAAATTTCACTAAATTTCATCCTATACACAAACCCCTGGCGCGTAAGAGTCGTAATAGAGAAAGCCCAAATTATAAAAATACACCAGGCCTGGCTCGGCTTAGAGAAAGCACAAACGTAAAGCGATATAGACATTGGATATGCAATTTGGTGTCCAGTCCAGCCCATGGAGAACTTCCTCTTTCCAGCCATCCGGACCTATAAATAGCAGGCAAGAATTGGCGGGAGAGGGCAGAAACCAGTGTCAGTCACTAATTCTTACTCCACTTCGAAAATTCGAAAATGGAGAACTCGGGAGAAAAAGCTCAGCCGTGCTGGCGCAAGCAAGTGGACGACAACCTCAAGCGCCTTCACTCCCTCCAATTCGGCGCCGATCAGGCACTGGAGAAGGGCGATTCCTCCACCGCCTACGTGCTCGGTCTCCGCCTCCTCGGCTTCCTCGACTCGCACTCTCTCACCGACGTCGACGAAGCTCTTACTCGCCCCATCCGCCGCGAAGCCCTCTCCAAGCTCGACGCCGCTCGCCGAGCTTTCGTTCCTGAATCCGACCGGTAAAACGATTCGAAATTTCCGTTTTCTGTTTCTCCGATAGTTCGTCGTATTCTATTTCGCTGTAAGCACGTTCTAGGGATTTCGAATCAGTTCGTGATTTCAGTTATCGGTATTTGGAATTTGGTCTAGGCGAGCGTTTGAGCGAGCAGATACAGCTCCTGGAAAAGTATTTGGCAAGAAGATTGACATTGACGTAGAGAAGATTAAGAAGTCGAAATACTTCCGAGCTCTTGTTCAACAACAGAACATCAAGCATCCATCAGATCTGGTAAGAGTGCAAATCGAACCGAGATTTCTCTGTATTCTTGAATTTCTAAGTGGTATATCTTAGTTGACTAATGGCAATGAATTGAATGCGCTTTTCTGGTCATAAGTTTGCCATCCAAATCAGTATGTTGAATTTCTAGCTCAGTCTATCTGCATAGAAGCGTGATGTCTTGTATCCTGTTTTAAGATTGAGTATTGTTGTGACCATGTGATATGATATCGATCGTATCTCTTCTTCTTGCCAGGGAAACCAGCTGGATAAGCAGCAAAACCCCAGCTGCAAGCCTGCAAAAGTTTCAGGGCAGGCTAAGTTAACATCACTGTATGGGAATAATGTCACAAAGGCCTATGGCCGCTTACAACGAGGTTCTTCTGTTCCCAAAAGTAACTCGAATGTGGATTGCATGATAGTGAAAACTACCCAGTATACTAATCCTAGAAGTAATGGTGGTCAGTCAAACTATGGGAAAGCTGACGAGAGAGAAAAGGGTTATGGAAATTCAACGGGGTCTAAGCGTTCGTTCATGGAGATTAATAGCCCTAGAAATGACATTCCAAAGTCGCCATCATGTGATGAGGATTCAAATGTGGATGGTTCTAGCAAGGGATTTGTAACTGCAAGGGCAAAGCTGGTATGTGTTTTCTTCTGAAACTCTTACGATTCTCATATTTTCACTAGTTGTGTAATCGAGAGAAGGAGATAGTTATGTTAAGACTCGATTAGTGTTCCAGCATAGATGTGAAGTGTCATTTTAACTTTTGTCCGTGATGATATTGAAACATTGTGTTGGCTGAGAACTCACGCCTTCAATCTTTCCGTTCTATGTTCACCTAATTTCTTCAAATTATAGTCACACTGTCTCCAATTGATAATAGGAAATGGATGCAAGGCAAAAGCAAGGGTTGACAGGATCACCAAGTGCATCCTTCTCCCCACAGAGCAACGTCATGAACCGAGGTTATGGTGCACGATCTTATGGGCATTCAAACCGTGGAATCCGTGGAAATTTTGTTCCTCCAATTAAATCAAATGGGGGATATAATCCTGGAAATGTGATTGGACTTCAAGGAAAGAACGATGACTCAACAAGGAGATGGTAAGCTATATGCAACTGTTTGTCTCTTTATTTTAAAGTACTTGGAAGGAAGTTCAACCATCTGTGGTGTCTTGCATTATCCACTAATCATGGACTGAACCATTGCTGAAAATATCATTTCTCTTTCTGGTCTTTCTTCCGCACTGCAAATTTTTCAGTACAATTGTCAGATAGACAAACATATAGGGATGCTTTCTCTGTCCTAACGTGTTATCTGTCCATGTTAGTATGGAATTGCTATGTGGTCCAGATGGCGAGCTTCCTGAAAAGTTGAGGAACTTGGAACCAAGTCTTATTGAGCATGTCAGCAATGAAATTATGGAGAGGGATCCTAATGTTCGGTGGGATGATATTGGTAACACAAAAGACTCGAATCCTCTTGTTATACTACAACTACTGTTGCAATTTGTAAAATTTTCATCTGGCTTCCTTGAAAACACTGCAGCTGGATTGGATCATGCTAAAAAGTGTGTTACTGAAATGGTGATTTGGCCACTGCTGCGACCTGACATATTTAAAGGCTGTCGCTCTCCAGGAAGAGGTCTTCTTCTATTCGGTCCACCGGTACGTACTACCTGTAGTTAGAACATAATGGAGACTTACTGCTTCTTATTTTACTTGAGACGCTCTCATCTCAAAAGGGGACTGGGAAGACAATGATTGGGAAAGCCATAGCTGGGGAGGCAAAAGCAACTTTTTTCTCCATATCCGCCAGTTCTTTAACCAGCAAATGGGTATGCATTGATCAACCTCTGACGTTATAAACGGACGGTGGATCTTTGACAAGCTTTATTAATTGAATCTCTGAACAATTTGTACAGCTTGGCGAGGGTGAAAAGCTGGTGAGGGCCCTATTTGGTGTTGCCTCTTGTCGTCAGCCAGCTGTAATTTTTGTCGATGAGATAGATTCACTTTTGTCCCAGGTATCGTTCCTTCCAGCCCCCATGTTTAGTTTAGTTTTTTGCACTTAGAAAAAGCACTTAATGGGATAAGGAAAACAAGAGGCGAGTGACACATCGTGCTACCTATGTTTAATGAATTGTCTTTGTGCATGCGATCAAGTCATTACTTGTGAGATTCCACTAATAATAGTATAAAGCTATGTTATTCCATTTTTGCAACAGAAAGAGGTCATTCGTTGCCAATATACTTTCTCACTTAGAGGGAAAACCTTGAATATGGTTGCAGCGCAAGTCTGAAGGTGAACACGAAGCTAGTAGACGTCTGAAAACGCAGTTTCTTATCGAGATGGAAGGATTTGACAGTGGTAACGAGCAGATTCTGCTGATAGGTAAATGCTTAACAGCCCTATATATCATGCATATTGCAGTTTAAGATAAAGTTGCTGTCATCTTTTCCACCAAAAAACCTAGACTGAAAAGGAGCAACATAGACGGCTCTCTATGCTGTCAGCTTTCCACTTCCCCGCACTTTCCTGCGTCTGTGTTCACTTATTTCCTCACTATCTATGGTGTCCCATGTGATATATATCAGCTTACATGTAGGACAAAAGTCAGTAGGCCAGTATCGTTTTGTTGGGTGGACTTCCTTTTCTGTTTCGATGAAAGACACTCAACTAATGGTTCAGTTTCTCTGTTGCACGTCTTTCCTTTCGCTTGTCTTGTGCATGTCTCTGCCAAAACATGCTCAAGTATCGGCCATTTCAGCCGGTCATTTAGTTCCCAGCTACCGACAAACAAATTCTGGAATTGCTATTGTTGTCAGTTGAGTTGGAATGAAAAACCAATTACCCCATGCTGCATCTTTTGATCCGTGTAAAATTTCGCAAGAATATTGCCATGTTTCTAAAATGACCTATGTCAGATATGTAATCTTACATCACCGGGACTTAGTTCTTTGGCAGCGCCACTCACTTTTAAATCGAAAAATTTGTTCACCATCATCTTAGGAGTCTTAATTCTTCCATTTTTAGCCATGACACTGTCAGTTAAAGATTATTCTCTTATTAACAGGGGCAACAAATCGGCCTCATGAACTGGATGAAGCAGCAAGGAGGCGACTCACGAAAAGACTCTACATCCCCTTACCGTCATCAGGTTCCAAACTTTCAGCCAGACGTCTCTCACAACCTGTTCCCTCTGAATCACTAAAAAAATCATGACCTTCTTCTGGTTTCTTGAAGCAGAAGCAAGAGCCTGGATAGTACGTAACCTATTACAGAAAGATGGATTGTTCAAGCTGTCACAGGAAGAAATGGACACCATCTGCAATCTCACTGAAGGTACTCACTCAATTCATCCATACATCTCAGCCAAACTCGATATCCGAATCCTCAACTCCTTCGCTTTTGCTTGCTTGGTTACTAGGATACTCGGGTTCAGACATGAAAAATTTAGTGAAAGATGCATCAATGGGGCCCCTTAGGGAAGCTCTTAAACAAGGAATAGAAATTACTAAGCTGCAAAAGGAGGACTTGCGGCCCGTTACTCTTCAGGTATAATCTACCATATCTTTAATTGACTACCACAAATCAGTGCAGTTACTTTTCACATTGCTGGTATTTTAACACGGTAAGTTTTCCTATGTAGGACTTTGAAAATGCATTACAAGAAGTAAGGCCCTCTGTTTCACTGAATGAGTTGGGCGTCTACGAGACATGGAATAAACAATTTGGAAGCTTAGCCCTGTAATTCAGGTACGCTTCCTTCATCCAAGTGCCCTCCCCATCGGAGTGTGATTAACTCAAGCAGTCTTACCAGCCGATTGGACTGTAAAAACCACCTATAATCATTTAGACTGCATAACACACAAATATTATGAAATTTTTACTCTTAGTTAAGTTAGTAGTAGTCTTATTATTAGTTTCTTTTTCATCCCACATTTTCCAAATTGTATTTGGATGATTTAGAATTTAGAATGATAAAAGACTTATTCAGGAAAAAGTTATGGCACTTGAAGTTGAATGATTGAGATAAAGCTGGTGGGCTTTGTCCTTTCATACTAGAATACGAAAAAGTTGAGTTTGATCGAAAGTGCCTTTTCATTTTAAAGAGGTTACTAAATTCTTTTAAATTGCTAACAGAGTATTATATAAACATGAATGTTGAGTATTGCGTATATATTTTAGTCTTCTACATATATTATTATTATGGTCGATTCCTCTTATAAGATTGTCTTTGATGCTGATATATCAGGTAGTGTTGGAAATATTATCTTTCTTTTCAATTAGTCTGCTTTTTAGATTTTATCTCCCTTCAAATTTTCATGATCCTAACGAGATTAAAATTGTAAAGAGAAGATCTAATTTTCACGCTATTAATATATTTGAATAAATTTTTTAATCAATACACTAAAACCAAATAAACGACGGTACAAAAATGTATTTGGTATTGATGACTAAACTGTCATGGACTAGCATATATGAATAAAATTGTGACCTTCATAATTATGAAGATCGTTTGTGCCCAGATCAAGGACTGATCTTAGTTTGGACAAGACCGGATCAATAACTTTGAAGAGATGTGATCTGATGGACCATGTCCACGCCCACGTTTATTTTTTAATCTAACCACGAGTCTTGTTTTCGAGTTCTGGAGTTGGGACAGTATGTAGGGCACTGAATAAACAAATAAACAAAGACTGACTTGACTGAGACTGTTTCTCCCCAGAAGTTTCCTCGTGTTTGTTTGGCCATTAAAGCACCAATTTGCTCCTCCAATCCCATGTGAGGCAATAATAATAAGTCACCTAGGCTATGTCCCAAAGCATGCATCTTCTCCTTTCATTTCTCGACCCAATAAATTTTAGATCACCGTCTAGGCTTTTCATCATTGATAACATTGTTTATGGTTGGTATACATGATTTGATTTAGTTCAAAATCTTACATATAGAAATGGATATCAATCGGGTCGTAAATAAAAAAATATTTGGTGAAATTATTCAAAATTAGATCGACAAGACATTTGACTCATTTCAATTTTATCTAACTTTCATTCAATTAGATTTAAATGTAAACTCATAAAACACAACAAAAGTTAGGAACAATGTAATCAAAATTGAATTCATTTATCCTCTGATTTTTTCGATTCGATTTAACCACGAATTATATTCGACTTGATTTTTAATATGAAGTGAGCTTAGTAGGGGGTCAGTTTGGTTTGGTTGACCAAACGAAAACCTTTAAGAAACCGAAAAATCAAACTAGGTTGTTTCCCCAAAATCAAAATTGAACCCTATGGTCTCTTAACAAGTTCGGTTTCAGTTAGAACAAATCGAAAACCGAAATCCATGCACCCTCAATCAAAACTGATACCCTCTGCACCTATCACCTAATATTTTCTGTTTTGGTTTCTTATATGGTTTTCGATTTAATTCGAAATCAATAAAGTACAAAATTGAATTGGGATAGAAACCCCACCTTATCAATTTAATTTTGGGTTTAAACCGAAAAAACAAAATCAATATCCCAACCCTATGAGTGTAGTGACATGGTCATTCCTCCACTAATATGCAATCATCATATTCATTGATTTTCTAAAACCACACTTATGGTTTGGTCTTTGGAGAGGTAATGAATGATGGATGAATAATTCCATGTTACTTTACAATTATCCACTCATAAAATATCGTTACCATTGACTTTCAAAAAAATTCATGATCTCCCCCCTCCACTACCCTCACCTTGTCTCAGTTTTACTTTGACACCTCCTTTTGACCACAACATTTAAGCCGCCGGCCATGTGAGCCGTCAAAAGCGGCACGTACACCGGCCTCTTTTGACTCACCGGCCGGATCTCAAACCGCCGCAGAATCGATGCCACCACATACGTCATCTGCACGAACGCCATCTCTTTCCCCAAACACACCCTTGGCCCCGCCTGAAATATTGGGTACTTGTACGGACACACCCTTTTGAGTTCACAACTCTTCTCTTCATTATCAACAAACCACCTCTCCGGCCTAAACTCGAACCAGTCCTTCCCCCATATCCCTTCCATCCTCCCCATACCGTACGGAAAGTACGTCACCCGATCCCCGGCCCTCACCGGAGTATTATCCGGCAGCAAATCGTCCACGACGGCGTGTTTAGAGTCCCAGACCACCGGCGGGTACAGCCTCATTGACTCGCACAAACAAGCCTTCAACAGCTTCATATCTTCCAACCCCTCCATCCTTGTCACCGCCCTCGTAGCCTCTTCCACCACCGCCGACTCCATTCCCCGGTGACTTGACAGCAGCCAGAACAACCACGTCATCGCCGCCGACGTCGTGTCCCTGCCCGCCATGATCAAGCTGATCACGATATCTCTAATCTCCACCTCCTCGTACCCGGCCGCAATCAACCTCGACAGAAGATCTTTATCGTCACCGTTATTGTTCCCCATGACCTCTTTCTTACTAGCAATCATTTCACTCACCGCCTTGTGAACTTCCCCGACGGCTTCTTTCAGCTCCTTCTCCGACCCAACGCCGAGCAACCTCTTCACCTTCCACACCACACCCAGCGGAGCCGCCCCTCTCCTGGCGCAGATCGTCGACGCAGCATCAAAAGCCTTGCTCAGCGGCTGCTCCGGTTCCTTAGGATCCAAGCAACACCGCTCCACTCCTAGGGAAACCCTACACACCATGTTAAAAGTCAACCTCCTCAGCAACTCCTGCAAGTCAACAGCTTTCTCGTTCTCTGCTAATCTCTCCATCATGGGTATTAACTCTTTCTCCACCTCTTCCTCTAGAGTAGTGATGAAGAACTCCTTTAGCGACCTCGCCGTGAACTCGTGGCTCACTAGTTTTCTCTGTGCTCGCCACGCGTCTCCGTCGACGTTGAAAATGCCGTACCCCAAGAAGTCGCCGAGGATGTCGGTGAAGGGTTTCCCCTTGGGGTAGTTTGGGAAGTTGGTTTTGAGGATGTACTCGACGTTGGAAGGGTTGGCGGTGACGATGGTGCGGCGGGCGCCGAGGCGGGTGATGATGATGGTGTTGGTCGGGGATTGGGAGAGGAGGGTTGTGTACCAGTCGAGGAGGCGGCGGCGGTTCTTGTAGAAGGAGATGAGGCAGCCGATGAGAGGGTATGTTGGTGGCCCGCTGATGACGTGGCGGCGGCGGTGATGGAAGGAGATTATGGTGGTGATGAGGGAGAATAGGAGGGAGAGGTAGAGGAGAAGGGGAGACATTGGGGAGTTCATTGTTGTGTTGTGTTGTGTTGGGGGAAGAATGAAAATGATGGGTTGAGGAAGGAGGCATGTGGGTTTCTTACGGTTATAACGACGGCTATTATCTTGGTTTTGGATTAATCGCAATTCGCAAATGAGACCGTGAGGCTTGGGAATCCATAACGATATGATTTTGTTTTGAGTTTGAGTTTTTTTCGAAAGATTTATAAAATGGAATGGTAGGAATTAGGATTTGTATTGTGTTAGTTCAAATTGTTTTGAATCAATATGGATCATAGAAGAACTAAGTTTTCAATGGAAAAGAAAGATAATCTTGGACCAAATTCTAAAGGTTGGATAGAGTTGTTTTGAATGCATTAAAAGTGAGTCTTTTTTTTTATCGTATCTTATCTTGATTTATAATATCTAACTTTTAATCTATTTATAATATTAGGAAAGAAATTTAGAAAGTAATTACTGGAGACTAATCAGTAGGTGGTGTTTAGTATTATGAAATGTTAAACCATAACTTTAGTAACTTTAGTATAAAGTGTCATAACGTTAATTTTTCCAGTACAATTTTCGACACGATCTTTTAATCCTCGCTATTTTGAACTTGATTTTGTTTAAGAAGATAATCATTCATAATAAAAAATACTCAAGAATAGTAAATAGCAAAAAACTTGTTAATTATTAGCCGGTAAAGTAACAAACACACTTAAACTTATCGAAAATGACCATAACCAATCTGACAAATCCAATGGATGGGGAGGGTGACAATTATTTTTGTAGTGATCGATCAACAACTCGAGCAAAATGCCAAGCATGGAGCAGAGTAGACCGACAGTATATAGTATATATCAGAAATAGCCCCCTCATATAGACACGTTTCTGATAGAAGCCTATAAAGAATGTGAACTATGCTCAAAAGGTTGAATAGAGTATATATTATGGAAAAGCAAGAAAAAATCTCTTGCCACCACTACCTCGTTTGTCTCTCCACCAGCACAACTGGAATGTCTTATTGGTTCATATAATTAATGAACTCTGTCTTAATGTAATGGCATGCCATTCCTAATTTAGTCTTATTGAAATCACATGGTTATTCGTATAGTATTAGAAAATCTTATTGTGAAATTTCTGTGTTTTATTAATTATGAACCTCGCTATGAAATATTTATGAAAACTTCAAACTATATATTAACTTTTGTTTGATCGATATCTAAAAATTTTTTATTGCAACCTCGTAATTCTTCTAGTTTCCCCCTCACATACGATAGCATTCGTTGGTATTTGATATTGTGAGTCAGTTTGAGATGAATATAATATTGAATGGTTTAGAATGAAGAGTAAGATGTATTAGTATAATTATTGGTGCGGCAGTTTAGTCTTCTAAAGTAGGCTTCTATGCATATATGCATAGTATTAGTGTTGTTCTATTGCCCCACCTCAGAGGGTTGGGCACTAAAGTGGAGAAAAGGTTAGGGGGATATGAGAAGGCTAATTGAAAAGTAATGGGTTACCAACTTACTTACCATGCCCACTACTCATTTTTTACCAGTACTAGCGTTAGGGTTAATCACGTTGTATAATGCTCAAGATTATTGTGTTCTTTATTATAAAAGTACTATATAACATGTAGTTTTATCCTTAATAAGACATAAGAAATTTAATACTTTTATCATTCACGGATCTCGAACTTAATGATTAACTATTAGATTAACTTATAGGTTGTTTTTCTTATTACGAGTATACAACAGAAAAATATATGTCAAATTATGTAAAACAAGTTGATCAATCATTGTGTAACCTCGATCAATTCTTCTTCTTATTATAAGTCAGTCTTAAGGTCCAAACCTCATAACTATATATTAGTCTATTAGATGATATCAAAGGTGCAAACCTACTCCTAAGAATCTTTTGGAACTGGTGCTTTGAATATTCTGTCTCTTGAACGCCTTCTCATATTAAGATTATCGAGAGAAGAGGCAATTCTTTTGCCTTCTTGCTTGCTTTTCTTTGTCTCGTTTCTTTTGTTCTCTTGTTAACCAAATGTGTGCTGGTTTACACGTTCTCACTTCCAGAGCAGGTGTCCTCTCCTTCTATGGCAGATGCAGACAAAGGATATGTGTTGGAAAGAAAGTACACGCTCAGGAAAGTGACAGACAGACAGCCAAGAGAGTTCGATGTTGAAACTTTGGTGATACCAAGAGTTCTTACGACCACACACAAGAGAGAAGAGTTGGGGAAAAAGAAGTAAAGCAGATTAGCCATTAGTTATATTCCAATCAAATGTGCTTAGTTATGGCCTGTCATGCATGTTATATTCCAAAACATATGTAAAATGGAATGAGTTATCTAGATTCATATAATTATGACGAATGTTGTGATAATTATCGATGAATATGTGAGTGATGACACTAGTTGAGGTTTGTAATTAATTTCTTTTAGTTTGTTTGTTCAGATTTTGATATTTGTGATCAGTGTTTGTAGTTTGATGTTTCAGTATAATATAACTTTTTGCATTTGAACTAATATAATATTAGTCATTATTATATCTCTTTTCATTAAAATAATGTTATTCCTCTACTTTTACATACAATACAAGTGTCTCAAAAAATTCATCAAATTACACCTCGCTATACATTGACCTAACTTGAACTCATGTAGCAAATCCAAAATTTGCAACTATGGAGAGAGAAATACTTGCTAGCCTGGAGAAGAACTAAACAGCTAGTCGAGTTTTTACCTGTTGGAAAGGATATCAAACTTACAAAATTTCATGTTTTGTTATCCTTAATAAAATTCATATAATAAATTGTAGGATTCTTATTAGAAATGGTAACATGGAACATTTTATAGATTTTGTACTCGGAACCACGAAGTTTTAGTATGGGTCTATGTAACAAGTTTTGTCTTGGGTATTTGAGCCAGACCTTTGTTAAGTCAAATTAGTATTGGATTTGACAAGCGTGAGCCTTGAAAAGGAGCCCAACCCCGTTTACGTCCAAGTGTTTATCAAGTAGTCGAATTTGAGTTTGTCGCCTCGGGTCCTGTCGAGGTTCGACTATGTATTTTGGTTACGGAGTTTGTAATTAACGTTGTGTGGATCTTATCTTCCTCTCCCCGGAGATGGTTTGAATGGGGAAAAAAAAATAGTCGAATTTGAGACTTGCTAAGCCATGACTCATCAGCCAACTTCCACACTTTCAGAAACGAGCAAACATAAAAGAAACAGCTTTTTACCTCACTAATATGACTATTGTTCTTATTTCTTTCCAATAGACCATGAGATGGTTTCACCACAGTTTCTTTCAGAGACTATGACTATGACTATGACAACAGAAAACCACAGTTTATCATTGTTCTCTAGACCAACAACACCACACAACTAGATGCTAATTGATCTCTACATCTTCCAGCAAAAGCCACTGCTTTCATTGTTTACATGGATCGATTTCTACAAGTTCGAGTGCCCAACACGGAGTTGAACCCGGTGCCACGATGTGTTCAGTACCCCTCTCAGGTTCCAGATTTCTTGCACGCTTTCAGGCTGCACATTTGCTGCTGAATCCACCTGCATTTTTGTTGATCAACACACCATACAAACTCATATGATCATTACTCCGACAGAGTGACAAATCAAATTATCTGTTTCTTGGAAATCATATAGACACATGATGCGGAAAAAGGGAGCAAACAACTTACTGCTTTAGCCACAATCTCTACACTATGAGGGACATCCACAGTAGCCTCAAAAAGAACCCATGCCCATTTGTCACTGTTCGTATCATCGGATACATATGAAATTCCGGGCTTTTGGTACCTGGTAGCTTCCACCCAGGTCTTACCACCATCCATTGACACATCGACTCTCTCGATCCCCCGCCCACCTCCTGATACTGCATACCCGCTGACCCTAACCTGCAGAAAGCAAGTGAGCTGCAACCCATGAGTGTTCTGAAACTATGAACATACAAACTTTACTGGGATTCTCCAAATTAAAGAGCCAGAAAAGTATTGGGTTTTGAAATATCGAGGCAGTTCTATCACTTCATTACTACATCCTAATGGAAGGACGAATACATCATTTAATATGTAGTGCTGAAGGGAAAACTAACCTTCCCAGGCTGCTTCATGACAGTCAGATCCTCTAAGGAACAAATGGCACTCTGTAGGTTCATGAATTCATTTGTTAGTCGATTAACTTATCAATGTTTTCTCAAGAATGCAAAGTTGGAGGTTAGTTGGAAAGCACCTACCTGGACAGGGAAGTCCATTTGTGGCCTCCTCGTTGACCAATCAATGTTATCCCAGTTGACTGAAGGCGGGAACATCTTATAGTCTTTTTGCATGAAGAAGCCCTGTTCAATAGCCAGGAAAGTTTTTGAGGTCTTGGAGGGATTTAAGATGAAAATTCTGATTTCTTATGGAGGAGGCAAGAAATCTACACGAACCTGACATTCATTGGCTAATATGTTGATGGAATCCAACCACTTCACAGAACGAGCACCTATGACACCTGGGACAACCACTCGTAATGGATAACCATGGTCCCTGTTTAAACACTTACAACATGACAAACATAAACATATCATTTAGTAGATTGGTCCAGAACTTCAGTAGCCTATTGCCTAAAAGAACAGACGTGGCAGCATTTGGACCTTTATCGACAATCATTCAAGCACAATTCTCACAACAGGTATCTTGACCAGCAAAAAAGACACGTTAAGTTTACTGACCTCTCCATTCATCTCATAAGCAAGTAGAACATCAGCATCAGGGTTTGTGGCTTGGAAGAGCGGAATCGATGCTTTATAAGGTCCCCCATTCTCCTCCTAAGATTTAGGTTTTCCAGTGATATGAAGAGGCAAGTCAAGTATAAGTCAGCCATAGAAGCCAGAAACCTTATACCAAAGACTGTAGTCAGTACCTTGCATTTATCAATGCTCACAAATTCAACATGCTTCCCACCAGATTTGGTGGCAGCAGTGAACTTAGGTATGCCAACAAGTTCAAGAACATCAGCCAGTTTGGCACCACCCCAAACAGCTGAAGGAAAAGTAACATCAGCACATTCAAAAGCTTAGAATCAATATGCTATCAAAATTATCGGACTAAAGAACTCCATCAAAGATTACGCCATGCATATTATTTTTCAGCATAGAGGAAGCATAGCTTTAAGAGGTGGTTAAAGGACTAACCATTTCCAATCGCAGAGATACCCCACCCAACTCCTTTAACTGTCTTGACTTTGCTCATGGCAGTCCTCCTGTTACCAGCGCACTATATACCCCACCAAAAAAGACCAAATACCTTAAGTCCAAGCAGAAAGTAGTCCAAATCAAATTTAAGGCAGAAAAATGTCTAAGAATTAGTAAGACATAAGATGCAGACTTCACCTGCAAGGTAGCTGCAACACTGTACTTTGGAAGCGACCTATCGATGATGAAAGAATGAAAGTCACTTTACTAAACCTATGCTTCTGCTGTTCTGCATACTATTAACACAACTACATAAAATTTACCTGATATCTCTCATGGTCAGCTCCTTGGGGGTTTCAATCAGCCCATTCAAAGAGACAGAGTATCTGCTCACGACAGTCAAGAAAAACAGAATCAATAACAATCCAACAGAAGCAACTTTCAAGGGAGAAATGCATCAAATGGGTAATCGTGATCAACGACCTTTCAATATCATCAACCACTGGAATGGGACCATGATTTCTCTTGTAGAAGAAGTCCACTGGAGTCACATAAGAATTCACCAAAGCTGAACGAGGTGGCTCCGCATTGAATGGTTGCTGGCAGAAGCACAAACAATTGAGCACCATGATCATTTAACGGCCACTCCAGAAACCACTCAGCAATACTATAATCTATACACGAATATTGGGGAATTCCAGCATAAAGGAAGGGATGCTAATTGCTAAGTCGAATTTCATTCAGCTCAGCTAAACAATTCACGGATAAAGAAGCTGGATTCCTAGAATTATGAATTATCTCATCCCAGTTAAAGAGCATGAGCCATAGAAAGAACACTCCGGTTTTATGCTTCCATGACACCACAATTCGCAGTCATCTCCAAGTGAGAAACCCGACTTGAGAGAAATAAGAACAACCCAAATGGGAAAAGCCGAGGAAGTGAAAGCACACCTTGGAATTGATCACGAGGGAAGGATGGCGAGGTGGTTCCCGGGAATACTCCGAAGGACCCTTTATTCCAGGCATTTCTTTTCTTTACATTCAACAAATCCCTTACAAACCTGAGAATCACAGATAGAATTACAGATAAACAAAGAGAGAAGGGGAAAGGGAGAAGGGGTTCTGAGTTTTCTATTGATTCCCTTCTGTAATATCAATGGCGATGAGTGAGCGAAAGAAGGTGGTAGAGATCAGAAGAGAAAAGACCAAACCTTTTCGGTGGTGGAAGCGAAGCGAGTGTAGTGGAAGTCTGAATGTGACCGTAGCCGGCCCAACGAGAAGAATGACGTAGCCTTCTGGTGGGACCCAAAGATTCCTCTGAACAAATAGGCGATAATTGAATCTCGCGTAAGCGGTGGGCTGCAAAACAGGGTCCAATATTGATGGTAACAACGGAATCCATGGGCGAGTCGTTATCGGGCTCGCTATAGGCCCAATCAGGCTTCCTTCCACTAGCCTTCATGAACTGCAACTGAGAAATGACTACCCCACCCCCGTCCGCCGGATGGTCTCTCGGTCAAACCCAATATGTGGGATTTGGTGTGGTTTGCAAATTGTCACAAACCAAACTTCCACCATTACTTTTATAAAAAATAAAAAAATAAAAAATCTTCCACCATTACTCACAACCCTAAACCTCAATAGCACAAACCCTAAAATTACAGTCATCTTCAAAGCTTTCTAAATCGATAATGAAATACAACTGAATCGTAAATGTGAATTTTCCATAATAAAGTTAAACACTACGTCAATTATTGAATGATAATAAAATTATCCATATTCATTTCTCTCTAGCCAGATCGTTCTTCAAGTTGCGGCGTCTTCCTTACTTCTCTGCTAGGAGCATCATTGGTGTACTCTCTCTTCCAAAGGCGGGCACTTCTCGCTGTCGACTTATGTCTTCTCTTACTTCTCCCCTCCCCTTCCTCTCCTCGCTTGCGCACACACACTCATATAGAAATTATGTACATTATACCATTCAAAAAATTACGCACAATCAATCACCCCTTATTTAATAAGAAAAAAATTTAGGAATAGAACAATATCATTTTTATTTCCTACCTACTTGCGACATGAAATACACATGCAGTTACCTTCATCGTGATAAACTTAAGTCGATCAGAGTACCATTAACTTATTTTAAACAAATAGATTTATCTTGTCCGGTCGATAGCTAACTGATCATAACCTGGCCGGCCGGCAAGAAACATTCATTCATTCACAAAAGGGTCGTCTAAGTCTAATCTAGGGATGGAGCTTGTGTGTTGTGTGGCTCCTCGTCACAGGGATAGAAACATTGACAAGTCAACCAAGGGCAGTGTCCATAGGACTCATATCCAAGTAGCCGTCTACATTGGTAATCACACGTCATAAACATACACGCCTGTTGTCCCGGTATCACAGCTTTCACGCACATATATGGAGGATGCAGTGGAGGATGAAGTGGAAGTGGTTCATGATAATTATCTCTTCCTAATAACAATAATAATAACTCAAACTCAGTGCCACTTCAAATGTATGTTGGTATAAACACATGCATAAATAAATCTAGAGAAAATATTGTGTACGCTTTAAAATTTTACATACCGTGACAAATAACGGCAAAGTGATGAACCACCATTAAGAGGATAATAACTGACAAGGTCTTCATATGTTTCCGCTGAATATGGAGAAAAAAAAAACAATAATGTTGATTAAATCTAGGTTATAATAGTGGCGAAACAAGAACTTACAATAGAGAAGCCGATATGCGTTGAAAATGTCTTGCAACAACCTTCCATTATTAAACCCATATGTCGGAGGAGAAGGGGAGCTACTAACCATCATCCTACCACTTTTTAATATTTTAGTCTAGATATGAACACACATACTATAATTTAGATTAAAAAAAAAATGAAAGGACACCTCTTAAACTACACTAACTCGGCCGCCACTGAGATGCAACAATTTTGTTGGCTCCAGTAATGGATGATACGCGATCATAGAATGTCGTTACTCGTTACCAAATGATAGACACATTTTTAAATCCAAATATCAATTCAAAATAACCTTGGGGACTGGGGAGACTAGGGGCTTATTGATCGGCTTTAACTGACTTCGAACTGTGGCTTAATCACTGTCGCTTGAGCAAATGAAGGTTCTGGTATGCAAAAGAAGATGTATAAGGGATGATGTAAATTTAAGGCTTAATTAAAAGGGTGGTCAGAGACTTTATAAGAAGAGAGAGGGAAGATTATAGCGAGAATAAAAACTTGTGTATCATAATCTTTTTTTTTTTTTTATATCTAAATGTGTATCATAATAAAAGGGTGAAATATAGGTAAATCCCCCATTTTGTTGCATAAGAATAGGGCACCACAGGTTATATATCCTTTTAAATCCACTAAACAAAAGCACAAAGCGGCATGAGAAGTGATAATCTGGTAATTTGACGGGCTCCATAAAAAATAGGTTAATAACCTTGTCTTTTCCACGTACGAAAATATCCAAGTCAATAGAAATTAAAATAAATAAATTTTAGATAGCCAAACTCGTATTGATGCTACATAATCATAATTCATAACTCCTCTCCATTAAATAAATCTATATTTCAGTAATGAAGCTTTTATTGGATAATAAGCTTTTTTTTTTAACAAAGAGATATCCTTTTTATTCCCACCAATTCAAAGATGAACCAAATGATTAATCTTAAGTGGTTAATAAGCTTGAAGCATGTTGATTAATATCCAAGTTAGTAAAGATATTTTAGATTCCGCCACCGAATTGATTGAGTTAAATTAATTCGAGACCCCACTTAAGTGGAGTCTTGTATCGGTGCTTCGAATGCGAGACTTTATTAGGGGATCCTAAAATAGTAGTTGTCTCTTCAAAATTAACAAAACTAAAATGCATGATACCGCCGGGTGGAGTTGCAACTAGACTCCAAGACGGCTATCGCGCTTCTCCAGTACACCGGAAGCCATAGTCACCAGCACGCAAGCCTCACCTTGGTGTTTCAGTCTCTGCTGCGCCGGGAGTGGGAAGTCCAGATCACACACATTTATAGAGAGGCCAACTTTTTGGCCGATTGCCTAGCTCATAAGGGACACTCGTTGTCTCCAGGCTACCATCCTATTGCTCTTTCCGATTTAGATGTAAGCCGTTGGGCCCTTTTTTACTCTGTTGACGATTTTACCGTTCATTCGATAATTGAATAAGAGGTTGCGGTGTCTTGCACCCTTTCACCAAAAAAATGAATGCAAGCTAATGTTGCTAGGGTGTACATTGGTAGACTTTAACCCAACCAACTATTTATTAAGCCCTTACATTAAGCGGATAGGCTTGTCAAGCCCAGCAGCAAATTACACCAACAGAACTAGAAATTTCACACTCAAACTTTCGGCCCAAATATTTATCCCAACAGCCCAATTCTAGAAATAAAATCCGACCCAACTTTTGACTATGGAAATGCACTTACTAAACACCAATTTTCGATCAAGACTTCCCTGCAATCTAGAGACAAGGAACAGAGCAAGAACTAGTCAAACACACAAGACAAACCCAGAAAATGGAGATTGAAATAAATTCAAACCCAGTTATTATTCGATCCACACACTTTGTTTCAGCGGTTCTCTTGAACTTCCTTTTCCTTCTCCTTGGTTTGGCAGAAGAAACATTACATGATGATACGCCCTATGGCTATGGGCTAATGATAACAGAGATACATGATTTAGCTCAATTAGACATAAGAAGTTGATGTGGCTAATGATAACAGAGAGACATGATTTAGCTCAATTAGACATGAGAGTTATTGAAGTTGATGTTTGTGGCGACAATGGGGCTTTGCACCACATGATTGCCTCCATCGAATTCAGTCCACTTGATGTAGCCAGAAGCTAAGAAGGTTTCGTTCTCCCTCACAGGATCAACTCTTTCTATGAGAAGATCGTAGCTGAGCTTGTCCCCTTGTTCTTTGAACTCCAATTCCGCTGGTAGCACACTGATTGAGAACCCTTTCAATGGCGTGAAAACTGCTCTGTAGCATGCCGTACCCTCACCGACATTCGTCAATGTCCTGTGAAACCGCACAATCTGATGATCAGGAGGACAGCTGCTGCTGCTGCTGCTTGTTGAGTAGTTCCTGTCAAAAAACGCGATAAAAGAAGGGTAATTCTGTTAGAAACACGTTTTCTAACGAAAACGGGTTTCTATGTCATCATTATCATTATCATTATTATTAGGTTTTATTAAATATGGTTAGTAGTATTTTAGTCAAGTTAGGATTATTATTAGGGTTTCCTAGTACTCCCTATAAATATGTACTTGTGATTCATTAGTAGGCAGTCAAGAAAGAATTATCAAAGAATCTCCTAAACCCTAATCTCCCTATCTTCTCAATTCTCGATCTCAATCCCTCTAAAGGCCTAGGCCGATTCTCTTCTGTTCTTCCCCAATTCTTTCCCAAATCCCTAATTCTATCTTCTCAATCCCTAAATTCCCAAATCTCACCCAATACGAATCCCGTTAGAAACTTTGTTTCTAACAAATTCAAGTCCAGCGATGGGTTGGAGCAGTTGGTGGCAGAAGACGACCGCCGCGTGAGTGCTTTGATTTGTTTGCCGGTGAAGTTGAGAGCACAAAGCAAGCTCGCATAATCGGAGGTGTTGAGGTCATAGACTAGCCCCGGGTCCAAGGCTTTGGTCGGGTTAACCTGACCCGCACCCATTTCCAAACCCGTAGCTGGGGAATCGCTCCAGTTCGCCAAGTCCCTGATTGGTTGGCCAGTATTATCCAAAGCATCTGCGGTGGTCATCATCGCTGATCGGACAGCGGCCGTGCTCCAATCTGGGTGAGCCCTTTTTATGATCGCCGCCACTCCAGCTAAATGTGGGCAAGAGAAGGATGCTCCATAATCTATTTCGAACTGCTGAGGAAACTCGGGGCCGAATGGAGTAGCTCCTAGGATCATCGAGCCCGGACCCATGATGTCCGGCTTCAGCACATACGGACAGCGGACGGATGGATCTCTGGAGCTGAAAGCTGCCACTCCTGCTGCAGGCTTTGTGTTCAGCTTGGTGATTCCAAACCTCAAGCTTGCTGTTTTGGGCTCGGCGTTACTACTGTTGAGGTAACGTTTGATGATCTCCCCATCTTCCAACGCTATGAAAACCCCCGGGTACGGATGCTCATAAGTTGGGGCGAATTCCCGGTCAGTGATCGTGCGGTTGATTATGAAAAGGCTTCCAGTTGCGCCGGAGAATAGGACGTTGTCAAATTGTTTATGCTCTGTGAAGTTCTTCTTCTCCTCCTCCTGACACACCACAATTTTCCCCTTGGATTTGTTGCGGATTTCTGCGATGTTTAGGCAATCCCCCAGGAAGATAATGGGAGCTTGGATGACTGAGGAGAGCTCGCGCCCCCTGTATAAAGATGACCCAATAACTGAGACTCCATTGCCGAGCTCGACGACGGCCTGGAATTGACGATCAATTGTCCCCGCAGCGACGGTCAGCACCCATGGTATCCCGTTGCTAAGGGTCTGGTGCGACGGGCCGTTGTTCCCGGCGGCAAGGGCGACGAAGACGTTCTTCTCAACGGCGGCAGCGAATGTTGACAAGGCAATTGGGTCCTCGTAGAGCGGGGGTTGATCCATTCCCATAGAGATGGATAAAACATCCACGCCGTCGCCAACTGCTCGATCAATTGCCGCAATGAAATCTGAATCCTCCACGGCTACGTACATTGCTACATGGGCTTTGGGAGCCACTCCCCTTGCGGTTCCAGGTGCGTACCCGTGGTAGGATGCCCCATCCACGAAGTTTCCCGCTGCTATGCTGGAGGTTTTGGTCCCGTGTCCCTCCGGGTTGTTGTCGCGGGGGGAGATCACCTTACCCTTTGTGGTACTGATATTGAAAACGCTTCCAGCTTTGTCGAACACCTGAGCTCCGACCAACTTGTTGTTGCACAAGGAACGGTTGGAGAATCCGCACTCTCCTTTCCATCGTGCAGCAGGCAGGGGGTTCATCCCGTGGTCGCTGAAGCTTGGACTCTCCGGCCAGATGCCCGTGTCCACCAACCCAATGATCATTCCTTCGCCATAGTTGGACACCTCCCAAGCTCCGGAGCAACCCGTGAGCCCCAAGAACTCCGGGGAGTGGGTGGTGGCGTACTCGATCGGCCCGTTCCTCAGCTTCATGGAGTAAAGATACCCCGGAGACCTTTGCACATAGGAGAGCTCCAAAGGTGTCATTGCAGCGCTAAACCCATCGATCACGTGGGAGTAGCTGTAGACGAGCCTTGCCGTGGATGAAATGGAGGACACAGTGGCCAAGTACCACTGGTGACTGTCAGCGAACGGCTTGGGCATTGTCGCGGTGTCCATGAAAATTAGGTAGTGGTCAATTTTGGAATCTGTGAGGAGTGAATTCAAGGAGATCACAACAGTACTAGACTACTAGTAATCAAAAGGAAGAGAAGGTTGATGAGGCCATGGTTTTGGGTGGAATTGGGGTTTTCTGGATTCTGACTTTGATTACAGTAGTGTGGTGTGTGGATGAGGTTGTAAATTGTAATGCATAATTCATCAATATATAGATAGCAGAAGAACATGCAGGCTGCATGAGTAACCTAATAATCTCTTGGACTGTTTTCTAAATTGTCAGTTTCTTCCAACCAATTTCCAGAGTTTAGTTGATAATGTATAATGCTTCTTGCATCATATTTAGATAGCAGAGCATGCAAGCTGCATGAGTAATCTGATTTCTTGGACTCTTCTCTAACTCGTTAGTTCTTCCAAACCACTTTTCCAGATTTTTTAACAGATAGGTAAGATGCATTCATCATATATAGATAGCACACAAGCTGCATGAGTGCAAGTGACCTAATTTCTTGGACTGTTTATAACTCTCTTTCCAGAGTTTGATTTGTTCGCCCACCTACATTTGGATTGGATATATACATTACCCAAAAGAAGTCCTTACAAAGAAACATGTGAACTAAGAAAGGACGGTAAAATCAGTGTTTATACAGTCTAACCGGGAAAGCCTCTTTTTGGAGGCTAAATCGATAAGCGGTTTTAGCGGTACGAAACGTTTTAATCACGATTTCTATATAGAATAGTCTATCGCTGATTTTACTGGTACAACCTCCAATACAGTGTGAAAATCCTTTAGAAAAAAAAATCAAAATAGAGTAAGAATACTTAAACGGAGTAGTTACTGTGGCAACGATTTTAATCGATAGTATTCAGTTAATTTGATTTGGTTGATTTGTTTAATTCGACTAAAAGCTTCTTGTTTGGTTTGGTTTGGGTGAAATGTTGGCCTGCAAAACGGGGTCTCGTCGTCGATGCTCTCAACCATGGTTGTCACGCCGGCCGGCGTGCCACCGGTTGTACCGGGTTCAACCGGTACCGGTCATAAAACCGGCGTGACACCACCGGTATGACCGGCATGATCGATATACGAATCTCTAAGTAAAATGACCTTATTTTAGAGAATTTAATTGATAAAAATTATTTTATTATTTATTTTATGAGTATAAAAGTTAAATATTGATGTTATTTGTTGGATTCAAATATAAATGCTTAGATATTGACATTAAATGTCATGTTTAAATATGAGTATTTATAATTTTATTTGTAATATTGACCGGCATGAACCGGCACAAACCGGTATGTGCCACCGGTTGAACCATTCCACTTGCTAAACCGGCACACTGGCATAAACCGGTTTGACAACCTTGCTCTCAACGGAATCCAACTGGTGGGTCGATATCGGGCCCGCTATAGGCCCAATCAGGCTTCCGCTAGCCTTCACGATCGGCAAATGTGAAATGGCGCCACCACTCCCCGTCCATAGGATGGCCTCTCCGTCACAGCAAAGGCGGCGACTCCCTTCACCGGCGGCATCTGAACCTGGATTTTTTTCCTTCCCTGACTCACTCTCACATCAAAATCATTACAAATCTCAAATTACAGCGATAAAGATAGTACACAGGGATGAAATGTTCCAAAATGGCAAAGAGAGGAAAAAACAAGAACCACCACCACCATTGCTCGCTATCTCATGGAAGATGATGATGCATCTCCTTCAGCTTCAGCTTTACAAGCCAAATCCCGAGCTCGATCCCTACTGCGACGCTTACCGCCTTCCCCAGAGAAGCTAGCTTTCGCCAGCTCCCTCAGCTTCCTAAGCTCACTCCTCTCCTCAACCATGGCTTCTGCTTCCCCTCTCCCTCCAGCATTATCTGGACTCGCCATGGGTACCACCGTAGCAGACATAGCTCGGAATGAATTCCCACGTGGCGGTGGCACATCTGTGTCGGGACTCAACTGAGGAACGCTGGACAGTCCGGTCTTTGGTTGGGATGAACTAGGTAAGACAATACTCGACCATTGCTTCCTCGGCAAGAAAGGTAGGATGAGACCTCTGGCCATGAACCGTGGCGTCCACGAGAGTCTTACCAGCCAAGAAACCAACCCGTACCATTCGTTCGTGATATGGGCAATGGCGGTGAGCAGGAGAAGAGCCACCATTACATATCCTAGAACTGTAGCCTCCGTCGGATCTGGCTTCTTAGTCGTGACAGCCATGGAAATGGAGAAGATGGCTGCCTCGCATAGCAGGGAAATGCTTTCTACTGCATGGACACTCCTCCTGATGAAAGGTTTGAGACTCGACAGGTAGACAAATTGTGTCATTGTGATCGCCAAGGCTATGAGGTTGTGCATCCAGTGATCTTTCGAGGTAGTTGCTGCTCCGGATATTACTCCCAAGCTGACTCTTCGAATGAGATCGAGAACTAAGTATGAAGATCTAGCATACCCAAGACACTTCACGGGGCCAGGAACCTTCAAATCCTCTTCATTGCTGTCGTTCGAACTGATGGCTCGCATTCTTCCAATTCCACCACTTCGGCCACTCTCGCTCCATTTTGGAACGGTGCTTTGATCAGTTTTATCAACGAAGATGAAGAAAGGGGGACCCTTTTGATTCACAAAGAGGCTTCTGAAGTTCTGTACGAGAGACGAAGTGGAGCCTTCTCTGTAGACCCACTTCCCCATTACTGGTCTACTGGTGATAAAGAACCACAGCTTTTCATACCATGCCTCCCTTACAACTGTATACTTAATCTCCTTGTATTGGACAAATTTCCCCGGAAGAATGGCGACTAGGAGGAAGAGTAAGACGGATAAAATGAATGCTGCCGGGATGACCAGCAACAAAGCTCCAGTTATCATGCCTCCAATTGTTCCACCTGCAAAAAATGAGACGTCTTATTTTGCCATTATCTAAAAGAAAGGAGACGTATTTTCTGCTGAACATGACTGTTTGGGAGATGAACAGGATCAACAACATTAGTTCCTCTCACCTTTGACGACAAATGCTGCAGACTGAGAGATACAAGGTAGCATGACGATTAGAAGAAAGATCTCCAACCTTGGAAATGAGACCATTCCAAAATTAACCGATGTTGTTGATCCTATCCTCCATCTCAGGAGAAGGAATATTGATATATGGAGTGCAAGCAAACTGCCTGCAATCGCAGCAAGCCAAAATAGGTTCATCCCCATGTCTTCCCACCTAATGAAACAACAGCATTGCATCATGAGTTGATGAGTTTGTTTCTCACGGTCAAAGCCATTCTGAATACGAATTGAGCAACTTCTCACCCTTTATTGTTTTCCAGTTTCTTCACGACATTGCTGGCAGACAAGGGCTCTCCTCTCTGCAATGAAAGGATGAATAAGGCTGTATTTAGAGAGATTTTTTTCTTCTTTCAAATCAAGATATCACCAGAACATGGTAAGCTTAGGATACCAACCAAGAAATAAGTAAAGTATTCGGCTGAATTGAGAGGTTGTCCATACTGAGCACTTTGCGAACTCACAGCTTTCCCACGAAGCCCATCACAACTCGTGAAGTTCCCCTGGTGCTTATGCTCACCAACGGGAAGCATAGGAAGTCCAACGGCCATGAAACCTTTTTTCCCACTAGTAATATGTAAATGGTTGGTCCAAGTTAAAGTTGAATCCTTTCTCCATGGAAGCTTGCCACGAGGTATAAGCCACTTGAGACCTTTTACTGTCTCTGAATATTCAATTGGATGATTGGGAGAGAACCAATCTGACATCACAAAGACTTGGAGATGCCCAAACATTCCCTGTAAAGCATGAATTTCAGCATGTAAACAATAAATTAGCACAAACAGGAGGTTTTGGTCCAGGAATGCTGGACACTCAAACTTACATGCAGATTAGTTGATGGACTGGGAGCAACGAATTTGGTTTCTCCTGTTAAGAGAGCACTTATTATTCCGATATTGGCATAGGATAGTGAAAGACAAGCCACTGCAAGTGATGTTGCTAGCACTCCAGCAGTGATAAAGGATTGGAGTGCCGTTGAGACTGCAGGGGTTGAGTCTGCTCAAGTATTCATTATGAAATGTCAGAGCCCTCATTGCTTGTCAGAACATAACCAGGTACAGTTACAACAGAAATTATTCTTACAGTGCTTCAGTTGAACTCTGTTGGATGCCAGATTCTGATTTCCAGAAATATCACTTACTTTGCCAGCAAGAACAGAAACAGAGAGTGTTTTCTCAGCTTCAACAATGACGGTCAATGAGTATAGTGCTCTTGAGAGTTCCTTAAACCTGAAGAAAGTAAAAGATTAGACCTTTTTGAGCTGTTTGTTCAGGCCTCGGTTTGCAGCACTTCATTTGTACCTGCCTTGCAATCTTCCCTCCATGTACTTCTACCATTGAGGGATCAAAGCCAAAAACTGGCTTCGTGAACTCCGCAAAAAAATTGATGCGAGAAGCTTTTGTCACATTTTGCAAGTCAGAACTTAGCCCTACTGCAGGGTCCTCCGTATCTAAGATGAAAACTTAATTGAATTATTCCACTTCCCAAGATAGGAGTACATTGAAAAACTAAGAACAAGTTACAATGGAAAAAGGACCTACCATAGAGAATTGTCAGTGGGGAAACCGGTGAAGTGGGAGTGCCAGTCCTGCCAATTATCAAACTGGTTTCAAGCTCAATCACGATGATTTCAGTACGGGATACATTCATGAGCTGGAAAAAAATAATGTTAGTCTAATTCAAGTTCATTCTAGGCAGCAATGCTGATCATGGAAGTCTAAGAGAAGTGCTCACCCGAAACGCAAACTTGCGATTCCCCTGATGTCCTCTAAGAACAGATGATACAGAACCTGACTTGACATGTAATGCACTTAGGACTTCCTCTGTCGAATTCTTTATGGGATTACTGAAATCCAGGAAAAATTTTAAGTCTTCCATTTTGTTAGTTGAGAGAACAGTTCTTGGCACTCCATTGATCTTCAGCACATACGATGAAACAGGCATCCATAAATCTGCCACCACTGGTCTCCTGTCTAATGACAATAGTGACAATAAATCAAACTGAGAAATTAAAACATGGGTGACTAACTGGTCCAGAGGAGGATGATTTAACTAACCAAAACGAACAATCATCGCCGAATTTTTGCTCCTTGTAAAAGGGTTTCCAGCTTTATCTGTACAAGAACCATTCGCCATTCTGATAACAACACGGCCGTACATACTACCCATGGAGAGGGCTATGTCAACTTCGTATTTCAGGTTCGGTTTAACAGCCCGCAGAGAAGAAGCATCAATAGAACCTGGACCGTCTATCAAAACCTGCAAAACACCAGGAACACATCAATTTCACATCACGTAGTTGACATTTGTGTTAGAGATGGAAACTTTTTCTTACATCACAGTGTGATGAGTTCAAGCACTTCAACACACAAGCCTCACTGAAGGTGACATCAACAGTTACTTTTGCAGCATTTGTGTAGCTATCTTCACTAGACAAAGTGGCTGTTGGCGGAATTGTATCTGCCGATATATTGGAAGCTTCTGAATCAGCAGAATGAGTTACAGATAAACAGGAGCAGATGAAAGAACTGGATGGAAGAGGTTGCTAACCGATGAACCATGAATAAGAGGAAGAGTTTCTGTCCCCATTCTGAGTTGTGACATTCAAAAGGAAAGTATGCTTCTGATTCACTGTCAAGTTCCTCAACACTATGGCGTCAGCTGGGCATGATCTCAAAGCTTGGTCATCAAGCTGGTGGAAAGCCAAGTAAAAATGGTAAAGGGAAATTCTGAAGAAGTTCTCTTTCCCATTTATGATTCCCAGGAAGTTGTCCAAATAGAAGAAAGTTTACCTCACAGGCTATAAAACAGCCATTGCTGCTGCATGCATTCCTGCCATCCGACCCTTCAACGGAATACTTGAATACAGCAGTTGAGAACCTTGAAACCGCAGATGGTGCCTCATGGAAATGAATTATTACAACAGATTGAGCTGAATCCAATGCACCTGCCACAATCACTGCTGTACAAAGTACAAATAACTTGAACAAACCCATTTTGCAAGAATCAATGGCCTCTTCAGATTTGAGATGGGAATTGAAGAAGGGACAAACAAGCAAGCAAACAAAAGCGAGCTTTCATACTATTATGTTTTGTTCTCTATTTTAATGAATTATGTTGGACGACAAGGAAAATACATAAAAGATGCAAGACAGCTACCAGAATTTATTGTTGTCAGACCATAGCTGCTCACCATAAAGACTTGCATTTTCTCATTAACAACCACTATCCGAAATCCATATCCGTGTATGTATGCCTTCTGCAGACCATGTTTCTCTTTCCTCGCTCGCTCTCTTTCTTTCTTTCTCTCTTCTGTCCTCCAATGTACTCATCAGATTATAACTGTACCTTCATTATTTATAATTGCTGAGAAAGTAAATGCATTCAGCTGCACAAACAGGAGAAGGAGCTTTCATTACAGCACACTGCACAGTAAGATTGGCCTAATGGACCAATGTTTCCAGAAGATGATAAGAAACCACACATTGCAGATCCACAGCTTCACCCTGAGGCTGTGGGACTGATGAGGGGTGAAGCAAGTCCACATTTATTATTTTCACCGTCCAAAAAGACCAAACTCCATTAAATGTTAGTCAATCGCCATATGAAAACTGTGTACTCCGAGTAATAATGAACTATAGCAACATACTCCCTCTTCGGTGCTTTTGTAACAAAGAGATTAATGATAATCACAATGGTCAGCTTCAAGGCTAAAATTGAAGGCCACAAATATTATGCTAAATTTAATTCATACCCAATTGAGAAAATTAGCAGGAACAGACAATGGAGTTCCTCATGACAGGTCTTACTCCCTCAGCTATACATTTCATTTTACTTAGATTATCAACAAGATCTTGAATTAGCTGTACAATGTCGTCTTAAAAGTCTCAAGCAAACAAGATTCAGCAGGATTTACATATCTCAAGTAGTATAAGGTATAAGGTCTTCAGGCTTTAAAGCTGATTCACTGTCTTCTTCAGACTCCATCCACGGCAGTTTAGGTCCCTAAGAATTTTCCATTTATGAAATCAGTACACGTAACATCAAAGTTAAAATGAACTGTTCTCCCTTCCATTTTCCCCAAAAAAAAAAAAAAAAAAAACTGTTCCTCCTTATTACACAAGCTCAGTTACCTTTCCTTGCCGTACGACTACTGGAGTTATTCTTGTCATGTCAACCACAGTGGAAGGATCAGCAACTCTCACACCGCCATCGATAATGAAATCCAGTCCCTACATCAACAAGCCAGAAAGGTTGAGCAATCCAAAAAAAGGATAAGAGGAAGGTGAAACTTTAGCAGATGGATAAATGGTACCTCTGATCCATATGCATCGGCTATTGCAACAGGATCCAACAACCATTCATTTTCCTTAAGGCCCTTCACGCTGATGCAAAGAACAAGGAAGTATAAGGTTCAGATTTCCGTACTCAAATTGCTTCTGTAACCTCATTGTCAGACTCAGGCATGCCTGAGGCCATTATCCAGCCAAAGTTTATGTTTCTTCCCAAAACAGCAAAGGAAATTCAAGTGGAAAAAAAACCTTGTGGAAATCAGTGGTGCGTCAAGCTTTTCAAGTATTGCCCGGCAAATGGCATCATCAGGCATCCTGACGCCCACATCCTTCCGAGCAGCATATTTGGCAGTTGGAGTCCCATACCTCATACATCGTTTAGGCAACTCCTTGCTTGCAGTCAATATGAAAGTGTACTGTCACATAAATGCATAGCCACAAATGAGGAAGTAAGAATAGCCATGATCATCAATCCAATCAAGTATCACCAGTACATCCTATTGAGATGCAGATGCAATGTAATGGAAACTTCCCAGTGATTTAACCAATACAACCAAATCAGGAACTACATCGCCTTCCCAAATGCCCGTAAATTTAAGAGCAGACCCAGCTTACATCCTTACTTACCGGTCCGGGTAAACAATGCTTAACAGCTCGGAAGATACTCGCATGTCCTTGGCCATCACCGCGAGGGAAACCAGTCGTGTACATGTCTATATCTCGCAAAGAGCGGCATAAGATGCTGAGAGGCTGCATTTCACAGCATGCAAGTAATCAAGTCAGAACTACTCCATTCAGCAACTGTTGGAGTAAGTTGATTAATCAGCAACAACAGTTTTGCTCCCTACCTTGGATGGTTCAATGTGTTTAATCCTGCAAGCAACAACAAAAAGCCGTAAGGTCATGCCACCATGAAAGTCCATGCCAGGGCTACCAACAAATTCAGAACGCCTTCAAAAAAGGGAGAAAACTAGTACCTACGAAGACGTTCAATAGCTGATGGGCTCTTCAAATCACAAACTATGGCGTACCTAATAAACGAACGAGGACCAGAAATTCAGCCACCCTAATTAAACTGAACGAAAAAACGATCGATCGCAAGGAAAGCAAAACTGCTCAAATCGTACAGAGTATCAGTGGGAATGACACCAACGGCGCCCTGCTTCAGAAGCTCAACGATGGGATCCAACTTCCAGCTATCCTCTCCATTAGGATCAGCTTCCACGTAAACCCATAGGCGGAGGCAGGGGTGTTTGCCCCTGTCCCGGGACAGGGGCAATTTTTGGGAGGGAAAAAAATAAACCCACATATATTTGTACAGATCGAATTAATCACTTACAAGTAACATAAGGATATTTTAACATTACAACATAACTCATTACTTGTTCATTAATTCACAAAAAAAAATAATTAAATTACATGACACTATCATTTTACAACAACTCGTTAGGTATTATCACGATATAATGGTGTAAATAATGAATATATTTTACATTTTTTTCATAATATGAAAACTCGTTGATTATTTATAAAATATTATATATATATTCTGAAGAAAGGACAGGGGTAGTTTGAAATCCTAGCTCCGCCACTGCGTAAACCAACCCGCCCTCCTACCCATTTTGATCGCGATTATAGCAGAAACCCAGAAAAAAGGGAAACCGAAAAGAAGAAGAATCAAGAACCTTGGTGAAGCGAGGAGCGGAGTATTTGAGGCGCTTGGGGCTCCTCTTGACAGCCATGGCCAAGACTCGGAAGCGAAGAGGAGGTTTAGCGGGGGCGGGAAACGAGACGCGTGACGGGAATTGAGAAGGGCGGGGCATCCGTGGTGCCGCCAAATCAAGCGTGTGAATTCTGCTTCCCAATCGGACTGTTTTGCTATCCGCCATCTTCGGACTGATTTTCTTGCAGCTGAAGCTTCTTTACCCCAAGGAGACTTTACACCATCCTCCTGCTGCTGAGCTCACTCTCCGGTATCGCAGAGAAGAAGAAACGAGAAAAGGGATGATGAAAGTTAAGCAACGGCTATCAGAGGATAATAATGGGCCGCAGGCCCGCAAAGCATTATGGGCCTACAAATGAAACATGAATGAACGCACGCCAACCGCGAGAAGCATCGAGATGGGTGCTCTGTCTCTCTCTCTCTCCTCTCTTTCAGTCATTTTCCCACTTCTTAATTCTGACCCTTTTCTTCCTTCTTCCGTAACAACCCCCACACTCCACTTTTCTTCAGTTGCCCCGCAACCTTTACACCAGATCTGATTCTCTTTTACCAACCGTACGCTCTTCTTTCTCCTCTAGAAAATCATCCCTCTACCCCAAATCAAAGCGGAAAGGAAAGGCTATACGAATCTATATATGGCGGACTGGGGCCCAGTGATAGTGGCGGTGGTGCTTTTCGTGCTGCTGACTCCAGGCCTGCTGATTCAGATCCCTGGGAGGAACAGAGTGGTGGAGTTCGGCAACATGCAGACAAGCGGCGCTTCCATCTGTGTCCACGCCATCATCTACTTTGGCCTAATAACCATCTTCCTCATCGCCATCGGCGTCCACATCTATGCTGGTTAACCAATCAAGACTCTGTACAACGGAGGCTGTTTTCCAGTTCGTTCTCGCCCGCTTACATATATTCAAGTTTCTCTGCTTCTTTTGCGTTTCTCGTTTCCTGTTTTTGGGCTGTAAGAAGGAATTAATGGCCTCCGTTTGGACTTTGTACTACCCAATATGCAGGTATAGTGTTGATTCTCAGTTCACCATATCTCTGATCGCCGCTCAGATTTCATTTCTGTATTTTCACTATTTTGTCTTTTCTTACCTTTTTTAATGGCTTAATTGCAAGTTTGGTCACTCGAATTGCTACAAAATTTCACGTTTGCCACTCAAATTAATTTATTCCATCCTTAGTCACTTAAATTAGGTTAACAGTTCATGTTTGGTCACTGGCCGTTAATCTCCGTTAACTTTTGCTGATGTGACGGTCAACTCTTATAGTTGACCGTTAAATGAGTAACGTGGCAATTAAAAAATAATAAAATTAATTATTTTTTATTTTTCACCTAATTATCATAAAATTTAAAAAAGAAAATCACAGTTCGTTTAATTATTATTTCCCAATAGGAGTTGTCCATGTAGACCCTGTCGTACAGTTTGTCGTCGGCGGCGTAATAGGCGTCGTAAACGATCTGGCTGTCGTCGCCCTTCCAAACGTGGCACCAAAACAGCGTGTTCCCGAAGATGCTGGGCCGGAACCTCCACTCGTACTCCGACTTAGGCCCAACCCAGTGCGTTCCCATGTTGTCGTCCTTGGACTTGTAGTGCACCGTCAACATCCGGCCGCCGCTGAACTCTTTCACCACGTGGACATGAGTGTAAGCCCACCAGGAAGCGTCCGTGTTAGCGGCGGATGCCACGGCGGCGGCGAGAGATAACCAGACTGCCACCGTCGCCATAGCTGCTCCCGACCTCATTATCCCATCACTGGCCGAGTTCCCTGTCACCGCTCCAACCCGAGTCGGGTCTTGGCCCGGTAGATTCCAGGAGCAACCCAAGCCGAGGTTAGATTAGAAAAGATTTTTATTTTTTTATTGTTTTTAATAGTTGAGGTAGAAATTTAATTTTTTTAATTTTTTAATTGCCACGTCATGCATTTAACGGTCAACTATAAGAGTTGACAGTCACATCAGCAAAAGTTAACGGAGACTAACGGTCAGTGACCAAACTTGGACTGTTAACCTAATTTAAGTGACTATAAATGGAATAAATTAATTTGAGTGGCAAACGTGAAATTTTGTAGCAATTCGAGTGACCAAACTTGCAATTGAGCCCTCTTCTATAAAAATATTAAAGGGCTTTGATTTTTTGACCCCTTCCACGTCAGCCTATCTCAAAAGTTAGCGTATCCACGTCAGCCCATAAAAAACGACTTACATTCTCCCTCCATCCTCTCTATGATCCTTCTTTTCCATCCTTTGATTCCACTTCATCTCTCATCACCGCCACACCCCGGCGGTTACTTCTTTCGATATGCTATTTATCTCTCATCACCGTCGTCCCCTCATTCTCACTATTCACACCCGGCGGTTCCTTCTTCCCAATCGATCTCCTACACTCTTCATCCCCACCAGTGCCCGTACCGATAAAACTTTGAATCCTACAATTACCATCTTCCATTCCAGGCAACGAACGCATCATCTACCAACGATACCCAACCGACTGGTACGTTCCGATTTCACCCATTCGTTCTCTCCATTCCCAAGCATCTCTAAGTCTCTAACATGTTTTGTAGGCTAAAATTAAAATCTTCATCTTCAGTCAGGCTTCGATCAACATGCCGCCAGCAAAGTAACTCCCCTGTTTTCCCTTCATCTATATATACTGGCATTGCCCAAGTCCCGATCAGTGAATTGATTGAGAAAATTGACGGTGGAGTCTTAAACCTCGAAGGGGAAGCGTGCTGGAGTTGGCAGATCTGCGGGAGATGTAAAGAGACAAACTGGTCGGCAACATGAAGAGGCGATTGGATTTGGCAGATTTAAGGGGTATGAGAAAGGAGCATGCAATACAACAGACATTCTCAACTCCAACTAACCCATCTTCCCTCTTTATCCTTTAATCCCATAGGTTGTCATGTATGGTTCACAATCAGTTTGTCTTATGGGTTTTCTTTTTTGGTCTCTTTGAGTTCTGATCTTCATCCAAGTAGTCGGAATCACAGCCGCTTGGCTACGATTCCATCTTTGGCAAGTCTTTTGGGTGGGTTTTCCTTTTCCATCTCCTGCAAGCAAGCACTAGGTTTTGTTATGAATTCTGCCAACGCTGTAAAACTAGCTATATTTTTGTTTTAAGTTCTTCCTCCAATCCAAATACACTTCTCGGACAATAGAAGGCCATTTAATGCGACAAAACTATAACGAGTATGATTGAAGAGACACCATGAGCATCAGATATATAACATGTCATGCATGCAATCTATATTTGCTTTACTGTTTGCCATTGCTTCATATTGATTACACAAATTCAGCAACATTCTTTTTTTATTATATATTGATACTGATTTGCAGCAGCTGTAGACGTTAATGATTGGTAAGATCTTCTAATGAACTCTACTCCTCCAATTCAAAGATGTGTACCTCTTTGACCTTTAAACTCTTTAGCTCTGTCTTTTTTGCAGGTCGCCAAATTTGTGGGTAGCGTCCTTGGACCTCCAGTTTGTAGTGTGATTATGGTAATGTTTCTTTCTTGATTGTCCCTACAAACCATCATAAAGCCAGTTTAGATCTTATCATGGTACGAATTAATAGAAATATGATTAATATTCATGGAGATTTTAGTTTCAATTTAAATCAGTCATCGGACAATAAACACCCTCTACTTCCGTTCAGTTCAGAATTAAATTGTTCTTGTATTGTCTGCTATGAACGTCTATCATGCATATTGCTCATGGTTGGTAAAGCACGTCTTTTGCTCATGGTTGGTAATACATCAAAGGTTGCTCGAGGGAATTGGGTGCAAACAAAGCAACAATGAACCTGAATGTGACTTGCCAATCTGGACAGGGGTGAAAAGGCCTATTGGTTTGTAGTGGGGGGTGAGAATGTAAATTGGATAGGCACTATATGAATGGTTGAAATTCTTAATTTTTTATCTATTAATTTGGAAGTGAGATTTTCTTTTATAATTACAAGGAAATGAGCAGTCAGGGACTTTAGTATGATATTCATACAAGGAAAGCATACCACATTAGGTCACACGGGATAAATCATAAAAATATAAGAAAGTAAGGGTTCGTTTGGAAGTTGCGATTGTTAAATAGATGTATTGTTGAGAATGCATGTATAATATTATACATGTATTGTCGAATTTGATGCATTGTAGAATACAACATTTGGTATGTGTGATTGTGTATGTCGCATAAGCTAAAAGCTGAGACAAAACAATCTCAACTCAACTATCTCAACAATCACAACTAAAAGTTGAGATATAACAATCACTCAAAATGAGTGATAGTTTCTGTCACATCACAGAAACAATCCATGTATTGTTTCTGCTAAAAAAACAAAAAAACGATGCATTGTAAACAATACATGCATAATGACAATCTCAACAAAACTATCGCAACTTCCAAACGACCCCTAATAAACTGGCAAAGCCAAAATAAAAAATTTGGTGGGAGCCAAAATAATAATAATAATCCGGCCAAAGGCCGGGCCCAATGCTAGTTAATATTTATTGCGTTTTTTCTGGACGGTAACTTGAAACCTGTGTGTGGATATGTTTGAGGCTTTTAGCCCGCAAACATAAACCCGAATGAGGCCCACATTTGATGGACTCTTACTGAAATAGTCAACCTAACAATCAGCCCATTAGGGAAGTCAAAAAAAAGTTGGAGGGTTCCGACTTCCGACCTAAAATTGAACCAAATCGGCATAAAACCAGATTGAAAGAGGTTTAACAAGTGCTAGAATTAACCTTCATCGGAACCAAATTTCATCGTCATTAAACTCGACCATCCAAACGATATAAAGGGTCACATTCCATCGACGGCCAAAATCAGATGCTATATTAATAGAATTTCATCGTCTCGATGTATTAAACCGGAAAGAAAATGACATCCAGCATACAATCCCCATCGATCCATCCAAGCCAATTCCTACATAGAGGTTTTTTCTTTTTACCTAAAGAACCAATATGGCAACACAAGAACCACAGAAGAGATGATAACAACTCTTGGAACTCATTATTATCAAGTCTACACCGAGAGAAAAATATATGCTACCAAAAAGGTCAAAATTTAGGCAATAAATAGACGGACCACTACATTTCATTTGATTCCCCTTGGCAGCAGGAGCAGCTCCGTTGCCGCCTCAAAAAGGCATGCTTTCCAGATTGGAAGAACCGAAGCTGTCTTACCGGGGAGCTGGTGGAGGGGCGGGAGGCATCTGGGATTTAGCGAACCCGATCCAGGCGACAATCCCAACAGCCAGAATTACCCACCCGAATGCGTCGTAAGTAAAATCGTTGTTCTTATTCTTCTTCTTCGTACCCTGGGAAGAAAGATACGCACGAGACACAAGCACCAAGGTTTAAACGTCATCGAAGCTTAATCGTTGAAGCCCAAGTCTGGGTACTTCTTGCATCATGTAAAAGAGAGAAGGAAAAAGGTTCTAGATAGATCATTAGAGAAATCGCTACAACCTACAAGTGAAGGTAGATGGGAGGGACAATAAAATTACCCTTGTGCTTGTTGAGGTGGAAGGTCCTCCCGTGTCAGGTTTGTTGAACTCAATTGGCTGACCGCCTATTGAACTATGCTTATGGATCTCCGCGTGCAAATCTGGTGCCTTGCATATGTAAGAATTACAACCAGACAAGCATACAAAAAGATCAATAACACAGTAACCAGCCAAGGGAACATACAATTTCACTGAGAAAAAAATCCCAAGACGGCCTATTCCGAATGAAATTCTTAACATGAACAGAAGATCAAGTACGTTCAAGAGAGCAGCTGCATAATTCGTAATCCTTGAAATTTCTATCAACAACCCCATCAAAATGTTCCAAAAAAGACAGAATTGAGAGTTCGTTTTGCTGGAGAGAGAAATACTTCACAGTTCACTGAGTCACACATAGATCTATTGGAGCACAGAACCGGGGGGAGACCCGATTACAGTCTTTAGCGAAAGATCAACCAAAAGATTTCCATCAAATCTGTTGCCAAAATATATTGGCTTTGGTAACATCTTGCCAAACAGTTCAGTACAGATGTGTTTCCTGGATGAAACTGGCTGTTCAGAACTCACTAGCAAGAAGAGATAATTGGCAAGGTCCGTGGTTAACTAAGACATATTATTGGTACAATTAACAAACGAAATGATGCTTGGAAAGGTAAACACATAGCCGGCAACTCCAATTACTCTACGACATTGGAAAGGTAAAATTAGTATTTTAAAACAAAGGCTCTCCCCATCCTTTATAGGATCTACATAATATATAAGATCTTGAAAAGGGGTGAATGAAAGTTACCTTAGAAGCCACTTCTAGAGATTTGAGGTACAACTCATTGGTTGGATCCTACAAAAGAAACCAAACTACTATCATCATCACACATCTAAACAACAATAGCATAAAAACCAGCTAAACAGCAATGCAGCTCCACTAGGACAACGTTGACACGAGAGGGAAAGGTACCTCATCAACAGCTTGCTGAAAGTAGGCAGCTGCCTTCTTGAAATATACATCTGCTTCCTCCTCGTCGGGGGTTAAGAATGCAAATGACGTATGAGCATTTCCCAAGCACCATAAGGTGTCATGCTTCTTGGGGTTTATCAACAACGCCTCCTCAAACTTGTTCATTCCATCTGGCCAAACGAGAAAAGAAAAAAAAACTCCCAAATCAGCTTATCTCCAAAGATCCAGGATTTGGAGAGAAAACAAAAAAGAACTACCCATTGCCGAGAGACCTATGCACGTTCAATCACCTTGAATCATTTTCTTAGAATCTGCAACGCTCTGAAACTGAGCCAGCTCCAACAGAGATCCACCCCACCTCGTCAAGTTCTGCCCGCCCGAAACCATTCATAAAAAAACGTTTTATCAAATTCAAGCAACCTACAATCGATTCACCAGCCCTCCTAATTCAATTCAGAAGAACCCGAATCGATAGAGCTTATCTCGCAGCAAAATTCTAATCGAAGGATGAGAAGAAGAGTTAAAGGATTGAACGCACCTCGGCATCGAGAGGATTGTTGGCGTAGGCGGCCTCGGCGGTCTTCCGAGCGTGCTCGAAGAATAGCATCCTATCGAACTCGTTCCCAGCAAGTTCCATGGTGACTGATTTATTGAACCACCGCGGAGGAAATCCGGTGGAGCTTCGGGAGGGAAAGGACTGTGTTAAGATTGTGTTCCTTCGTGCCTAAACCCTAGGGAAGGCAACAGAAAACTTGGGGAAAGTGAAGCAGTCACGAAACACGCGCGTGAATGTATGCGCGTGCGCGGGAGTCCCGTACAAGCCTGAAGCGACGACGTAAGTTGTTCTGTCTGACTGTCTCGAATAACATTCGAAGAGGGAAGGGTGAGTCCCTCACGCGAGTGAGTGATCGTGTGTAGCGTACGAACCTCTTGAGTCTTGAGTAGGGATGTAGGGATGGCAACAAAACCCAAACCCACGGGTACCCACCCGACCCAACCCGGTCAACGCGGGTAAAATTCGTGTTGACGGGCTTTGGGTCGGTTTTGGGTTTTAACTTGTTCACTATTCATTGGGTTGGGTTGGGTTTGGGTTTAGGTAAACCCGACCCGTGGGTACCCGCCCACACCTATATAATTAATTTTCTCGGTATATTTGATATTCTAAGCAACTAATCTTATTTATGTTTGTGGAGACATGTCTAATTTTTTCTTTCTAATTGTGTAGAATTAAGTTGATATTATCGAGTAGAGAGTGAAAAAAATTAATTGAAAGGAAGAAACTTTCAATTAATCATGTATTTATGGATAATTTGTGATTTGCTTCACTTTTCTTGAGTTTTCTAAATTGGTGTTGAAAAATTTGTATAGATAATTTGTGATTTTCTTGAATTTTCTAGAATGGTGTTTTATATATGGATAATTTGTATTGAGAGATTGATATTTGAATTTAATTTTGATAGAAACTTGTTATTGTAAATTTTTACGACAAAACCCCGTGGGTACCCATGAACCCGCGGATACCCAGCGGGTTGGGTTGGGTTTGAGTTTTTCAAACCCTATGGGTTTTACCCCGGGTTTTTTTCAAGGATAAACCCATGGGTTTGGGTTTGGCAAAACCCGACCCAACCCGACCCATTGCCATCCCTGAAAAAAATCCGGGGTAAGTCCCACTGGGTTTGAAAAACTCAAACCCAACCCAACCCGCTGGGTATCCGCGGGTTCATGGGTACCCACGGGTTTTGTGGTAAAAAATTTATAATAACAAGTTCTTATCAAAATTAAAGTCAAATATCAATCTCTCAATACAAATTATCCATATTTAAAACACTATTCTAGAAAATTCAAGCAAATCACAAATTAACTATACAAATTGTTTAACACCAATCTACAAAACTCAAGAAAATTGAAGCACAAATTTTTCATAAATAACATGATTAATTGAAAGCTTCTTTCTTTCAATTAAGTTTCTTCATTCTCAACTCGATAATATCAACTCCATTCTACACAATTAGAAAGAAAAAATTAAACATGCCTCCACAAACATAAATAAGATTAGTTGTTTAGAATATTAAATATAACGAGAAAATTAATTAAATGGGTGTGGGCGGGTACCCATGGGTTGGGTTTATCTAAACCCAAACCCAACCCACCGGATGAATAGTGAACGAGTTTAAACCCAAACCCGATCCAAAATCCGTCAACACGGATTTTACCTGCGTTAACCGGGTAGGGTCGGGTGGATACCCCTGGGTTCGGGTTTTGTTGCCATCCCTATTGAGTGATGTCGTGGAAGCCCTCGCGGTTGGGAACTGTGGGACGACGTGAAGTTTTCCACGTGTAACGTTGATTGTCATGTTTGCAGTCTTGGATTTGGGCTTCGATTAGTAAGTAAGAGTGCTGGCCCATGTTTGCCAAAAGGGCATAAGTTATTTTGAAGCCTTACGCTCCGGCTTTGAAGTTACGGGCCCATACTAAAAGCTAAACATGTTGATCCACACCAATAGGGCGGGCTATTTGGTTCCGGACAGTTTGGTTTTACCCGACCCGGACCGTATAATCCAGACCGGGACCGGATTGGGACTGAATAGCAAACAATGCGATCTCATATTCGGGTTTAGATTTGAGGTAAAAAACCGGATAAAGACCGGATAAGAGACCCCCGACACCTAAAATCAAGATAAAATTACGACCGGACCGGATCAAGGTCGGACTGTATCCAATCCAATCTTTGGTCCTTATATTCCCGAAAAGAACGGACTGATACCAGATCAATTTGGTCCAATTTAACCGGACCAGACCGTATAGCCACCCCTACACACCAAGTCGGGTCTCATCCGAGATTATCGTTAATTAATGGATGAGATTTATTATCTAGGGGCTAAGATGGCTCTCCGGTAGTTTTTCTCCTATTCATCGGTTCTGTTGATTTTGGTCTTTCGTTGCCTCTCCATATTGTCCGACATGCAGCGGTGGGAAACGAGACCGGGCTGGGTACACGTGTCATTTGAAACGTATAACCGATCCTATTTGGAAACCAAAATCCATCACATATCCTAACTTGTGGGACGGATAACAGGTATGCAAACTATCCGTTTATACCCCTTCAACATGAGAACAATTACAAAATTATACATGAAATAAAATAATAAAATTATACTTGAAACAAATTGACATATTGTCCCCATAAGACATAAACTCATCAAACAAAATAACAAAATAAAGTTTTTTTTTTTTTGACAATATGTGATTTCCATTTCATCAACGAACAAGTACAAGCAAAGCCACATTACAACATCGGATCAATAATATTAAGCACTTGGATCCAATCTTGGGGGAGAGATCCATTTGCCGCTTCTTTTGCCACCCAATCTGCACTTCTGTTACAAGATCTTGGGGTAAAGCAGATAGATAATCCGACTTTCACTCTGAGCAGATTGCGTATCCACTGAATCCAAGCTCTCACTTGCCAAGGACCTACTTTATGCTGATCTTGAATGATATCCACAAGCACCTTACAGTCCGAGAAGATAGAAGCTGAACCGTGGAGGTAGACTGCTGCTCTCACTGCCGTCAAGAGAGCTTTTGCTTCCGCAACTATCGCTGATGAACAGAAGAAAGTGCCAACACAACCATCCACAACTTGCCCATGGGAGTTCTTAATGATGACCCCATAAGCGCCACTTGTGATTCCGATCTAAAAGATCCATCACAGTGAATTTCCCACTGGGAAGAACTAGGCGGTGGGCTAAGTGTGTTATGGTTAGAGAGGTGCTGGGCTTGGACACCGAGGGGGGTAGGATGCTGAAGGGGAGTCGTCCAGAAAGAGAAATCTCTAACTGCATTTGTTGAAGTCACTAAAGGGCGGGGGATGATACCTTTAAAGACTCTCTCGTTCCTGGCCAACCAGATAGCCCAAAGGCAAGCCACGACCCCAGGTATAGAGACTGTAGGGGAACCAACACAGATATCCAATAACCACATAACAACCGGCGTCTGGTCCTGGGGCAAAGAGAGCGAAGGCTGAAGGATCTGCCAAACTGTAGCAGCGTGAGGACACTGGAAGAAGCAATGCCACACATCCTCCACATCCCCTTCACAGACATCGCAAAGCGGGGATGGACTACATTTTCTATGCCATAGATTTCCCTTCGTAGCAATCGCATTCCTCGATATCCTCCACAGAAAAGAGAGGATCTTTGGAGGCAAAGAAAGACTCCAAAGCCATTTCCAAGCTTTTGAGGTGCAGTTAGGATGATTCGGATTTGAGGTCCCCAACCGATCTCTTTCTGACTCCCTGAAAATATGGTAAGCTGATTTCACTGAAAACAACCCTGATCTCTCAAAATGCCAAACCCAGTCATCCTCAGAAGAATCCGTGCCAATTGGGATTCTCTTAATAGCCTCCACTTCATCCGTAGAGCAGCTTTGTTGGATAATGTCAAGATTCCATTCACACCCATCATCCATAACCCATTGAAAAGCCCACAGTTGTTGTCTATTCCTCGGCTGCAACTTAAAGTTTGGGATACCTGGAATCCAAGGTTCTTTTTCCAACGAGATCGATCTACCACTTCCCATGTTCTTTCGAGAACCCAACTTCAAGATGGATTTTGCTTCACAAATGCTAGACCAAATCCAGGATGGCCTCCTACCTTTCTCAGCCTACATAAAATCACCATTAGGAAAATAGAGACCCTTAAGAAGCTTGATCCATGTCTCTTCCTTCCCATTAAGAATTCTCCAACCTTGCTTCGCCAACAGGGCCATATTGAATTGATGGAAGTCCTTAAACCCCATACCTCCTTCCTGCTTAGGAGCCGTTAAAACACTCACTTTTCTCCATGGGATTGCCTTCTTCTCCATGTCCCCTCCCCAGAAGAAAGCATTGAGGCGTGAATTCATCTTCTTAGTCGTCCCTTTTGGAAGGAGGAAGCAGGACATAATATATGTGGGGTAACCCTGAAAGACCGATTTCAACATTGTTTCCTTTCCTGCTTGAGAAAGAGCAAGACCCTTCCAAGCTTGACAAAGCTTTTCCATTCTGCTCACAAGAACCGAGAAGACTTCTTTCTTTGATCTGCCCCAATCGGTAGGGACCCCCAGGTATTTTCCCAAACCCTTTTCAAGAGGGATACCCAAACATTGAGCGATGATCTGCTTAATAGTATCAGGGGTGTTGTGACGGAAAGCGAGGGCCGATTTTTCACAATTGATCTCCTGCCCCGTCATTTTGCCATAAGTCTCCATTGTTTTTTTAATATGCATAGCCTCTGCCATAGAAGCTTTCCCAAACAGAATTGTGTCATCTGCAAAAAGCACATGGGTAAGTCTAGGACAATTTGGGTTAAGAGAAATGCCTTGAAAAGTACCTTCCTGAACACTCTTGGAAATGAGAAAAGAAAGCGCATTAGTAAGGAGAATGAAAAGCAATGAAGAGAGAGGGTCTCCCTGACGGATGCCTCTAGACGGCTGAAAGAACTCTGAGGGTTGACCATTGAACAAGACCGAAAACCGCACAGTCTCAATGCACTCCTTGATCCAAAGACACCATTGATTTGCAAAACCCATAGCTCTAAGGATAATCTACAGACACTCCCACTCAACCATATCGTAAGCCTTCTTCATATCCATCTTAAT